TGATAATTTGGGTTAAGCAGGCCTTGGGGAAGCAGTTTATGTTTGGGAAGAGAACCTATCTTTAGAATTCAAATAGAAAACATCTGAATCTAAGTAAAGAAAGGTAACTCTTGTTGCCCCGATGCTGAAAAGTTTAAAAGAATGAGCATCTTTTGAGATGGCATACATGTTTCAAAAAATAGGAATGTATGATTATGATCGACCTCGATTACTTCACGTGACACCCTCTCAACATAGTTCAACTTGAAACCCTTTCAACATGCTCAACGTGCTCGTTGACCATCATGGTGCATCACTAAAACTGCTTTAAAAAGTTTGAAAACAATTAATTAATAGTCAATTAATACATGGTAATTTTAATTACTGACCAAGTATCGGTTTTCTTAAAAATTCTAATGTTTAAATCTGATTTTTGTTTGTTCTTTTTTTTCTTTTAAAAAGTGAAACATCATGGTGTACATAACTAACTATTACCATTATTTTTATACCCCCCCCCCCCGCTTGAAAAGCGGGAGGGTATATAGTAATCGTTATGTCCGTCCGTCCGTCTGTTACGCTTTGGGGTACCCATCTCTTATCCGCAACTCCTCTCATACCAATGAATGGAATTTGATGAAACTTTCACAGAATCTTTATTACATGTTGTCATTGTGCACCTCCTATTTACTTTTTGATCCGACATATGTTTTGGGTTTCCCATAGCAAAACATGGATACTACCATTATATTCATATCTTTATCTTATTTTTATTTTAGAGTTACTTCCCTTTGCCCGCCGAGTTGTTTATATGTACGAGCAAAACATGCATTTTGCCATTATTATCATAAGGGAGGCGGGGGTATCATTTAGTGAGCTCAGTGCTTACAGTACCTCTAGTTGTACCTAGTTTTACTCTTTTATAGAAATGTTGTTATTTCCAAGATTTAAGTATATTATGCTATAGTATACAACTACAGTACTCTCTTTACCCCCTTGTCACGATACGAACAACCTTGAATCAACACCATTTGAGGATTCTTCCATAAAATAAACTTCATCATGACTTTGATGTGCTTTAGGAGAAGAGTTTTAATGATTGTTCCTAAATATCTCTGTGTAAAACTGACCCCCCCCCCCCTGTTTTACCTGACACAGTTGCTCTTAAAAAGATGACGAACTAGGCATCACCGGACATCGAAAATTGAAATTGAGAGACTGTAATTTAAACTTTAAGTTTTATGCTTGATTTTTATAAAGAAAAAATATATAAGCTGAATAACCCTTTTTCCACAGTATTAATAACTCGTATATATATATACAGCTGCTACACTGGAGATGAAAAATGACAAATACTGTAATTTTCTATATCCCCATCATGATCATGATCATCATATCAATATAACTGTTACTCTAACAGATGAACGACATGATATGGATTGAGAGTAGGAACTAATATTACATATGTAACTAGAGGTACTGTGAGCAATGAACTCACTAAATGATACCCCCCGCCTCCCATATGGTTATAATGACAAAGTTCATGTATTGCTGTGGCCGGGAAACCCAAAATTTGTTTTGGATCAAAAAGTAAAATAGGAGGTGCACAATGGCAATATGTAATAAAGATTCTGTGAAAGTTTCATTAAATTTCACCCAGTAGTATAAGAGTGTTGCAGATAAGAGATAGGTACCCCAAAGCGTAACAGACAGACGGACGGACAGACGGACCTACGGACGGACGGACGGACATACCGATTACTATATACCCTCCCACTTTTCAAGCGGGGGTATAATAATGCAGAATACAGCTTGTGTGTACTGGTCATCACAAAAGCAATGCTTGAAATAGCCAACGAAACAGGCACGTTTTTGAAAGGGGGAGCCCGAGAAAACAGACCAACTTGACAATAAAAAAATAATAATGAATAAAAAAAACTAGAGATACTATGAGCAAAGAGCACACTAAATGATACCCCCGCCTACCATATGAGTAAAATGGCAAAGTCGCATGTTTTGCTGTGGCCGGGAAACCCAAAATATGTGTCGGATCAAAAAGTAAAATAGGAGGTGCACAATGGCAATATGTAATAAAGATTCTGTGAAAGTTTCATTAAATTTCACCCAGTGGTATAAGAGGAGTTGCGGATAAGAGATAGGTACCCCAAAGCGTAACAGACAGACGGACGTACAGACGGACCTACGGACGGACGGACATACCGATTACTACCGGTATATACCCTCCCACTTTTTAAGCGGGGGTATAATAATGCAGAATACAGCTTGTGTGTACTGGTCATCACAAAAGCAATGCTTGAAATAGCCAACGAAACAGGGACGTTTTTGAAAGGGGGAGCCCGAGAAAACAGACCAACTTGACAATAAAAAAAATAATAATGAATAAAAAAAAAACTAGAGGTACTTTGATCAAAGAGCTCACTAAATAATACCCCCCGCCTACCATATGAGTAAAATGGTAAAGTCGCATTTTGCTGTGGCCGGGAAACCCAAAATATGTGTCGGATCAAAAAGTAAGATAGGAGGTGCACAACGGCAATATGTAATCTGTGAAAGTTTCATCAAATTTCACTCAGTGGTATAAGAGGAGTTGCGGATAAGAGATGGGTACCCCAAAGCGTAACAGACAGACGGACGGACGTACAGACATCTAGACGTACAGCTAGACGGACGGACGGACATACCGATTACAGTATACCCTCCCACTTTTCAAGCGGGGGTATAATTAATGAATAAAGGAAAATTAACCAAGCCCGTAAAATTTTGTTGTGCAGTGTTCGTCAATTTGTAAATCTTTGACATCTTCGTCTTCTTTTTAAGAGCAACGAGAGGGGGTGTAGTCCAGAATATCTGACGTCTTTCCACCCTTTTTTTACGATTTTGATATTTTACGTATCAGTAAAAAGTAAAATAGCAAAATCCTAATAACCTGGAAAACGTAAGATATTTCAGACTAAGGTTCCAACTTCTTTCAATGCCCATTTTCACTCTAACGCTACATTACCCTTAAATTACCCTTTTTGAGAAGTCTTCAACAAAAGGGGGGACTTACAATGAACATTTTCTATATATTTTTCCTAAAAACATATCTGGAAAAAAGCCCTCCCCCTCCTCTTGCTACGAACTAGCGAGCCATATGCTGAAAAAAGGGCATATGGTAAATGATTTTAATTTTAAAAAATACTTATCTTGGGAAAACCTACACAGTAACTTAAACAATTCAAGTCAAATATACTCGTCAAAAAAAGAAACGCATAGTAGAATTTTAGTGACACATTGAACACAAAGTTTATTTAGTAAAATGATGTATTGATAATACAGAAATGTGGTTTACAATAGGAATACTACCTAAATGTCACAAATACTCAAAAGTTTTAAAATCCTATACACTTTAAGGTAATTAAAGATCAATATCTGGTATGCCCCCCAAATACACAAATGACAGCCAAAAACAGCGTCTAATGAAAGCAAATGTGTGTAATAAAATCTGTATAAGGATACTCTCCCGCTTCAAATGTTTAGCTTTGGACAGCTGTTGCAAAGTCGGAGGGTGCGATTGTCTTTGATAAATCATGTCTGTACATTTTGTCCAATGCTGCTCAATTGGGGTTAAATCTGGCGTTTTAGATGACTATGGCAGAAACAGGTTGTTGTAGCTTTGCAAGAATGGGAGTGTCAAACAATCCGTATGTTGCTGTGTATTGTCAGATTGAACTACGGCTCTAGAATACCGCAAAATTTAATAGGCATGTGCAGGTATAACATCGTATGAGTACCTTTTTCTATCAAAGTCCTTTGAATACGAACCAGATTAGTCTTACTTTTATGTGATACCATTTTCCATATCATTACACTACCACCACCAATTTTTTAACGTCCTTGGTGCAGTTTTCTGTCTAACGTTCATTACGAAGCCTTAGCACTCTTAAATTTATAAAAGGCTTTCCGATTAACATTCTGGACTATTAGCTCAACAAAACTTTTCAGCGGTGATGCTGTGGTCATACTCTATTGATCGGAGATCTTTGAAGTCGGTGTTTGGGGTATTTTGGGGTCAGAAAAATGGCATGAATAATCCTCTTGCAGTAATTCATAGGCAACTGAAAACAGTCTTGTTAGATGATCTGTCCAGTTCAGGAATAGCTAATGCTGCAGATGACGTCATTGTGTTACATTCATGAAGTTTACGTAATCCTCTGAAGTGATGCTGAGCTGCTGATGTCACATGTGGTCTCCCGTATTTCTTGCGAACATTGGGTGTTCCAGGTTAATGATTTATGTTTCATAGGTTTGTAATGGTGCTGTGCATAACATTAAAACCTTTTGCAATTGTAGACTGGTTTATCTTCTTTCAGTTGCCCATTTTCCTTTTTGTGCTATGCAACATTCAGATGCAGTATTTTTAGAAAGCGTCAATTTTCAGATAAAACCAGATTCAAAATATCGAGAACCCCCGCTTTTGATAGCCCTTTTGTGTCTGAAGTAATTGCATCAGAAACAAACAAATGAAAATTGAGATCAAAGATTTTTAAAGAATTTTGCAAAATCAGGTCTTTTTTTCTGTGAGATTTGTAGAATAGCTGTAAAGTTAACAATTTCATTAAAAAATAATGCATTTTACTTGAATGCGTCATATCCCTCTAAAAGAGAAATTATGAAAAAAAATATTAAACATTTTCAGGATATTGTTCCTATTACGCGTTTCTTTTTTTGAAGTGTATACTTTATTTAGAAAAAAAGAATGCCGTTAGCCTTTAATATGACTAAGGACAAAAATGTAAATGCCAACTTGTTGTTTTACTGTGCATCTCATCATGAATTAATCATTTATTTACGCAGCTATTGTTTTTATTGAAAAAATAAAAGCTTATATTTACATTTAGATAAATATATCAATAAACAGACGGGGAGAAAAATGATAGTTCAAACTGCACAATCCCGGATTTTAGACAAATGTGAATACATTCAATGGATCTATCAACCCACATGGTGTATGATATTTATTATGTAAACGTGACTTGAATTAAAACTGGTCATCTACAAATACAGATATAAATACTGCAGCTGCTTTGAAGTAATATTTATAGGCAGAGAAAACCAAAAAGGTAAGAAATATATTTATGGCACGCCAAATCCACAAAAATGAGCAAAACATACCGGTAGTTTCAAGTCGATAAACTAGGTTTATCGGTTGCAAACTATAGTTTACGGACTGTAAACTATAGTTAACAACGTTAATCTATATTATACATCTGTAAACCATAGTTAAAGCCAAAATCTATGTTTCACAACCGTAAACTATACTTAACATCGAAAAAAATCATTTGCGATTGCAAAACATAGATTATCTGATAAATACAGTTTCACGATTTGTAAACTATAGTTTACAAACCGTTAACTATAGTTTGTAACGGACCTGAGCTGCTTGGATCTCACGCACAAGTACTCCTCAGAAGCCTACACGGGAATAACCCATGTAGTACTGTGATTATTTCCGAGAATGACCCGTAAATATTATAGATCTCCTATAATAACACAAGAATAACCTGTGTTTGGACTCGTAAATAACTACGGGGAAGTTTAATGATAAGCCTTATTTAAAGTTTACAAATTTATTCAATAAATAAAAGTCACAATAGGTGTACTAATTAATATACAAGTACAATAAAATTCACTGGAAGTCGGGAATCACCCAAATTCACAATGAAATACTACACTAACACAACCTTCGTATTACGTTAATACGATAAAAGGGGGGGGGGGGTGGCGCACTAAACGAGAATGACCCGAATAGTGAGTAATAAATACTAGAAATACCTTAGAAAAACCAAAGTATTTCCGAACGAATTTACACAATCTATAAAAGCTATTTAAAGCAAGAAATTTATCTCTATAATTTCTATATCAAATCCTAGCCTTAATTCCTGCTTGAATATTCCTATAAACGCAACTAGATTATCACTTTAAATTGATTGAATTACTAAAATCTATCAAAGATAAACAATTATTTACACGGAAAGACTTTAAGACTCACTTTCAGTCAAACCGTAACAAAATTATTTAATCGTTTAATATCGAGATTAACCCAATATAAACGTCCTACGATAAATACTAGTAATTAATAGTGAAACGAGATTAACCCGTATTCACTATAAGAAAAATTGATGAATTAATTCAAAAATTACTAAATTCCTAATGAAAAATGCTAAGAATCAAATAAACAACCGCTAACCTCAAAATCTAAATGCCGAGTCCCACCGGCAATGCTTATCCTCTGCTTATATAGCTCTAGAGAGTCCCCCCGGAGACCCGCGCGCTTCCCTAGGGACGACCGGCAGATCTCCGGTACCACCGGCAGTCACCGGCAATAATCATTGTCAAATAATGTTTAATAATAACAATAGATAATCGACACAAAAATATGACAATCATAATGTAAAACATTTATACAATATGACAATATCCCCTAAGTATTAGATTTCGATAAAAAATGCTTAGTACAGAGAAATTACATTTAAAATCGGGCGTGATATTCCACAAAACAATCATCATGATGGCGGTTTCTATACATAAAGTTTCAGAATCAGAAACGATATTTACAACAAATCTAGCGTATTACAATACTGATATTCATCCAAGATGATAAAAATTAAAATCATAAGATCATATTCTTCTAGACATGTAAGTACAGTGAATCAATAATAAGAAATGTAACCGATTATGCGATGTACAAATGGGGAAAGTACAAATGTACAAACAGGGTAACACGAATCCTATATAAAACAATCGGTATCATTGTCACAATCGTGACATTTTCCCCCTCTTAAAAACTTTGGTGTCATCACCAAATTCTTAAGATAAAAAACAACAATATTTGTCACTATACATTCTCAATACATTTCTCGATCATTAATATTGAACATTAAAAAAAATGTACACAAGACAGTCATATAATTTCCTCAGTTTCCCAATCCTAACATACTTCAATTGTTAGAAATTGTTCTTTTAATATACAACAATAAAAACAAAATTACAAAATGCATATACCTAAACTCTGACCATACTTACACCACATTCTAACTAATTTTCTTCACTGAAGATTAATCAACGCTGGTCTGCTAGCCATTGTCAAAGGTCTTGTACACGAATCTTCCAGCACCATCTTGAATTCGACTCGCTTTTGTGAAAGGTATATTACAGCCATTCATAGAAATGAAACTGTCATTCAAATTGATAACTACAGGCCCAAATTGACTGTCCAGCAAGATGTCCATACCTAAGAGGCATTCATCTTCTATTCCCGCAACAATTATCTCCCTTTGTAATGCTAGATTTCCTAACTGCACTGCAAATTCAGCTTTCCCTAAGACTTTAAGTGGATCTCCATTGACCGCTACAAGGCTTGAGGCTTCCTTAAGCTCTGGTCTTTGGTCACTGGGGAGTCTCAAAAATACTTTATCAGACAATATAGTTCTCGCAGCCCCTGTGTCTGCTGTGAACTCCACTTTTGTCCCCTGAATTGTTCCCTGAACGTAAATCCCATCTGCCTTGAGGAGCTGTCTCCTAATGCACTCCCTCTGAGCATTCAGTTCCTCTTCCCTTGAAACGTCCCTGACGTAAGGCTGGAATTTCTCCTGGTTTTCAATTTTCTCCCCCGACTCATCTAAATTTCCACTTAAAATAGGTTTGATTAAAATTTTACAGTCATTTTGGCCTTCGTTACTTGGGGTCTTCTCTTGGTCACTGGAGCTGACCCCTTCTAGTTTAAAAGCGTCTCCTTTTTGTCTCTGCAATCAATATCCGAGTACACATTCCATTCTGATTGATGACTTGGTTGAAATTCTGGTGCATCAGGTGACATTGTACTTGTAGCTTGGCTTTGGTTTGTCTCTGGCTGTTCGTCTTTACTTGGTAGAGATGATGACATGGTATTCTCAGGAGTTTTCCTGTACTGTGATCTCTCTGTCCTGTGAAAATTCCTATCCGGGCACTCTCGGGCAAAATGTCCGGGCATGTTGCATATGAAGCAATTTCCCTTTGTCATCTTCATGGAATTTGCATTTCCCTTCTCAGCATAGCGATTGTCTCCCTTTCCATAAGTCTTAGCCTGTCTAATAGGGCGTCTCTCTTCATTGGTGGTCATATTGGAAGTGACTGACATATAAGCAGCTACCTGCTGTACTGCCTCTTCAATTGTTGATGGTTCTTTGTGTAATTCAATGTATTGCCTTGCCTTAGGATCCCATAGTCCTTGCAAAAATTTTTGAAATTAAGTCTTCCTGTCTTGTGCTGGCATCTCTACTAGGGTGAGCCCAGTCATAAAGACGTTTAATGTCAGCAGCATACTCTTCAAGACTTTCATCTTTTCCTTGCCTTTTGTTGTTGAATTGAGTTTTGTAGACTCTCTTATTTTCCAGTGTTCCAAATCTGGATTCTATTTCTGCAACTAAGGTCTCATAGTTCCCTATAGTCTCCTTCTTCAGCTGACCAAAAACAAAATCAGCTGCATTTCCCTGTATTCTTGGTAATATCTGCTGTAACTTATCTTTAGCGTTCCACTTGGCTAACTCAGCTACAGACTCAAAGCGATTCAGCCAAACTCTCCATATCTCGGAACCTGTGTAAGGCGGAAGCTTACAATCAAGCTTGTGGCTATCTGACTTCTTGGACTCGAACAAATCTCTAGTCTTTGAGTTGATAGGTTGCTCATTTTCAGACTGTTCTGAATCTTCATTTGATTCCTCGTAATTGCTTTCTTTGGTTTCTGTCTCTGACTTCTTGTTGTTTGAGCTGATTCTCGATATTTTAGGCTGCAGCTCGCAGTTTGTAGTATGTATCTGGCTGTTCACTTGTCCGAGATTTCGGGTAGTCGCTTCCATCACATCCTGCATGACTTTCATTGTCTGGTTGCTTACTTGTCTGAGAGTTTGAGTAGTTGCTTCCATCATATTTTGCATGGCTTTCATTGTATGGGCCATCTGTTCCATCATTAGCTTCATAGGGTCTGTGACAGAATTATTCTGTGATGATTGTGTGACTGGTTCTGACAGTTCTGTGTCTGTAGGGATTATCTCCCTTTGCTGACGTACAGTCCTTTTGGATCTTCTTATTTGACGTGTAGGCGTTGATATTCTAGCCTGAGTATCTGAGTCATTTTCTTCTTGTGTAGAGTTGTCATTGCTGGACTTGCTCTGTTCCCCTCGGAGTGATCTATTTAACGCTGACGGCGATAAATCTATGAGGAGTTCCTCATCTGTGGATTGTCCTCTGGAATGTCCGGGATTAAGGGATGGCTCCATCCTAGTCTTGGATCTGGTATAGTACCTATGCATGGATTTTTCTCAGCACTGGTTCTGGGTTACGTATCTCTGGATCCACCGATGTACTTGGCAGATCCCACCGCTGCCACCAAATGTAACGGACCTGAGCTGCTTGGATCTCACGCACAAGTACTCCTCAGAAGCCTACACGGGAATAACCCATGTAGTACTGTGATTATTTCCGAGAATGACCCGTAAATATAGATCTCCTATAATAACACAAGAATAACCTGTGTTTGGACTCGTAAATAACTACGGGGAAGTTTAATGATAAGCCTTATTTAAAGTTTACAAATTTATTCAATAAAAAAAAAGTCACAATAGGTGTACTAATTAATATACAAGTACAATAAAATTCACTGGAAGTCGGGAATCACCCAAATTCACAATGAAATACTACACTAACACAACCTTCGTATTACGTTAATACGATAAAAGGGGGGGGGGGGGGTGGCGCACTAAACGAGAATGACCCGAATAGTGAGTAATAAATACTAGAAATACCTTAGAAAAACCAAAGTATTTCTGAACGAATCTACACAATCTATAAAAGCTATTTAAAGCAAGAAATTTATCTCTATAATTTCTATATCAAATCCTAGCCTTAATTCCTGCTTGAATATTCCTATAAACGCAACTAGATTATCACTTTAAATTGATTGAATTACTAAAATCTATCAAAGATAAACAATTATTTACACGGAAAGACTTTAAGACTCACTTTCAGTCAAACCGTAACAAAATTATTTAATCGTTTAATATCGAGATTAACCCAATATAAACGTCCTACGATAAATACTAGTAATTAATAGTGAAACGAGATTAACCCGTATTCACTATAAGAAAAATTGATGAATTAATTCAAAAAAATTACTAAATTCCTAATGAAAAATGCTAAGAATCAAATAAACAACCGCTAACCTCAAAATCTAAATGCCGAGTCCCACCGGCAATTCTTATCCTCTGCTTATATAGCTCTAGAGAGTCCCCCGGAGACCCGCGCGCTTCCCTAGGGACGACCGGCAGATCTCCGGTACCACCGGCAGTCACCGGCAATAATCATTGTCAAATAATGTTTAATAATAACAATAGATAATCGACATAAAAATATGACAATCATAATGTAAAACATTTATACAAAATGACAATATCCCCTAAGTATTAGATTTCGATAAAAAATGCTTAGTACAGAGAAATTACATTTAAAATCGGGCGTGATATTCCACAAAACAATCATCATGATGGCGGTTTCTATACATAAAGTTTCAGAATCAGAAACGATATTTACAACAAATCTAGCGTATTACAATACTGATATTCATCCAAGATGATAAAAATTAAAATCATAAGATCATATTCTTCTAGACATGTAAGTACAGTGAATCAATAATAAGAAATGTAACCGATTATGCGATGTACAAATGGGGAAAGTACAAATGTACAAACAGGGTAACACGAATCCTATATAAAACAATCGGTATCATTGTCACAATCGTGACAAGTTAACGATCTGATAAATATAGTTTCACGATTTGTAAAACTATGATTAACAACTCTTAACTATAGTTTACGATTGTAAACTATAGTTTACAAACGTGAATCTATGTTTATCAACAAAATCTATTGTTAACGCTTTATTCAGACAGATAAACTTAGATTAGCATTCGTAAACTATAGTTAACAACCGTTAATATAGTTTTACAGATGAAAACTATACTTTAAGAATCGTTAACTATAGTTTACGGTTTGTAAACTATAGTTTACAGTCGATAAACCTAGTTTATCAATTGTGAAACTAGGTTTATCTCATTTTTGTGAATTTGGCGTGCCATATATATTTTTAGGATTTTTGTTTGAATTTGATCATTTATATTGTTACATTTTGTTGATGATGGTATTCTATTACATGTTTTGGTGCGGGGGTAAAACTATCATTGAATCTCTTTTGTTATTTATAAAACATACCTCTGCTGACCATTAGACCTTCATTAAGGATAGATGATACAATGAGACGCCATGGCTTGCCTATGGAGGGCTGCAAATTTTAAAGCTATTCTCGGCACTCAGGGCCATTGAGGAGTGAAGGAATGTCATGTGAACTCGGTTTTTAAGGTCTCATCCGAAGGACCGGTCTCCACTTTCCGCAGTAAGATTAGAACCTGCAAAGTTATAATAATTATTAGGATTCTTCTCCTTGCTGCGCGACTCCAGAGCAAACGCTCTAAGTGCATGAACTGTACCAGACGGGCGACAATTGAAAAAGTACATATTTTTCCAGAGCAAACTTGAATGAGATAGAGAAACACAAACAGCAGCACTTATAGTCTAAATGTTAGCTCAAGGCTTATGTAAGGCTATCACTTATCGCGCACAATGCTTTTTATTTTAACCCGCTAAGATTAAGTAAGAATAAAAGAACCCACAGCCTATATTAACAGATACATGAATACACCGATGATTAGGTCTGAAAATTTATACAAGGAACCTATACCAGACCGCTACTGCTTAAATTCCATGTATGTGATCCAAGCCTCTCCTGATTTTTAAAGACAGATGGTGTTTTAGAGAGAGATGCCACTTTTAAGCTATATTATAGAACAGTTCTACTCTTATTGAGGAACTGATCAGAAATCTCAGAACAGTTCAAACGTTTCAGTAATGCTGCAATACCTAGACACCGTTAAAGCAGTAATAATTTCCCTATTTTCCCTATTTTAATTTAAGATGCTAAGGATATTGATATTGGTTGTCCTTGTTGTCTTTACACAACACTGTGAAGTTGTTCATGGCCGCGGTGGTCATGAAGGTCGAGGTGGTGGTGGTAAAGGTCGTGGTGCTGAGAATCGTGGCCGTGTACTTAATTATTACTACTAGAATATAGTATACTGCTAATATAAAAAGGCACAGCAAAGCATAGGATATCTCTTCGCAGAAAACATCTTTATTAATCATGGTACCTGTAAAATGCGAAACGAAATAGAAATGAAACGAAATGAACTCTACCGAAACGAAACGAAATCAAAACCAAACGAAACGAAATCAAAACCAAACCTACCGAAACGAAACGAAACAAGACTGTCAGAATGTTTTCAAAATCAACATATATACATGTAATTAATCTAATTATATATAATGTGTAACTGCATAATTGTGGACTATTATTACTTCGTATAAATTTATATTGTTCTATATTTATATAATATATCAAAACTGATAAATGCTGCCTTCTCTAGTGATGTATTTGTGAACATACTTTTCCTGTATAATTTCAAAATACTAATTTCAATATGCGTAGTATTCTTTAATTTAAATAGTACACCTATTTAATTATCTAGATACAGCATTTCTCAAATTTTATGGGTTTTTAACGGATCGAAGTGTCGAAATAAAGTTACTCTACTGTTGTATTGTTGTATTGGTCAGTAATGATCATTTGTTAAGAATCTAATCATGTGATATTTTTGGAGGGGAATTTTCTATTGCGTGTTATGTACAGTATAGTTCGTCATTGAATTCTTTATACTTTTGACCTTTTTTTAAAATCAAATATAATTCTCATGATCAGGGATGTAAATTACTATATTGCTATATTGTTCTAGGACTTTTACACCTCATGTCAAATATCTACTGAACAACTGTATAATTCGATCGTTGATTTTTCCAGTAAATGATGAAAACTTTACTTGGAGTCATTCCATTCCTACTGAACCTGAACCGACCCTCTGAAGCCGGGTTGTATATATGTTATGCTTGTATATGTAAATGTATCACTAGAGAAGGGAGCATTTATTGGTGTTTAAACTTATATTAACAAGTGCTTTAACTGAAATGAATAGACAATCCATACAATATGCAATTGCTCATTATATGATTATATACCTTGATTCGAAAAACATTCTGATAGTTTTGTTTCGTTTCGTTTCGGTAGGTTTCCTTTTAATTTCGTTTCGTTTTGTTTTTTTCGGTAGGTTTCATTTCGTTTTCTGTAGATTTTGTTTTGCTTCAATTCATTTCGTTTCGCATTTACCGCTTACAGGTTTCCATATAAATCAAGGCAGTATTGAACATCGATCCCGATGCAAATTACGTCACTTCCGTTATGCGAAGGGATAACAAGTGGGATACAATGAAAAAATGAAGAACGAAATTAATCTACCTTTTCTCAGAAGATTAATATATTTATCCCCCCTCTCTTGAATTCAAAGAAGACTTTAAAAAGTTCAAAAAAAATATTATATATTTTATACAATGATTTTTCTGTTCTTAATAATATTTGATAATAGCGAGCGTCGCGAAGCGACGCTCGCGAAGCGAGCTCAATAGACTAACGTGTACGAACGGAGGAAATTCGGGTTGAAATCTGCACATTGTTCCAAGAAATTTTTATCTGACCGCGTGAAAAAATTCTTATATCCCAGTAATCCTTTGCGGTGCATAGCAACATGCAGTACCGCACTTACCGTGTAGGGACGAATAGCGTTTCTAAGAAAAATTCTTACCTTTAAATTGCGTGCATCTTTTCACAATTAAAAATTCTTAAATCACTCAAACCACCTCCACATATGCACATGGGGCTTGTAACGTAAACAAATCTGTACCTATCTGAACTTTTGCTTACTCATGACGTCATTTCCTTCTCCGACTTTACCCGACAAACTACCACGAAAACACTCGGATTTCCTCGGATGACTCTTACCTCGCACATAACATTGAATGGAGCGTAGCGGAGTTAGCCGAGGATTACCGATTGCCACGAAAAGTGCCGATGACACGAGTAAAAATAAAACAACAGGCCCTTTTCGACTAACAAATAGAGCTGTCTCAGGATAATAAATAAATTATAATAAACCATGCATAGTATTTTCTTAACCCGTTTTACTTTTTTTTCATTCTTTGATCTCGGTCATCTCCTTCCGGGTCGTCTGCTTTGTTTACAAACAGTGAAGACTGGCAAGAATTTGTGAAGACTGACAATTTTCTCAAAACAACTTCTTATTGGGTAACAAGTATATAGTAGCTTATTTAAGAGTGCAATAATATATTGCAGTTAAATATTTCTGTCATATAGGCCTATAACTAGAATATTTCTCTCTCTGAAATCTGCAATATAATGGAAAACAGTACCCACTTTAAAGATCAGACTGTTGATGGCAATGATTTTGACAAAATGGTTTTCAACATAAGTAATGTTCCTGGAGATGGCAACTGCTTCTTTCATTGTTTAAGTCTTGCTCTCAATGGCAATTTCACAATGACAAATGTTTACAGACAGACAATCTGTGAGCATATACTTAAAAACTGGGAACACTTCAGCAACAATATTGAACTTCAAGAACACACACCTTTGTCATATTTTCAGAGTATGATTTTAGGTAATGATTATGCTTCCTCCTGTGAAATTGAAGTTGCTGCTAAATTGTTTCACTGTCAAATCAATGTCTGGCTTGAATGTAAGAATAGTGACAATGTCATATCCCATGTTCTTACCAAATTTGAAAGTGACACTCTCTCTCAAGATCAGCCTATACATTTACTGTTAAGGCATCAACATTATCAGTATTTAACACCAAAATCAGAAATACCATTCATGAATTTGACATCAAATCAAGTTCCCAATATTGTTCAAACAGATAAAACATGTGGTCAAATCAACACAAAAAATCAACAAAATCACTGCTTTTTGGGTCTTGAGCATGAAAATGCATCAAATGACAATTCATGTGAATTACATTTAGGCTCCAATTCTCAGAGTACAACAAATTCCAATACATGTGCACAAAAAAGCACAGCTAAAATCATGAAAAATGTCAGGAATAACATTTTTTCAGAACATGCCTATGCAAGTACTGAAGTAGACAATATTAATGACCATTCTTATGCCCAGATGCACAATCAGCAAATAACAGAAGTCAACAATGCTAATTACATTTCTGATGAGCATACTTATGCAAGCAAAACAAATCAATTCAATCAGTGTCATTCAAGTCTGCCAGAGAGCTCCATTGTTCAACATCAAGAAAATACAGACACTCAAAATTCTTTCAACAAACATACATCCTCATCAACCATATCAAGTCCATTAAGAAATGAAACAAATCAGGGCTCTATTTCCAAAACATTACTGTCTACAAACACAGCTCAAATCGAACGTGAAACAACACAACTGGAAACAATGACAACAAACTCTGATAATTTGAAAAGTACACAAAATACAAGAAAAAGACATGCTCAACAAAATTTACATGATCCTTCACCTACTTCCCAAAAACAAAACAAAAGAGAAAAACATACCCATTTATCGCAACACGAGAAAAAACTTCAAGAACGCTGCAGAAAATTTGGTGTGCCATATGAAATGCCAGCACAAAACGAAACATATCTTAAGTTGAAAAGTAGAAAGGGAAGATTAAACTCGAAAATTCAAAATAAAATAAATACTTATAAAATCCATGAAAATGAAATTCCCCCTCCTCCTCCTCCTTCTGAAGACAACCAACATTTTGATAAGGCAATGGATTCAATAAGAGCATTTGAACTTTGTACAATATATAATGAAAGGAGACTAGATATGAAAATGGCCACAAGTGAAATTTGTACGCGTTGTTATAGAGATAAGCAAAATATAAAATTATACTCAAAAGAAAACAATATGGACCCAGGTAAATTACCTGAGGAACTAAAAGATCTTACAATTGTAGAACAACAACTAATCAGTAGAATTACTCCATGCATTAATGTCCACATGCTAAATCATGGTGGTATTGCATCTTCAGGTCATTGTGTCACTTTCCCCCAAGAAATCAATGAACCAGCAAAAATTTTTCCTAGATTGCCCCCTGAAATACAAATAATAAAAGTTAGAAAAAAAGGCAAAAATGATACCTCCAAAGAATTTCGAGTCCGGCGTTTAAAAATTGAACAGTCCTTAAAATGGCTTAAGAAAAATAATCCTGCATACTCTGACATCATTATTAGTAATGAAAGGTTGCAATCAATTCCTGAAGATGGACAATTAACCGACATTGTTACATTAGAATTCAAAGAAAATACTGTCCACAAAAATGATAAAGGTCCATCACTTGATCAGACAGACATTGGGGTTTCTCAGGGCTTTACACATTCTGGTGCTCAACTACCAGATTCAAATATACACATACGAGAAAAGGTAGAGAAAATTGTTACTGAAATAATTGGTGAAAACCATGGGGGAGTTACTATGAACAGACTGGGCACCATCACCATTCCTTGGCCTACAAGAGACAACATCCCTGTATCTGAATTTACAACACAACACTTCTTTACCCTTGCCTTTCCTGCTCTTTTTCCCTATGGCTCTGGAGACTTTTTTGTCAACAGGCCTATTACATTATCTTCTATGGGACTGTGGGCTGAACATTTAATATGGTACAGTGATGGAAGGTTTGCAAAACATCCATACTTTAAATTTGTTGTTCATAACATGATAATGAGAAAAAGGGCGCTTGAACAAAGTAGTTTCATTATTAAACAGAAACTTGGTGATCAGCAATTTACTATAAACGAGTTGAAAAAATTAATTGAAAATGGTGACACTTCAATTTGCCAAAAAATTCTCTATTTTGGGGGAAATTTAAGAGGGACATCTCAGTACTGGGAACAAAGGGGGAAAGAATTAAGAGCATTAGTGCAATATAAAATAAATGAAGGTGCAGGTCTGCCCTCATTTTTCACTACTGGCAGTTGTGCAGAATTTCACTTTAAACCTCTTAAACGTTTGCTTTCAATGTATGTTTCAGAGACAACTGGTTTATCTGTAGATCTAACAGACAAAAATATCCTTTTCAAAACTCTTCAGGAAAATGCTCATATAGTTGCACATTATTTTGATCTCAGAACTCAGTCATACTTCAAAAATGTAATGGGACCCGTCTTTGGTGTTGACTCCTACTGGTACAGGCAAGAGTTTGCCAAATCCAGAGGTATGGTCCACTGGCACGGCCTTTGTTGGAGGTCAGATAGAGAGCCTCATGAATTAATACACAATGCTATTTCAGCTGGTCTATCTGATGAACAATGTGCTGTGAAACTTTCTCAATGGGCAGCTGAAAATTTTGGTATGACTGCTTCTCATCCTGCTGGTAAGGATGAAAGTGGTAATCCAAACAGAAATTTGTGGCCTCCACCTGAAGGTAATGCTCCTCCTCCTCCTGAAGAAAATAACCCTCTTTTTAAACTTCTCCTGGATGTTAGTATTTCCCAAGAAAGCCTTCTGGAAGATCACTTGCTTTTAACCAATAGATTTAATCTGCATCGTTGTTCCGATTACTGCCTACGACAATTACGACCAAATAATTCACAAAAAAGTTGTAGAATGGAGTTTCCAAAACAATTACGTTCATCACCAGCAATAGTAAAGGATCGAAATGGATCCCATCGCTTAGAAATGGAAAGAGATCATCCAGTACTTGTTCAACACTCTCGCTTTCATACACAAGGCTGGAGAGCCAACGGTGATATTTCACTAATTCTTTCCAAAAGTGATCCTTCCAATCCATCAGTTGATGAAATTATTGCAACTGAAAGATATATTACAGGTTATGCCTGCAAGGGAAATGAACCCACTGGTGCTCTCTCAGATCTCTTCTCTGATATGGTTAACTGTGCAGATGAATCTTCTGGTATAACTGGTAAATCAATTTGTACTAAACTTTTAATGGAAACAGTAAAAAGGGACATTTCCTCTGTTGAAGCATGTTATGAACTTTCTTCTATTCCTCTGTATAGATCCAGTCACTGCTTTCAATCAGTTAGTCTATCAGGGTGTCGGGTACTTGAACAATCTGGAATGGACACAATAACAAAGAGTACAATCATTGATAAGTACATCTCCAGAAATCAAAATGATACATGTTCACTTTATCAATATATTTGCAAAAATGGCAAAGTCCCTGTTATATCTGGGCCTACTCAAGCCAACTGGCCTTTAGATGAAAATTATTGTAAAACTTCTTTATTACTTCATTGGCCTAATTGGAGAACTATTTCTGATATCAAAGATCAAAATTTGTCTTGGACCGAAAAATTTACTTCCTTTTTAGAACTTGATTCGTGTCCAAATTTTATAAAAGCAGACGTTGATAGAGCCAAGCACAAACAACTTGATGACTCCACCCCTGAAGAGGATGTATCTAACAATGATGTGGACCAACCTGACTGGATAGAAGCTATACGTCCAAATCCATATTTTGATGAGTTGTCTGTAGATTTTCATTTTGATGATGGTGGCCCTGACCATGACTGGAGTAAAACGTCCAATGATTACCCTGCTGACTTCGGTGCAGAATGGTGGGACAACATTACGAAAGCTGCCAATATAGATCAATCTTTAAATATACCCCAGGTGGATCTGGAAAAAATGAACAACGAGCAAAAATTAGCTTTCAATATTGTTATGAAAACACTTTTTAATTATACCAACAAACCGGATGATTATAAGCCCCTTCGTATGATTGTAACTGGTACAGCAGGTTCTGGAAAATCTTTTCTTATAAATTGTCTTGTAAAAGCTATACGTCTTTTCTACCAATCAAATAAATCTGTTCAAGTATTGTGCCCAACAGGTAGTAGTGCTAATTTAATCTCTGGAGTTACACTCCATAGTTTCTTAAAAATACCTACCCAGTTCAGAGGAAGAGAAATGAAAGCACCAGAGGGTTCTATCGGGGAAAGCCTCCAGGAGAATTTTTCTGATCTTCATGTTATTCTAGTTGATGAAAGATCACTGATTGGTTCAACAACACTTGGGTGGATGGAGTTTCACAGTAGATGTGGCACTGGCATTTCTGATCAGAGTTGGGGAGGTCTCCCAGTAGTTGTTTTCTTAGGTGATGACGTCCAACTTCCACCAGTTCTAGATAACCCTGTTTACCATTCTAAAAATACATCACCAGCATCTATGCATGGTGTCCTTGTCTGGCAGGATTTTAAAACAGCTGTTGCATTAAATACAATTATCCGTCAAGGAGAACAAGAAAAAGAGCTTAAAGATGTCCTCTCCAATCTACGCCAATATACAGTTACACCATCTCAGGCTGTATGGTTACAACAGTTTCAATGGAGCAATCTGAAAAAAAAATATGGAGACAATATTCTTAAAAGACTGTCAGACAGGGGACTCTTTGTTTTTCCAACACATGACGAAGAATGGTCGCACAATAAATCAAAATTACTTGAAGTTAACAAGTTGTTCCCGGTTGCAAAAATATCTGCTGTTGGAAAAGGCTCCCATTCTAAATCTGGTGAAAGTGAAAAGGCAGGTGGTCTTCTTCATACGCTTTACATTTGCAAGGGTTCAAAAGTTATGCTTTCAGTAAATCTGTGTGTTAAATTTGGTCTTTTTAATGGTGCTATTGGCATTGTTGAAGATATTTTGTATTTCAATGAAAGGAGACCACCTGCACTTCCTGATGTTGTTGTAGTTCACATACCTAGCTATAGTGGTCCCCCATTTATATCATCTGCTCCAAAACTTGTTCCCATAGTTCCTGTGGAAAGAAAAATTGATTGTAGATGTCATTTTTGCAAACGGAAACAAATACCACTTCGATTAGGGTGGGCAACAACTATTCACCGTTGCCAAGGAATGACAATCGGGGAGGGGGAAGTAAATAGATACATTATCATAAATCCTGGAACAAGAGCTTTTGAATCCAGAAATCCAGGTGCCCTTTTTGTTGCTTTATCAAGAGCCAAATCCACTGGTAGAGATAATTCTGACCCTGATTTCGCTTGGCACCCATCTGTTCTGATTAATGAGGATAGGGTTTGTCATAAAGTGAGTACTCCAACAACAGTGGCAAGGGAACGAGAAATAAGAAGAATAGAAAATATTGCCAAGCAAACAACCAAAGCCTATGAAAATCTGATAAATGATCCCGTCCTTAATTCATTGTTTCAAAGGTTCAATGTGTCTTCTACTTCAGAAGAATAATTATACATGTACTTTCTTTATCTGTCTAAAATGGCTTATTAATATTTCTTCTGTAACCCTTTAAGATCAGTGAACGGTGGGAGACATGACAGTCTCTAACTGAACACTAGTTCTTAACTGAATAATTACGCAAGCGTGTTACTTTGTAACATGTGTTATTGATGTTTTAACCTACAGGTTTCACATAGTTGTTACATTTTCTACAATTTTGAATTATGACATGCATGTCTTTGTGATTAGAAAGTCATTCTTTACCTGCAATCAATCAATGAAGTGGATTCAATGAAATGCCAGTGCCACATCATCAGTAATTAACTTAACTGTTTATATATTTCTATATATAAACAATAAAGTGTTTAAATTCAAGTAGTATACTTAATCTTTTTCTTCTGCACACTGCCAGCTAGTCATAAAAATAATACTTTGAACCAGAAGAACTTCTTTTAACCTAATATTATTAAAATTTATCACATCTGTGCAAGTCTGGGCCTGAGGGGGATTCAGTACTCAGTCTACATTTCTATAAATGTTTTGTAACCTTTTGAGTGTCTGTGTCGTTTACAAACTTTTTTTCATCAAAATTTCTGCTTACAAATGCGCCTCAATGATACTTCAAATAGCTGTCTATTATTTAAAAGAGCAGATGACGGTGGGAGATATGACAATCTCTAACTGAACACTGCTCGTTTTAAACAATTTGTATTAAAGCATACGTCATATATTGTATAAATAGTTTTACACCTTATATATTTGCTGTGCTTTTCGCTTTATTTAACAATGATATCGATTTGTATCTCATAATTTCATGTCATACTCATGCATATACAAATCACATGAAAGTGGTGTCATTAAGGCTACAGGGAATTCATGTAGATGCAATATTATATATAGGGGAACAAGCCATCAAACACTAAAATTACATTTTCTGATTTTAAATATGAATAATGTATAATTCATGTTTGTGAATTGCGGTGTATAAAACACACAGACTTGCATAGAGATCTATTTTTCATGACCTGCTCAACATTTTATAAATAATTTTCAATGATTCATCTTCTAATTTTTGAAATGTGAAAATCAGTTTGTCACTTTCAATGCCATTCAAATCAATTTCAAAATTTTCTAAACTAAAGGTCTGAGTTTTTCTGTTGTCATAATAAATGGAAATTCATTTTAGTAGTAAAATGAGTTTATTAAGTATACTGACAAATGAATGGTATTTAAAATAGCACATTTTTTCCTATTCTAGAAGATGAATTTAATAGTTGCAACAGACTCCCGGGGGAGAGGTTTTCATTCTTACCTTGAGAGAGTGCAGCCTTTCCCACTTCATTGGCAAGTGTCTATCCTTTTCAAACCTGGGGCATCAATTGAAAAATTAACTCATGAGACTCAACGTTTAATCAAATCTTCATCTGATAAAACTGCACCATGTCATGTGGTTTTCATGGGAGGAATATGCAACTTAACCGAGAAACTTAAACATCAATCTGGAACTGAAATTGTTTACCAACATTCTTCAGACAAAGTTCAAACACTGCTTTACAATATTGAAAAATCATTTCATCAAATCTCTCTTGCAACATCTTCCACTGTTCAATTTGCTACTATTCCCCCTGTATCTATAAAGAAATTTAAAGAATATCAGGGTACAAGAGGAAAACTAAAGACAAGTATATATTCACCAAATCAAACTGCAGCTCAACAGGAAGCCCTTGAAAATGATATTAGATTTATCAATGACAAAATATCTGAATACAGTACAAACTATAATAGTTCTAGTATACGCCTTGACAAAGACGTAACAAAAATTTCAATTAAAAAAGGGGGAAGAAATGGAAAATGCAGAAAAAGACTGTCAAAATATGTATATGACAATTTTTATGATGGGGTCCATCCAGAAAGCTTTCTTGCAGAAAAATGGTTTTTCAAAATATGTTCATCTATTATCAATTTTCAAAATTCAAAACTTATAGATATAGATTTTTCTGAAGATGAAGAAGAAGAGCTAGACACATGGGATTTTAAGAAAAATTAAGTTCATGTGATCTGATTACAAAAAGAAATAATTTCCCCAATGGCCCATATTCCAACAATAAATTTTACAGATATCCCATTTCATGATACCTTTTTTACAACCTTGTTCATGTTGTTAACACTGATATATTTCTTTAAAATATTTCCCTGATTTTCAATGGTGGGAGACATGCCAGTCTCTAACTGTGAAATCATTTTCATTACATCTATACAATTTACAATGAGGCCCTTAATTCTTCATGTTTTGATTATGTATTTATTTTTTTTTTTATTATTTTTGATTTAATAGTGATAAACATGTATATATTTCAAGAATCAGCTACTATATACTTGTTACCTCCGAGCATAACGCAAAAGTTCAGTTCCACCAGTTTTTAAAATGCAAGGACAATTAAATTTCAACTGATTACAGGTTAGTAAAACAATTATAACTATGTGTTTGGATAAGATAAATATAAACAGAAGCTCTAAAAGTGGAATACTTACCAGGGTGCTTTTTTTTTTCAAAGATATCATCTCTGTCAGTGCTTGCATGTATCACTTACTTAATCACCATCTCACCTCACCTCACCTGTTTTTCATCTGTTGGGACCAATGACGTCACACCATAAAGAAGTGTGGTTCACAAAGTGTTAAAGTTAAAAGTAAGTATACAGTGACAATCATTCTCTGTAAATATAAATCAAACAATTATTTTACAAATAGAAATAGGTTATATGATGATTTAAATCATACTTTTTAAATTATGACACACATGAGACATTGTATCATCATGTCCATATCTAGATAGAACGTTCTATCGTTAAAGTGATATTGTCCTACGGACCCGGTTTAAAATATGTGGTGAGGGCTTGTACGGAGACACAGTTACATCATTCTAACTAGTCCATGTTTTGCTGCGCTCGCCCCAACGGTCACACCGTAAAACATATTATATATTAGGAAAAACCACATATTTTTCATTGAAGGACATATGCGCAATCAACCGATAGCTTTCACAGCAAGAATGTCAGAAAATGCCACCAATATTCAACCAAATGACACAATACCCTATACGATGAATGTCGTCAACTCTGGAAATGGTTATCAATGTAATGTTTTCACTGCACCAAAGAACGGATTCTATTTCTTCACCTGGAGTGTTACCTCGAAATTCCCAGTTGTCACAGCATTGGTGAAGAACAACGATACAATAGCCGTACTCTCTTGTCATAACTTCTCTAACCCCGGGAAAAGAAACACGTGTTCTCAATCGACGACTATCCAACTAACGGCCGGTGATCAAGTTTCGGTCAGAGCAACGGAAACCATGGACATTGTCAGCGCTTCTTACTGGCCTTCGTTTTCTGGATTTCGATTATAAGGGGAAAATTAGGCAGATAAAAGTTTTTCTGCCTCTTGTTTGAAATGCCAAACTTTTATGATCTTTTGGCTTTCTGAATAAAAGAATCTGCAGTATATTGTTGTTTATTAATCACTAATTTATTCTTTTCTTAGCAAACCATTACTTACATGTGGAAAAAATAAACAAACATCATCGAATTGTATAAAAACCAAGATGTGTTTATGAAACACTAATGCCCCCGAATTGCAGCATAGCGAAGGTTGAACTTTCTAAAATGCAAATCATGTTGGTACCCAAAGTGTGGCCTTCTCACAAAAAATACACTCGTGAAATATGAGAGCCCTAGCACCACCTGTTCAAAAGTCATGGCCAAGGTTAAAGTTATTTAAAGGTAGGTCAAACTCTAGGGTGAAGGTTAAAGTTGTTGGTATCTAAAGAAAAGTCTTGTCACACGAATAATATATTTGAAGTATGAAACTCTCAGCACCATCTGTTCAAAAGTTATACACAAGGATAAAGTTTTTTTTAAAGTAGGTCAAACTCCAAGTCAAAGGGGCAAAGTTGTTGGTTTCCAATGAAAAATCTTGTTTTAAGGATTACACATGTGAAGTATAAAAGCCCTAACCCACCCTTACCGATCAGAAGTTTATGGCCATGGTTAAAGTTTTTTTTAAAAGTAGATCAATCTCCAAGGTCAAAGGGTAAAAATTGTTGGTACGCAATGAGGTATTTTCACAAAGAATACATATTCGAAGTATGAAAGTCCTACCATCAACCGTCCATGGCCAAAGTAAAAGTTTAGTATTTTTTGTGTAAAAATGTGTCAAACTCCAAGGTCAGATTTGGTGGTACCGAAAGGGAGGTCTTGTCACAAAGAATACACCTGTGAAATATGAATGCCAGAACCCCACTTAGACAAAATTTATGGGCAAGGTTAAAGTTTTTTCGGACAAACAGACAGACTGACGGACAGACAAGACAAAAATTATATATACCCCCGAGTCTTCGATTATGGGGGCATAAAAATTAAATTTTTTTTGAAAAAAAGTTTGTTAGCACTGTAAACAAAAGTCATAATTTTACCTATGTTACTTTTGCCCAAAACATTTTAAACAAAATTTGTCCAGACAGTCTTATTAAAGGAGGAAACTCTGTTTGAAAATTTGAATGCCAACTTAAAATGTAAAGTCGTGATCACTTTGTTTCATAGTAATCTTTATAGTATCGAAATTTTCTCACTATCGTAAATAGAAGTTTTAGAAGGGAAACGGCAGTACTTTAAATTTTAAAATAAAGGCCTACAGTACGAGTACGTTTACGCGTCGCCGATAAAACTCAATTTGCGACCGTTAAATCAGCATTAACGGTCGCAAATACCAAATTAGAAGACAGTTATTCCCTAATTATCATCTAAGACAGAACTATATCACGTATACTAGTATTTTCTGATTTCTAGAGTAAAGCAAAATGTTTAAAGTGATCACTATACAAATACAGAAAGAGTTCTTAAAGTTATAACTTAATGCAATAATGATCACTATTATAAATCAAGTTTTTAAAATTTATTGCCCCAGTGTCATAGTGAACACAACAGCACATCAAAATTTCCAATGTTATAATAAAGTAAACCAAAGTGTCAAAATAATCATAATCATTAAGTTTAGAATTATTATTAAGGTAGGATTCTTCTCACATTTCTTGTATTCAAAAATTAATGAAATTTTCACAGAATCAAGAGGACAATATCACTAAGAGATGGTATCAATGAGATTAAATTTGACCGTTTAATATTAGAGGCTAGGTCAGTTCGAGGTCATTCCCTTTTTCCTGGACATTAAGAATAAAAATTACTGTTTCCAATCATGCGATCCCTACTTGTAATTCAAAAGATTGAAAGTTTTTCTTGTTGCATAAAGAGATACTACCATATAGGCCCTATATGATGATATTACCAAATGACATAGATAATTTAAATAAAATGGATATCTCCTAATCCGAATTTCCTCTACTTTTCTTAGATTTTTAGGATTTATTAATTATTTTTATATGCTTCCTATATTTAACTTTTTCCAATTTTCACATATAGTAAAGTTGTCACATTAAGGTACAAAATGATACAAAAACTAAAAGTTTTGATCGTTTACTAAGAGAGAAATAACACCTTTTACGATTTTTGGCTCAAATCTGTATTTAGATTTGAAACATTTAAAAGCCAACATAGTTCTAGTATGTGTGAAAAATTTTATTTATTTGATGTATTTTGAAACTTTAGTCCCTTATTATTAGTTTAACTTATATTTGAAATTTTCATCTAGTCTTTGATTGCGTAAAAATTATAAATAAAATCAATGTTCTATAATAATTTTGAGAGGCAGAAAAAAAGATATTTTCATACGCCACCATTTCGCCAAACATATAGTCCCTGATAGTTTTCAAACGCAGTTTACCATTTCTATTTAAAGTTGTATAATTGTGCTGAGGAAAGAAAAATATGGCTTTTAAATCTCTTACATCTAAATATATAAGACATGTCAACAAATGTACTTTGAATATTCCATCTAGTCAGAAACCAGAGAAGAATCCTACCTAGAGTCAAGTATACTTAGTTATAAGTCTCTCTCGGGAATTTTTTTCCCACTCATACATATATACATTTTTTTCTTCTAATGAAATATGGATATAAAGAACAGTAATCGAGTTCAAAAGTCTACTTAAACAAGAGAAATCGGAAGCAGAGCAAGCATCAGAAAACATCTAAAAACATCTGAGGTGGAATCAGTTTCCATGGGGCAGCAGGTATCCCTTGTCAACCGTACGGTCACACCCGCCGTGGTTTCCTTGTCACGGTCGGGCAAATGACATAAAAAAATTGTGACAAGAAAAAGTTTCAGGTTATTTTGCGTAATTTTTTTTTTGACCTTTCTTTGCTCAGAAAATATTTCTTTCTTTTCCTAGCACTAAAAATTGAAGAAGCAGTAAAATCCTGTAATACCATTTACATTTCACATGATTTAAGCAAAACTGTCAAACTATCATTCAGAAGAAATTTAAAAGATAAGGAGTTATGTAGTAAATTTGTATGTGTTAATTTTAAGCTAGAATAGGAGCTATTTCCCCCCTGACTTTTTCAGTATATTAACAGATTTATTGAGATTGATTACTTTAAGATATCTTTTTTTTAACTTAAAGTGTTATAATGTGATGATAAAATTCACAAAAAATATCTACAGTGTATTATATAATTGTATTTACGCTTATATATCCGCGAAGCGGATTATAAAAAAGCGTAAACTGACCCAAACCATATTATACTCGATAATTTGGCCAAGAATTAGACGTTATTCCTTATAATTTAATTTTAAAATAATTATTCAACTGGGGATGTAAAACTGTGTTGTTTTTATGAGTTCAAATTTACCGCGCAATAATACAACCGTAGTAACGGAAGTGATGGGAAGCGAGGGGAGGTAAAAACTGATACATAAATCTAGCAGCCATGATGCTTGTTTACATGAGGTAAAATCGAGTAACTGTTTGAAATTAAAGGTACATTAATTAAATCTGGAATTTTCCATGAATCCCAAGGACTGGAAATTTCAGGGGATTGATGGATACAGATGATTATGCTGGTTGTCAAGGGGGTGTGTCCCCCTACACATTAAACAGATTATACAAAATGTTATGCGTTCCTTTTTGGAAATCAACCAATGAGAGGCAAGAATACAAGCAAAATTAAATTATCTTAAAATGTTATAATGTGATGATAAAATTCACAAAAATATCTACAGTGTATTATATAATTGTATCGACACGATATATCCAAGTGAGCTTGAAAAAAAAGATACCTCAGAACCTGAGACCTCTGTTTCATATTTGGACCCTTTTCTTGAAAAAGACGTTAATGTCTAACAATAAAGCTTTATGATAAAAGTGATGACTTTCACTTTTCAGTCGTCAACTTTCCTTACTTATTCAGCAATATACCATTGTGACCTGCATACAGAGTTTATATCTCTCAATTGATTCGATACAGGAGAGCATGTTCTTCGTATGAGCAATTTTTTTAAACGGGGTATGCTATTCAGAAACAAGTTGCTGAAGCAAGAATATCAACAGTCTCGTTACATCATTTTGTAAGTTCTTTGGTCGAAGCAATCACCTTGTCAGCAAATACAATTTATTATTAAGTCAAATGCTGACTGACGTTTTTCATACTGATTGTTATGCCATTATATATACACTGAATTGACGTCGGATTTTTCCGTTTTTCTCGATCATGACAAAGAGCACACGGTGGGTATAATCGGTTGGCAGAGGGTACCCACTCCTCCATGGCACCTGATCCCAACTCTGATATTTAGGAGGTCTGTGTTTGCCCTTGTCCTATTTTGTAACGTTTAATGGACTTTTAAGCTCGATTACTGTTCGTTATTTCCACAAATTTTATATTAGCAAAGTAGAAAATAACTCCGTGTCCAAAACTGAAGAAATCAAACACAGCGTAAAATTCGCTTTTAAAATTATAATCAAGATGTGTATTGTGAAACACTGATGTCCACGTATGGCAGCTTATGGCGAGTCAAAGTTTTTAAAATGCAAGTCAAACTCCAATGTCAAGAGATAAAAAATTTTGATACCCAAAGAAATAACTTACGTCAATGGATATCCCTTATGGCTATGAAAGTCGAAGTACCAATCATTCCAAAATTATGGTCAAGGTTATTTTTTCTACAAGTGGATCAGACTCAAGGGTCAAGCCCTGAGGCTCAAAATTAATATGAAGCAAGAAATTAAAAGATCGCCTTGTCATAGGAGAAAAAACATGCAAAATATAAGAGCTCAAACAACTTTTAAAAAGTTATGTCAAATGTTACATTTTTTTTCAAAAGTAGGCCAAAATCCAATATCAAGGTCAAAATGTCAAAATTGTTGGTATCCAAAGGAAGGTTTTGAATGAGGAATATACTTGTAGAATTCAAATCCTTCGTACTAACTGCTCAAAAGTTAGAGTCAAGATTAATTTTTTAAAGAAAGTCAGGACTGGAATTTTTAGCTTGGATACTGTTTATTTATCAGCAGACCTGTTGTTGTATTCATACGGAGCATAATTTGTTAAAAATCTGTTACGTGAAAAGAAAAAAAAAACACTTGCAGTCGCCTTATGGACATACGCCACTCACATGTTAACAAACTTTACAATTACATTTTCCACTGATAATTTTTTGAAAAGATATTCTCACCAAACCCTCATAGTACCTTAAGATGTTCTTACACAAAAAAATCAGCATACATTATCAGGAGTTTTAACCATATATAAAATGATAAAAAGCCTTGCATTTTTTTTAGAAAAAAATCATAAATATAGTTTTAACAGGCAATTCCTATTCTGATCTGGAGAAGGTGTACAGTATTGCCAGGCCTCAAAAAATGACACAAAGGTCCTTCAATAAATGGAACTACAGGTACATCCTTCCTTTGGGCAGATTTTCTGAATTTTCTGTCTACTCATATCTAGCGATTGAAAGACTTTCACCCTACTTATTATCAAAGTTTTCAAAGTGGGCTCCAGACTATACATATATTTTTTAAACTAAGATATCATTTTTAAACATCTGTCGGTATATAGAGATCAAATTCCGAAAGGTTTTATGGTAAATTTGATCTCGCAGCAATCTGCATTACGATATTTATACCAAAATATAGTTAAAAACATCGAAATCCAAGAAGGGTGAATTTCATTTTAGAAATGGGACTGCGGACCAAATTGTTAAACACCTCTTTTTTGAATAAACAACTCAAGGAAAATATAATTGTATAATTAAATTTTGAGCGTCTCTTATTATTTGATTTTGATAAAAGTTCATATATACCACTAAGCCCCGAGACCATATCTAAAAAGCAATTATATTGCCCATTCATTTTTTTTCTATATTTATTTGTAATGTCTGAAGCTTTTTAATATGCAGGATTTGTGTGGCCAATATTCTTGTTAAAATATTCCAATGTTAATTATTCAGGGCGGATTGATTAGTATGTGTGACACAAAGTTAAATTTTTTCACGTATATTAAAAAATCTATTTTGACCACAAACATTACAGGACAGACTACAGAAGCAAGCCTTCGGATGAATAATTTTAAATTTCAGAAATTTCATCTTCCATTATAAAATATAGGATAAAATTTATTTGTATTTAAAAATACAGTGCATTGTATTTGTTTGAATAACATGTTGAATTGTAATTATTGTATCAATAATGTATATGGATTTTTCTTCAGTTTATGATATTAGGGACAGAGATAAATATAGCTACGGCGACAAACTTCTCTTTGTGGTGATAGCACTTTGTCCTTTTCCTATTCTTAGGTAAAACATTATATTTGCTTTTTTTGCTAAAAGTTATGCATTAATTAATCTTACATTACATAAAATTACATCTCCAGGCCCTTATTGATAATATCAGGGACCTTACAATTTTATCCTTTTTTTCTTTTCTGTGAAAAAAATAAACTTAAGCTGAATGATTTATTTTTGATAAAGTACATGTATATCTATTTAGGAATATTCCTGAATAAATAGTCAAATAGACTAATGTTGCGTTGAAAAGAATTTTAAATAAATAAATTACTGTAAACCAACTTTTATTCACGTACTTTTTTCACCATTTTTACTCATCAAATTATAAATCTGATGTGGTGCACAACCCTCAAACAAAACAAATAAATATATACATGTATATTTGAATTATATAATTTTATTAACGTGCAGAAAAATAGCGGAAAGATTTTAATGGTGGAATATAAAGATTCTGTTCATTTATCTACATAATTATTGTAGTGTAATACATTCTATGAACTCTGATTGTTTTTTTTTTTTATTAAAAAAAAAATCGATATTTATTGTGAAGATTGAACTTATCATTATGCAGGAATCCTACCGTGTCGTGTGTTTAAACTGTTCTATCGTTTCTCATGTCGAAAAAACAAACAACAAAAAAGTATAGGATGTTATTAAAGTTTTTTAGAATGACGTTTCCAAAAACGTAACATAAACATTTATCAATCCAAGTTCAGAATTAAATGACATTTCTAGCTTAGACCGGATAAAGGGAGATTTTCATGATTTGTTTTTCTGTTGTTTTTTTATACATTAATTATTAATTTACGCAGTAGATGATGTAATTACCACAAAACGCGTTTAGAAAGTACATGACAGTTTTACGTGTCAAAAATTAGCCTTGGTCATCAACAAAAAACATCTATAAATACTACGGCTGCTGCAGTGACTTCTTCATAAGCACAGAAAACAATTAAGGTAAGAAATACACAATTGGGCGATTTAAAAAAATATTACAGTTATTTCTATATTAAATATATGCTAAATTTATGTTTAAACTATGTTTCAGTAAGAGATTTGCACTCCACAATTTCATTTTTAAAATTTATGCCTTGGTAGAAAGAATAATCGTAAGCAATGGATTCCTTTTTCTTAAAGAGAAGAGAAAATTCCTCTACAAATTTGTGCATGCTATTCCGAATAATGAGAACCCGTCTAGTATAATGTTCATGAGGTTCCAATTAACGAGGCCGAGTCTAATTATTTCTACCCTAGGGATTTTGATAATTTTTCGTTAATTAATTCTTATTATATATTGTTTATTTATTTATTGTTTTAAGATTAAAAAATCGAATGTGAGCCATCCCGATTTCTTAGGTGGCCATCTCAAAAATTGTCAGATTTAACTATTAGACTCTATAGGAATTTGTTGGAAACGCGCACAATTATCACATTTTTTCAATATTTTTGTATTTCTGCCTTAGAGATTTCTTTTTCATTCAAGTATATGAAAGTTCTTGTAAAAAGTCACCAAATTGTAAAATTTCAACAACAAAAATCTTTACCATCTATACTGGTTTTGTAAATTACAGAGTTGATTTTTTCAATGCCCATTACCGGTACCTCTGAAATTGCCATATTTTGGTATAAATACACATTGGTGCAAGATAAATTTTCGGCACAAATTAAATTTTTTGGGGTAAAAAAAATAGCAATGTTTAGATCACTAGTATGTTTCTTTTAATATTCTGACATAAGTTTATACTATAATATCCATGGACGTCTTGAACATACAAGAGAGCCATGTGTCAATTCTTCAGCGTCATGCATTGCTTACAAAATCGGAAAACAGTGACGTTCGTTTTTGGAGCCATTTCAGCATTTTTCATAATTTTTGTCGTAAAATCACATTTTCAGACCAGTGGGCGTTACAGATAATGTTAACTTTATATGAAGATCACAATATTTGGCAAAGGTGCATATGTCTGCATGAAATTAAAAAGCTGCGCAAAGTCTTGCGCACTCGAATTAGACTCGGCCTCGTTAATAATAGAATAGTTAATACTGACAAGATTACGGTATCAAATAAAGAATAATTTCTTACAGATGCTAAGAATACTGCTGGTGGTTGCCCTTGTCGTTTTTATTCAGCACTGTGAAGGTCAAGTCGGCCGTGGGGGTCAAGGTGGGCGGGGCAGACAAGGTGGGCGTGGCGGCCCTGGGGGGCGGGGTGGTCGAGGTGGACAAGGTGGACGTGGCGGCCATGGGGATCATGGTCGTGGTGAGTACTTTTTTAGATACATAAATTTCAGTTTTAATTGGTAATATAATCGGTAAAGTATATTATGGTTATAACAGTAAAGTTCCAGATTGCTAAACAAGATAACAAATTTATACAGATATCGAGACTACTACATACATATATTATGATTGTCAATTTGATGATGAGTATAGTGTTTTAATTGAGAAAGCTTAAAGTGATTATATTTTTTGGGTGTTTCACACAAGACACATTATTTTCTATTGAGATATAATTTTACACAGTTATATAAGTAAATAAATTTTATTTAAAACAATATTTTTCTTATAAGATCATTTCTTATAATACTTCCCTCTTTTCTTGCGAATACATATCAGTTTTTTTCATTTTATGAAGGACATATGGGCAGGCAACCTATTGCCTTCACAGCATGAATGTCTGAAAATGCCACCAATATTCAACCTGATGACACAATACCCTACTCGATGAATGTCGTCAACAGTGGAAATGCTTTTCAAAATAATGTCTTCACTGCACCAAAGCCCGGGGTCTATTTCTTCACGTGGAGTGTTACCTCGCTTCCAAACTTTCCTGTTGACACAGCATTGGTGAAGAACAACGATACAATAGCCGTACTCTCTTGTCATAACTTCTCTAACCCCGGGAAAAGAAACACGTGTTCTCAATCGACGACTGTCCAACTAACGGCCGGTGATCAAGTTTCGGTCAGAGCAACGGAAACCATGGACATTATGAGCGCTTCTTTCTGGCCTTCGTTTTCTGGATTTAAATTGTAACAATAAAAATAAACTTTGCAAGGAAAAGTGATAAAAATGTATTTGTCTGCCTTAATGTTTATGTCCCAATTTTTTATGTACATTTATATTTTTAAATAAAAGAATTAGAAAAGATTATGGAATTTGTTTTTCTTTTGAACTGTTCGCTTTATGAGGTACATTGAATAACCCCCCTCGACTTTAGATTAAGAAATAATTTTCTTTTTAAATGTTTTATGAGTCATTTAAGATTTACTTGTACTTATTCTCAACTGTAAAAATAAAAGGTAAAACATACAAAGGCTATTGAAAAGTTGAAACATTCCATATACAAGGTTATCTTAATGAAATATTGTTTTATATAATATTTTACATTCAGCTTCGACAATTTATAAAAAATTAAATTTGACATTTTTTTTTATAATTAATTCGTCCCATTATATTAATTACACTTACCCAGAGTAAACACATCATATCAGGCACCCGACGCGGTCCATTTCAAAACAACTGGTTTTCAAATTTTGTGGGATGTGGAAACCGGTCCTTACCGGTATGACGAGACCCTATAAACCGAGGTCCTGTGGTGCAGTAGGTACCAGCAAGAAAAAGATCATGGCCCTAAGTGCATATATCGGTTAAAAATTTGCGGCTCTCCACCAGCAAGTAGTGGCACCACCATATGAGTGAAAAATTCTCGAAAGGAACGTCAAACAACAAACAGAACAAAAATCAAACTTAAATTGAAACTCATGAAATAGTTAATATATTAGGATATATATTAAATTGTTTAGTTGTTGTGCTTGTTTTTTCTCCTGTGTTTTATTTGTTTCTACATTGTCTGCCTTTTTAGTCTTAAAAAGGGTACAAGACGTTTAAAAAACTAGACACTTTCTATTGTTTGTATTATTGGTCATTATTAAGATTGTGTTTTATATTTTCCATTCGTGATCTTATATCTATTTATTTAGTAGATACGACCAAAGAATATCAAGTGCATGCTGTCGGTTTTCAAATGGTATACGAGGGTTTTCCAAAAAAAAAAAAAAACCCGTCTGTAGACAGTGATAAAATGAAGAATAGTGATTGATCTAAAAAAGATTCAATACAAATTTGTGAAGAGAGCATAAATACAGACCCCTGGAAATTCCAGAGGTGCGATCTGTAGTAGTGTATATGAGGAGTGAGCATCCTTTGTGGACCGAAAACACACACCAGAAGTCCTTGAATGAAGGATATGGAGATAAAGAATAGTATTCAATATCAAAGTCCATAAAACAATACAAAATAGGAGCAGAGCAAACATCAGAGGTTGGATCAGATGCCATGGAGGTGTGAGCAACCCTGCTTCAAGTTTCTTTTTTCTATTAAGCTAACTGGCTCATCAGAGTAGTTATATATACATGATAATAATAAGAAAACATACAGAGAGAGCGAACGCAAATAACACATACAATTTTATTTTTTCTTAACATTGTGGCAGCATTCAAATATTTGCCCAAATTTAAGAGATCTTTAATATCATTCATATCAATAGAACTTAACAGCTGAATTAATTCAAAGAGACTTGGCTTAGCATAATGATACTTTTTTCATAAATTTCTTTCTTACATCAATATACAAAGGGCATTTCAAAATAAAATGAAATTCGTCTTCTACATCATGGAGATTTTAACATATACACCGACATAATCTATTTATCTTAGGTATGTTATGGTGTCGACCTGTTTCAATATTCAACGTCTGATTCGATATCCTAATTTTTGTTAATAGTTGTTTGAATTTTTTGTCAATAGGTTTTGTTAAATATGATTGCAAACAGAAATTGTCAATTAAATGTTGATATAAATTACACTTTGGAGATTTTAATATACTTTCAATTATAGTTTGCTTTGAAACATCTAAAACTCGTTGTTTTATAATGTTATATTTACATTTCCAATGTCTTTGTCCGAGATAAAATTACCAAATGTAAATGTACTTTATTTCTCCATCAATGTATTGGTGCGGTTCCAAAAAAAACCACGTGCAGGGCAGGACAAACAGCTGGACAGAAGCAGGGCTTGGAGCACATGGATTGGCGGAATCAAAGCATGTAAATATAAGGAATAACTGTCAGATTTTTCAATTTCATGAAGATGATCAATCGATTGGCTTGCGTGATAATTTTATGCATAAACGCCTTCGGACAATCGATTGGTCACTTCATGAAATCGAAAAATAAGACAGTTATTCCTTAAATAAGCTCTATCATTTAAATTATTTTCTGTCCAAAGTTGACCTAGACCTAGAAGAGAGTTTTTTTTTGATTTGTAATATCCATTTGTCATCTCGTAATACCATACTTTCATAACAGGACGTAAGAATGCAATTTTCGGTTGTTCTTAATTTGATCCAATGTTTAAATATTGAAGGATATGGAGATAACGAACAGTATTCAATATCAAAGTCCATATAAAAAATACAAAATAGGAGCAGAGCAAACAAGGACCTCCAAAACATCAGAGGTGGGATCAGGTGCCATGGAGGAGTGAGCATCCTCTGCCTACCGGTCACAACCGCCGTCTGCTTCTTGTCATGATCGGGAATTAACGGAAAAATCTGCCGTCACTTCAATGTATAAAAAATGGACTAACAATAAGTATGAAAAACGTCAGTTAGTATTTGACTCAATGATAAATTGTATTTGCTGACAAGGTCAGTGTATCGACCATAGAACTTACGAAACGATGACTTTAAACGAGACTGCTGATATTCTTGTTTCATCAACTTGTTTGTCAATAATTTACCTCTTTTTAGAAATTGTTCATAGAGCTTGGTTGTTAGATTATCATTAACGTCTTTTTCAAGTAAATATCCAAGTATGAAACTGATTTGTCAGACTCTGTGGTATCTTTTATCTTATCTCAAGCTCACAAGGATATATCGTATCGACATAGGAATGGAAATTACTATTGCTAATTGACAATACGTCGTCGATATATCTAAATGTTGAGTTGAAGGCCACGGCAGGCAAGTGTTTTCTTCTTTTCACGCATTAGATTTTGCACAAAGTCTGCTTCATATGAATACAAAAATAGGTCTGCTAATAACGGAGCGCAATTGGTACCCATGGGAATTCGAATAGATTGTTGAAAGACCTGGTCTCCAAAAACCACATAGATAATATTGTCAATCAGAAAGGCAATCATCTTTTTGATGTCAACTTCAGAGTACTTGTGTGTGCAATCAGAATGTTTTTAACAAAATAATTTTGCAAATGTCCATTTTTATTGAAAAAGCAGCTGTCAATTATATCAAATTAATTAACTTTAATTTATCGTGGGGAATGGTTGTGTATAAAGTTGAAAAGTCGTAAGTTTTTAAGATGTTGATTTTGGTAAAATCTTGTGATTTCAAATTGTCCAAAAGAGTATCCACATCTGATTCACACCACTTCTTGAATATATTGTTGCACAGTACTCTTAAAGTTTTTCCTTCACTACTGTCAATATTATAGTGAGGAGTAAAGAAAGAGGCTTGGTTGAACATTTACTGGAACCCGCAATGTATCTTTGTTTGTAAGGATCTTATGAAATTTCGGAATCCAGTGTATATATCTGATAGTGCAAATTCATTTTGGTTCTTCGGGATGTTAAAAATATTCAAACTGACATATGATTTCGAAAAATTTCTTCCTTAGATATAGAGAACTTTGAGTACATGTTGGATTAACACTTGTAGAATTAAATCTAAGTTCATCTGAAATACAATTTATATATACTCACCGTCAATGAAAACGCAACACTCTAATTTTAGGGTGAAAAGTATATACAGGTTATAACTATGTACCAAAATAATTAGGACATCTTTTACTTTGCCAAATCAGTTATTTAACGGTTGAATGAATTTCTTTCCTCTACCGGAAGTTGTTTTTTAGCCCTCTTAACAGAAATCAAAATTTTGCATTTTTGATAAAATTTTTAACAATATTTTGGGTTTTCAAGGTTTTGTAGCTGTTTATCATAAGTATTGTACAAAATCCCGACTATATTTCCTCAAAATGGCTGGTTTTCATTGCTTATGCTGGAGATTCTCAAAATAAAGAAAAAAAGAGCTGCAGATGCAAATGAAACCTATTTAACGACTCATCAGGCTCATGTGTTTCAATTGCATAAATAACAGTTTCTTCACCGGACGTCCAAGAGTTACTACACTACGCCATATTAGAGAAAATTCGACCGCAGTATCTGAACAACAGGCAATTAAAAATGCCCAAGAATATTTATTTCGCTCAGATAAAGACATTGATAAACCTAATGCATGGTAGAAATCGGACTGCGTACATGTATGTTGTACATGGCGGACTAGAATGTTTTGATTAAATGGTCGGAAGGGGGGGGGGGTGTTATTTAAATGTTATCTGTTAAGAGGGCTAAAAAATCAACTTTTGGTAGTGGAATTGAAACCATTAAACCATTGAATAACTGATTTGGCAAAGTAAAAGATGTCCTAACTTAATTGGTACATAGTTATATCCCGTATATACTTTTCACCGTAAAATTAGAGTGTTGCGTTTTCATTGACGGGGAGTATAATAATGAGCCTTACAAACGAAGACGATGTTGTTACCTGCGTTGTCAGCAGGGTCCAGTAGGTACTGATTATGAAATCTATCTAATTCTTTTTTCACTTCTGAATTATTGAATACAGAAGGATAGATGGTTTTCATGATTGCCCCTTATTCTTATTTTCATTGTAACTGCTAGTGGAAAACGTCCGAGCTCTGAATAGATCAAACTGTTTGAGGTTTTCTTCCTCACACCAATAGTATTCTTACAAAAATTTAAATGTGCCCTTTCTATGTCAGAACATCTATGAAAACCCCATATTTCAGATCCATAAAGTAATACGCTAAATACATAAGTATCAAAAATTGAACATAGAATATCTACATTAAATTCATACTCTTAAATCTACTTGGAATAGCAAACATACCTTGTTCAGCAGCATGTTTCTGTGTTTTTGAAAATTTTACATTAAAGTAAAATAAAATACCTAGATATTTAAATCCATTCACAATTTCTAATTTAATTCATTCGCAATTTCTTATTTATCTAATTTTTAATAGAAAGGCCGAAGGTTCCATATTCTTTCAGTGTGAAAACAAAGGCCTAACAATCGGTATAAAACAAGCCCAAATGAATAGCTTGCTCCTTTTAGAAGTTGTCCATACTAGCGTAGAGGAGGATCTTGCGCATTGAATCAACTCGGAAACATTTCCTTTTGTGGAAGTTATGAGGGTATATTGTTACATAAATAAGGAAAGTCTACAATAGAAAAATTTAAGTCATCATGTATATCATAATGTTGAGTTCTTTAGGTTATCATTTACGCCTTTTTCTAGTAAAATATCCAAATTTAAGATAGATATGCAAACACTGTGGTATTTTTAATATATTCGATCAATACATACTATCTTTTCCAAAATATATTACTAAAGTCAGGTACTCTTAACACAATTTCTCTGAAATAATATACTAGTAGTTCCATTTATGATCAGTAAATACAACATTAAATCAAGTGTTTAGAATGAATATGTGTTTAGGGTTTAAAGAAAATCGCCTTTACCCCAGAAATGCAAATAAAAAAAAGTATTAATATACCTACACTAGCTGTCTCCTGTTGTTCACCAAAACATATAGTTCATTCTTCGATTGATAATGATAAGTCTTTTCACAAATTGTATTACTTTCAGAATAATTGTTTATAATTTGTCTTCTGAGTTAGATTGTTAATCAGTTACTTCTTTCTCTTATTATTCAAATAATGATGGTTATACAACAACTGCAATTGTAATCTCGCGCAAATGTCTGAAAAGATGATATCTTTGCCTATGTATAGAACTAGGTCATTTATTATTGCAAGCACAGGTGTGTTCACTATTCGCTTAGACTGAGTGTTAGTTTCTGCTATGGACATGAAGAACAAAACACTAATCTATTCTTGTTTATTTCAAGTTACTCGGAAATACTGAGTTCACAAATAAATGGTTAATTGATAAATAAAATATATGGCGATAACAAACATCTCAAAAGTCCATTAAACAATACAAAATAGGACCTCCAAAACATCAGAGGAGGGATCAGGTGCCATGGAAGAGAGAGCATCCCCGCCGTGTACTCCTTGTCATAATCGGGAAATAATGGAAAATCCGTCGACAATTAGTATGAAAAATGTCAGTCAGCATTTGACTCTGAAATGATAATTGTATTTCGACGATGTATTGTAAATAAACAATGGTAAATTCCATTCTTACATATATACTGTACGGAAAAAGAAACGCAGGGTAAACTTTAGAGGTGAAATAATTTTATTTTTCCTAAAGTATTTTCTAGCATTCCCATCTAACGTTTAAAATCATCTTTAATAAAAATGTAACCAAACCTTCATTTGATTTTGCCTCATAATTTGTAAGTTATTGAAATTGATATGACGATACCCCCCAAAAGTGAAAATTGAAAATTCACATTATTTTCAATGTCTCCTTCGCGCATCTGTCACAGTCTTGTTTCTCCTTTGCATGGAGTTCATCAGTGTGTTTTTCCTACAAATAGGAATAGTTCTAAACCTTTTTAACAACATAACCCTTAGTTGAAAGGTATTATCTTTGGTATTTCAACCCTATTTTCCACTAAGTCCCACAGATGTTCAATGAGAAAAAGATGGACTTTTTGGAGACCAGTCAAGTGGATTAGTGATTGTTTGCTAGAAAGTCTTGATAAACCTCGCCTTCAATGGGTCAGAGGTAAACATGGCGAAAAAAATAATAAGCAAACGGCACGCGCATGCGCCAGTGAGAGGAATCCCTACGTAAAGTTGACCAGCTCAAAGATCCAAATCACTCAATCGATTTCTTTCAGTTTTATAGTGAATGTAATGATTATGAAAGCCTACTCTATTAATAGCAGTTTTGTGGTAGTAAACTGGCGATTAATCAGATGGCAGGACGAATAACCTGATATTGACGCGGCGCTGTTACGCGTCAACGTCATCGTCACGGATGATTGAAAACCATCCAAGGCCCTCTCTGACGACCGTTAAGAGATTCTATGGGGGAAATTTACTTACGACTGAAAATCAAGCCGTTGTTGCTTTTGTCCTTTTTTAGGCAAAGTAAAAGCCAGACTCCATGAAACTTCCGTCAATTGTTACAAGATTGCAAGAAATGCATTTCGTCAAAAAATACTGAAAATCAATGTGTATACCTCAAGTGCATGAAATGGTACAAAAAGATCGTTGTCAAACTTGTCGTAATCAAGTTGCACGAGTTTTTGGCGTTTTAGCACTTTTCCGACGTGACGTCATACATTTCCCGGTTGAGTAATTTTTAAACACTGATTTTAGTGCGTAGTAACCAATTGCAAGATTCTCACCTGACCAATTTTTGTAATTTTTGGTCATGTGGAAAAGAAATTTTCGCATTTTATGTTACCTTGCGTTTCTTTTTCCTTTCAGTATATGATACGATATTTCCTGGTGAGCTTGAGCTTAAAGATACCACAGAATCTGACACATCTGTTTCATATTTGGATATTTTACTTGAAAGAGACTCAATGGTAAACTTACAACCAAGCTCTATGATCAACATGATGACTTTAACTTTTCTATCGACAACTTCCCTTACTTATGCAAATATACCTTCATCACCTGCATACGGAGTTTATATATCTCAGTTGATTCGATACGCAAGGTCACCGGGATATAAATCGTATCGACATAAGTATGGAAATTGCTATGATTTATTGACAATACATCGTCAATATTTCTAAACGCCGAGTTAGAGCCCACAATGTTTTCTTCTTTTTCACGTATAAGATATTGACAAGTTCTGCTACATACAATGTATGTGTTTTGGATGGAAGACAATGTGAAAGCTCCGTTTATTCCTGATTTATCTTAAGTAACTTGGAGCGCATCCAAGACTACGTTTATCTAGTAACTAGCAGGTGTCATTGTCGTATACAATTGAGTGTAGAACTGGAAACTCGTTGTGTTTACGGCATAAAGGCTTTGCTCAAAGGAACGATCCCTTAGAATTCTAGATGGAAGTCTCTAGACTGAAAGTATATCATTGCGTTGAAGTCGATCACTGAAGAATGGCCGTATCCATGACAAGGCCTTACCGTTTAGGCCCAACGATACTAATTCAAGGCGATTTATAAGAAGTGTGATCAATCACATCGAAGGCTGCAGATAAGTCTAGCATCGATAGAACAACACATGAGCCCTTGTCTGGTGCTGATGTTATGTCGTGATGGACTCTAGAGAGCAGTCTGAGCTGAGTTGTGAACACGGTATGCTGGTTGTTGTCTATCATGTAGATGATTTGACACTAAATGATCTTCCAACCTAGAATTAACAACTTTTTTCAGGATTTTAGAAATAAACGAAATGTTCAAGACTGGACTTTTTGTCTAATCCCTGTTCTTTATCTCTTTTTTGTCAGTAATTTCACTAACATCATCTCTTGTCAATGTTGTTATATTTTAATTTGTCTGTAATCTTTTTCTATGCTAAAAAATATCTGGATGGTCCTCCCTCTTCTATCCATATACTATGTCTTAGATAAGGAACCCTTCTAATTTACATTAATTTCCTAAATGTTTTTCTAACTCAGATTGTAGATAAGCCAGTGTATCTCCAAAAGTGTGTATCTCTTATGATTTTGGGATCATAGGACTGGTGCTAAATTTCACACAATACACAATTACACCATCCTGAAACCAAGCGTCTATGGTTGTGACCGCAGTTTTTAAATTACACTTTATAAATTATTTACATTAAGGACCATTAAAATAATCATCGGGTAGTGATCAAAATATTAAGTTCAGTAAACCCGGACCTGTTGCTAGTCGCAGCAAGTATATATAAAACAGACGAGCAACTTTCCATAACCAGAAGATATATAGGAACTCCAGAAATGGAGGGACGCCTGTTACTGTTTCTGCATTTAATACAGGCTAGTCTTTTCCCTACCTGTCAGTCAATTACACCCACGGAATATGAGAATAAAGTTGATCAAACACTAAACCAGGTATGTTGATTTGTCTGAAATTTCTCCCCTATTTCATTCAAAACATCATGTGTTTTTTATACGTCTTATATTATGTTATAGGCTTCTTCCGTCCCGTCCGTCTGTCCGTCTGTCTGTTAGCTTTTTCGTTTCCGGCTCATAACTTTAATACTATTAGGCCTAGGATTATCAAACTTTGTCATCTGATGCATCTTGGGTAGAAGGTGTGTCGCTCTGACCTTTATTTAAGAAGTTATAACCAAATATGGAAAAATCCTTTCCGGCCCATAACTAGAAAACCATAAGACCTACAATCATCAAACTTGGCCAGTTTATGCATCTTAGGTAGAAGGTGTGTGACCTATTTCAAGGTCACTGTGACCTTTAATTTAAGTGAATTTTAAAAAAAAAAAATGTGTCTTTTTACTATTCATTTACACATCCCAAATAATGTAAGAGTATTGCACTGTTCTTATTAAAAAAGTGTTAAATCAAGAAAATACTTATTTTTTTTAAGCATATACTTGACAGCAATCTATAACAAATATAATGTATGTCAGAGAAATCCTGCCTCTCCCATGAGTGTAATTATCAAGCACTGGTCAAGAAGAATTTTGATAACAGAAAATTGCATGTCAAATTAGAGAGAAATTAATGGGTTTTGAGTGCGAGGAGCTAGCATTGGTGTTATCTATATCCCTTGAGTATTGGGCAAATGGGTAAGCCTGTTTGATTAAAAATAGCTCTTGTTGACTAGCATGTTTTAAAATGAATTTGATGAAAATTAATTAAAACTAATTTGATATTGCATAATAGACTAATCTGATAATATGTAATATTATTAATTTAAAAACTAATTTTTTGGGGTGGGGTGGAATCAGCATGTCCATATGAATTACATATTAAAACCTGTCGGACATTAAATCTCAACCAAAAAAAAAAATCTTTGAATTTTATTAAATTTATAGTAGATAGTGCAGACCCATTCATCTCTTGGTAGTAATGAGTAGACAAGCATCCAGTTTAATCTAGATTAATTAATGAGTTCAGTGTAGGAAGGCTAGTTGTCTCAGTCGCTCTAATTAAGCAGTGACCTTATCTGTGCCCTTTGGGGATTAGACAGAAGAACTGCTGGTCAGTTTATAACGTATGTCATTTGATGGCCAGCCTTTTCTTTTCAAAATTAATTTGGTATAGATTAAGTTGTTAAGACTAATTTGATGATGGGCATTTGACAAGGTCTAACACAACCAGCACAGAAATCTATCAGTGATGTAATATTTATTATAATTGATGCCAACATCACAGGGGATGGATAAATATTTTAAGGAATGGAAAAATCATCAAAATCTTAGAATCAAGGTTGATGTGATTTTCTTGCACCTAAACTGTTCAAGAAAATTGTAATTTTTTGACGGGTGTATCATGCTGTGGCGCGGCACTTTATTTTTAATATTGATAACAGCCTTTAGATGCCTTGTTGTAGTTGTAGCTATTTTTAAAAACTTACTGCCTTTTTCAGGAACTATGTCTATGGCCTACGGAAAAAATAAAAACATAAAAATACATGAAATTCGTATTTTAAAAAAAAATGGAGTATTGTAATTGATATAGGGATGGGTTAGGTTTTTCGCACTCTCGAATATTCATGCTATCAATAATTATTGCAAGACGTTCCTTTTTTACTTTTTGACTTAGTGCTCATTTCTAGAGTTGTTTTGGACATATGACCATTAATTAAAACATGCTTTCCCTAGAGTATAGTTTTATACTTTTGAAATATCTTTAATAAACGTTGTTCTATAGCAGACATTTAGCTCAACAAACATCTCTGTACAAGCTACATGTATATCGCGGGATAAATTAAATTCACAATTAAAAAAAAGGAAGAAAAGTGTCTTACGCTTTCCATTTTGATTTCATGACATGCAGTTTACAAGCTAATAAACGCATGTAGAAAAAACAAGGAAACGTCTGTTTTAGACGCATGAATATTTTTATTAGAATTCTCATTTTATACATATGGTTTCAAATAATTTAATTTTTCTTAAACAAGCGAGCTATTACATTTCTATGGCCAAAATTTCGGTAAAAAAATAAAATGTTCCTTCTTCCAAGAGTTCCTGTTAACTTCACAATTTTTTAAAATTATTTTTAAGGATCTAATGTCACACTGTGTATCAACCATGAACATCTACCTCTTACATGTCCCATAAAAATCACATTTAAACAAAATTTATATCTCTGTTTTTAAAGGGATTTCAATGGGTTTGTTTTTCGTTCTTCATGAAATTGCCTAATTTTACGATTATATTCGATTGATTTAACAACATTAAACATACTTAATATTTAAAAAAAAATATTCTATGTTCCTTTTAAAGAGCTTTCTTTTCACTTCAATTGCCCATGAAGGTGGGTTTTTTTTTAAATTTGAAATCTGTTTTTATTATCTCATAGTAGCTACATGTATTCTAAGTTCAGGATTTAATGATATGAAATTAATTACAAATACCATCAAAAATTTGTGCATTTATCTATTTATAAATCCGCTAAATAAATGTCATGATGCATGTAGGCATGTATTACCCTTTAATTAAAGGTCATGTCCTGTGCTTCATGGATCCCTGGATTGACTGTTGCTGTTGTGAAGGATCTCAAAACTCTATATACCAGAGGATATGGCGAGACCATGGTCAACTCAAACATTCCTGTTACTGACCAAACTCTTTTTCAAATCGGTTCCATTTCAAAATCTTTCGCTGCTTTGCTTCTTGTAAAGCAAATGGAGGAAGCTAAGTAAATTAAGACCCATTACTTTATAGTAAATTTGTAGTTTATGAATTTTCTAGAATTTATTTTATGTAATACCGGTATTTAGATAATAAAGTTTAAGATTCATATTAGCAAAAAATTCATCTGTTTATATAATTTTCTAATAGACCTTGTTTTTCGGACAGATTTTATATACTGGCTAAAAATATGACAAAATCATGTTAAAGCATTTTATGACAATCAAATATCTTTGTTCATAAAATGTTCTCAATACATGGATATCAACAATTTCAGTCTGGGCCTACTAGTATCTACTAAAGTCAAAGACATGATGGACGAAGGATTCTTTTTTGTTGATGCTGAACGAACACAAGAGGCCACCGTTGTAGACATTTTAGCTCATAGAATGGGAGTTCCCGACCACACGAATCTTAGACTAGACCAGAACCTCACCAGAGCAAACTTACACCAGTATGTTACTTTGAATTAATTACATGTAGGAGATATCAGTAATCACGTCCTCCCGACATTTTTCGTTGATTTTCATTCCCAAATGTTAATACAAGATACCATTGTTATGATGACCAATACATTTTGCCTAATACAATGAAACTTGTCTCGTGGTTTGATGTATAGAGTAACATTTCGGATGAAAGAGCTCGAATGATTAATTGGAAGTAACTTTTAAGCACTTTTTTAAAAAAAACAGGATCGTTTTCAAGAATAATTTCATTTAACATATTTCTATTAGCAAATAAATAATGGTAATTAATAGATTCAGAGCATAAGTATTTTAGCAATTAGGGCCTATACTTTTTGGATGTTCATCTTTCGAAAATGTACTTTATAGACGTTTCAAACAGATGACAGCTGTAAAGAACTTCAGAAAGTCCTTCCTTTATTCAAACATGATGTATGGATTTGCAACTTACCTTCCTGAGAAAATGTCCAACGGCAACTCTTGGGAAAATCTGGTGACATCAGAAATTTTTCTACCTCTTAATATGACATCTTCCACGTTCATAACCACAATACCGGATCTCTCAAACGCAGCACGCGGGTACGATAAAGGACCAACGTCTAAACCAAATGCTTTAGTGCCCATTCCGTTAGACTTCAGCAAGTACGTCAACTAGATTTTGTATATCATATATTCCTTTCAGACAAATACAAGGCAAGAGTCTTATTTCTTAAAGAAAGATATTTTTATTTCAAATTAAATGCATACATATAACTATTTGTATCGAAGAATGCAAAATAATAGTAAATTGTCATTATTTTTTCTGTCAGAAAATGGGGTCTTTGGGCAGGTTCGGGCTCTATCATGTCAAATGCAGTGGATATGGCGGAGTACATGAATTTTCATTTAAGTAACAAAGACAAGAACGGCAATCTGTTTATGTCCACAATGTCGTTTGATGCATTACACCAGGAGCATAGAAAATTGTACTCAACAACTGTTAACACTTACTTTGGGAATAGAGAGGTTCCGACAACTGAAAATGGTTATGGACTCGGTTGGAAACGAGGAACATACAGAGGTAGAACAATGTACTGGTATACTTTCAGAGAGAGAGAGAGAGAGAGAGAGAGATAAATAATAGTATTTTGAATTTTAATTTAAAACCATTTTTTTATCGCTTCAGTTGATTTTTTTTTCTTCAGTTCTTGAACCCGGATTTTCAAATTTGAAATAAAATTGATTTAATATCTTTCATTTTAATATGTTAAGCTCATTTAGGCAATTTGTTTATCTAATCACCATTTTAGTAAAATCAGTATTCATATAATATACATGCACCGCATTCATATGAGCTCATTAATTTAATTGCTTTTGCTAAAGGTCTTGTCATTTTTATGGTTATTCAATTTTCCTTTTCCTATGACTATTTTTTTTTTTAAAAATGACAGTTTGGAGTTTATAAGATAGGCATTAATTTTTTCGAGCAAGAGGACTATTATCAATTAATAATTGAATAAGACATCATCCAACAATCTCTGAAGATCTCAATACATTTAATCTATTCACAGGGAACGATATTCTCCTTCATTCTGGTAGTACCTTTGGATACAGGTCTTTCATCACACTTTTCCCAAATCAAAATATAGGGGTTTTCACTTCTATGAACGGTGAAGACGACAACTATATTTTGCGTGTACTGATGCACAATTTCCTGTCTGACGTTGCTCTTGAGGTAACGCCATGGCTTGACGCGTCATCAATATGTGCAGAACTAACGAAGCCAAAATATGTGGGTTACTCCAATACAAATAATCCGAGCAGGTTTATTGGGGAGTATGTTGGCACCTACCATAATCCAATATACGGCTGTCTCTCCGTTACAATGGATCTCAACAACGAACACTTGGTACTAAAATATGGAGTGGCAACTTGGGATCTTTGGACGAAGTCGGGGAAGGACAAATTCAAAGCCGAGGGCACTGGGGATATAACATACCTGAAAAACATGTATTACATTACGTTCATTACCAACAATTTAGACGAAATTGTTTCCATTGAAATTGACAGCTTATGTAAAACATGTGGAGAAAACCCGCCTGTATTTATGAAAATATGATCTGCTTTTCTATGATCTTTCTCTTTTCTCTCCAAGATCACTGTGAAATTTATATCTATTCAAATGAATGTAGATTTTCATGTCTAACCTGTTTATGTATCTCTACCTATAGATATGAGGGATATAACTTTGGCAAAAAATAAATGCCATGGTTACAAAAAAATTCCATGATGTTTTCAAATGCCATTCCCATAGTAGATACAACCTTAAAAACGGGTGCTTATTTTTATACATGGATGTACCTTTGACCTGCCGGTCAACTTTTAACTTCTTTCTTATTTTAATAAACAATGCTAGTGTGATAAAATAAATGCATAGTCATCCACTGCGAAAGAAACTTACAATGTATCAAGCAAGGTTACCAGGCAAACTTTATTGTGGCAAGCCTTCGCCGTCAGGCAATCCACCTAAATGTGGTATGTCTCAATATTAGTCTATCCACCCAACTAATTTTGTCTTGCAATTACACTTCTTCTGTCTGCTGCCGTTTGGACAAAAAGAACCTAGCAGTTTTGCTGCGTTCGATTTGTCTTCATGATGTTCATGTGATTGGCTTCAACCAATAACAGATCATCAAAGGCCGACTAGCATATCCAGAATACAATAAGCTATTAATCGTTACATCTCCAACTTCGAAATCTTTAAAAGGCAAAGTTGAAAATAATCATATAAATCATATAAAAAATAAGCAAATAATAATTAATGTATCGTTATGATTTAATCATAGAATTCAATATCTTTGGAGAATTTTTTTTATTTAAAAAATTATAATTTAAATCCAGAAAATGTCGGCCATTGACCTCCATGAAGATCTTGCACCGCCATTTTGTACACCACTATCCATATCCTGTCTCCAGGCACCAGTTCGACAGTTGTTGACTGGCTGCACGTCGTGTACGTGTCTGGAAACGCAGCACACGAGCTGTATGCAATGTAACCTGATGAACTGTTTTTCACAATCGCTGTATTCAGCCGTTTATATGGCGATGTCAGGGTACTCCAGGTGAAAAAATAAACACCTGCATCCGGTGCCGTGAAGATCCCTGTGGTTTCGTTATAATTGCCTCCCGCGTTTGTTCTAATCACGTTGTAGATGACCGTATCGTCCTGTTCATATTGGTTGTTTCCATCCAACAGAGCGGTAAAGGCTACCGGTGACAACTGAGCTCCACCTTTATAAACGGTAAATGACATTAGCGGCAATGCCACGTATGATCCACATATCATCCTCATATGAAAGGCAATGCATATATGGATCATATGTGGCGAAATTGCCTATATATAACTGATGTAAAACTCAGACAACGAAATGAAAATATCGGTCTCTTGAGTGTTGCGACTTCCTACATTCTACGTGAAATACTACTGATCATGGGGGGTTAGTTTAAACTTAGAAAAAAATTGTTAAAATTCAAATTTTCTTTTCTCAAACCTAGTAGAACCACTAACCATTTCACACTTAGTTTGGACTTTCAGTAAGGCTTTGCATTCTCGACGTTACATTATTAGCTTCTGAAATTTACACAGCTTTCCTTCACTGTTGAAATATACATGGGATAGAAATTAGGGCAAATGTCAATTAGTGTATCGAATAACCAATTACTTTGTCTCATCCTGCACAGAGGTGGAGCTTAAGTCATCTCATCATTCTCAACAACGTTTTAAAGCTCCTGATGTTATTAAATTCTTAACCAATGAGAATCTATTCGCCATTTGGCAGGCGGTAAACATGTAGCGCCGAGAATGCCACACCTTACTGAAAGTCCAAACTAAGCGTAAAATGGTTCTAAGTACTCACCACTAACGCCACAGTTCAAGACAATGAAAAACGGGGAAAACAACAGCAAATTTCCCAGCATCTATAAAAATATAAAGAATATTTATTATCAATATTCGTAACTCTAAGATAGCGTCTTTGGTGCATTGCGTTTAACAAAGCAGATGGGTGAACAAGATTGGTCTATAGTGCGACAAACAAGAAGTGGAAAATGATATCTCAATCAAATTATTTCCTTTAATATTTTTTATCCAAATAATTTAATGGATTAAACACAGTCTTTTTTCATCTAAAATGGTCACATTAAAAATTGTGACAACAAAAGGTAGATTTAAATTAATGTTCAGTCAATTATTTGACTTTTTTGCACTCAAAAATGTAAATTTTATGATGTTAGACATTAAATAAGCAATAAACTAATTTGAATGACATTTTTCTGAATTAAAGCAGCGTGACTGAAATTTTATTCTGTAGCAGTAGTGAGTATGCAGGTGTACTGCAATATTCTAAATTTCTAATACATCCCAATTTTCCAAAATCGTTAAGAAAGAACAGGAAATATTTTGCATTTTTACATACCTTTCAAAGAAGTGACTTTCTGCAAGAAAATAAGCAGGCCAGAAAAACTTGTATTCTTTCTCTTGAATAATATTTCTCACCGTTTTGCCTCTATCTATAAAAACCCTTGTATCAACATCTTTATTTGTAGTGATTTATTTTGTTACTGAAGGCGAATTTGTAACATCTGCCATGAATGTTTTTAAATGATTTGATTGGTTCTTTCTAATTCACGGTGCCGATAGTCGCGTTATGGCTGCCAGGCAATTTTTCATAAATTTGCCTTAATAAAATCATTTCTTGTTTAAGGATACGAGAACATTTGTTTAAAAACTATGGATATTTCAATAATTGTGTATTGAAAAACATCCTGATTGAAAAATGTTGGCCTTAGGGTTCTCTTAATTAACATAAATAATTGTCTAATCAAGGTGCACGGAGGATAAGTACAGCAGCTACATTGTTCATAATTTTGTTTATCATCAGCAAACATTCAAACTAAAGTTTAACTTCAGTGTGTCGAACACCGGTTTTGCAAATACCATAGATTTGTCCTATAAACCACCATTGTATTTAGCAATCGGTGTCTCGAATACTTGGATGTCTCGAAGATTTCCTGGATCCCATGCGTCGAGTTTGAGTTATCAAAGTCTTTCTGAGTTAGGGGGTATATTTAAGGAATCACTTTGCATAACGGGCGAAGCCCGTTATGCGTAAATTATCCCATGTTTCCCACTAGTGTTGATGTCCCTGGCATACTATACTAACTAGACAGTGATTCCTTATATTTCCATTTCATTGTGAAATAAAATTGTAGATTTAGACTTTTTAAAAATGTAGACATAGATTTAAATTATACAAGGAGTCCCATGCCAATTTCAACGGTCCTCGCCCACTGACGTCAAACACAAAGGCAGCCGCACGAGATTTACATGCATATTTGGACTCCTTAGCTCCGGACCTATCGATCTGCCTAATTTACATTCCGGTAGAATTATCAAGAAATCAACTCTGTTTACATTCAAAGAATTATCACAGAGAACAAAATTAGAAATGGAAATATAAAGTCATATATTCAACTCAGTGCTATGTGAATTTATTTAGAAACAAATAAAACAGGATAACTTACACAGCTAAATAATGTACATGTAAGATGATCACTCATTCACAAACATGCAAATAGTACAATATATATATGTATTTGTCCAGTTATTAAAGCATAAAATTCGAGCGGAAAAAAAATTGAAGGGTTTGCAAATCCAATGAACATAGTTGAAATTTTACTCTTGGATTCACCAACTTGGGTTAAAACTTTCTTAACATTTTACAATTCATAAACATGCATTCATTATTGTTATACCGGATGCTTGTGATGTAGCGATAAGATGCTTGACGACAAATCAAGAAAAGTGACCAATTCACCGAAATACAAGTGTCATGAGTCAAATGAGGACCATGTGCCTGTATTGTTCTAGCTTCATATGTTCCAATAAGACACTCAAGGGTTTTGCGCTGTAATTCATTTTCAATTATAGGGAATTCCAAGTGACAATACAAAAACTGATTAAATATAATCCTTGTGTTGAAAAAAAAACAAAACAAAAAAGGTTAACCTAAAAAGATAAACCTAAAAGATGTCCATAGAAAAGTTAAAGTGACTCAGCAATAAAAAAAGATTTTTTTTGGTAAAAAAATAATACTGAATATTTCTAATTTCATGTATAAAAACATGAAATTAAATAAAATGCAAATAAAATTGGAATTTGTTTCAAATGCATACATATGGTATATCATATGACATAAGAAATATGAATGGAAATAGAATATCACATGATAGAATTTATATGTATACTGTTTCTATGTAGGCAAGCTAAATTTTAGTTTAAGTACTACATTATAAAACGAGAAAGTAGGCAAGATTTAAGACAGATTTGACTGCGCACTCTCTGAATCATTTGATTATTACAATCATTGAAAGAAAAATGTTTTTTATCACTTTGTTAATTATCTCATCAGTGAAAGCCCATTCCATAGTGACAGATAATGTTATGGACAAGACAATTTTAAAATTTTTGTTAAACCAGGATATTTTAATGAAATTAATTCTGACCGGGAATAACGCTGACTCCCAGCAATCTCTCGCATTACACGAAGGTCTAGGAGGAAAAGAAAACGCAAATGAAACAAAAACGCTGTTGAAAGAAATACTAAATCTGGTAATAAGTCTTAGAAATAAACAGGCAGAAATCAGAGGGACTCTTCAAGATGGCCTGGCGAATCTTAAAGAAACAGTCTCAATCCAGTCAGAAGAAATGAAAAAGTTACGAGATAAACTTGAGTTCACAAGTATCACGACTTCTTCGCCCGAGCCCGAGAATTCGAGTCAAGATTCAAGATCAGGTGGTAAGCGGACTTCTTAACATACTCTTTAAAAGAAATAAAAATAAGACATGCATGTTGTGTTGAGAATTTTATTGACAAAAGTGTACAAATTATATCGCACATAAAATCTCACATCTGTATGTGGTTGCTAAACATCAGTATAAAAAAAATAATTTAAAACATTTTTTTACTGTATTGATAGGAGTAGTTCCACTGACGCCTATAGCTTTTACGGCTCTCTTGAGTGGTGACGGCCTTCAATACGACGCTGGTGACACGGTCATCTACAGTTATATAAGAGTCAACGTAGGAAATCATTATAACAGCAGCACTGGGATTTTCACTGCCCCGACTGCTGGTGTATATTTCTTTACCTGGAGCACCTTAACCTCGCCAGGTGTAGGACTGAATACAGCAATCGTGAAAAACAGTTCATCGGGTTACATTGCGTTCTGCCACTGTGCTGCATTTCAAAACACATACACTACGTGTTCTCAATCTACAACCGTGGAATTGGTGCCTGGAGACAGGATATGGATTATTGCATACAAAATGTCGGCGCAGAAACTTCATGGAGGAACTTGGCCCGCGTTTTCGGGATTTAAATTATAGACTACTAGTATTTTTCATTATTTGTTTCATTATTTGAACAAAAATTCAAATAAATTGACAATTAACAACTTCAAAATGATACCTTATTTCTTAATTATTTGTCCAGTTATTAAAGCATAAAATTTGAGCGGAAAAAATGGAAGGGTTTGCAAATCCAATGAACATACATGTAATTGAATTTTACTCTTATATTCATCAACTTGGATTTTTTAAACATTAATTACAATTCAAAAACATGCATTCATTATTGTTATACCGGATGCTTGTGATGTCGCGATAAGTTGCTTGACGACAAATCAAGCAAAGTGACTAATTAACCGAAATAGAAGTGCCATAAGTCTGACTAGGACCATGTGCCTGTATTGTTCTAGCTTCATATGTTCCAGTGAGAGAGGCAAGGGTTTTGCGCTGTAATTTATTTTTAATAAAAGGGAATTCGACAAGTGACAATACAAAAAGTTGGTTAATGTAATCCCTGCGTTGAAAAAAAAGGTTAACCTAAAAAGATAAACCTAAAAGTTTTAATAGAAAAGTTAAGGTGACTCAACAATAAATAAGATTTATTCGGTAAGAAGATTATGCTGAATATTTCTAATTTCGTGTATAAAAACATGAAATTACATAAAATACAAATAAAATTGGAATTTGTTTCAAATGCATATGAAATAGGGTACATATGGTATATCATATGACAAAAGAAATATGAATGGAAATAGAGTATCACATGATATAATTTATATGTATTAAGTACTACATTATAAAACGAGAAAGTAGGCAAGATTTAAGACAGATTTGACGGCGCACTCTCTGAATCATTTGATTATTACAATCATTGAAAGAAAAATGTTTTTATCACTTTGTTAATTATCTCATCAGTGAAAGCCCATTCCATAGTGACAGATAATGTTATGGACAAGACAATTTTAAAATTTTTGTTAAACCAGGATATTTTAATGAAATTAATTCTGACCGGGAATAACGCTGACTCCCAGCAAACTCTCGCATTACACGAAGGTATGGGAGGAAAAGAAAACGCAAATGAAACAAAAACTCTGTTGAAAGAAATACTAAATCTGGTAATAAGTCTTAGAAATGAACAGGCAGAAAGCAGAGGGGTTCTTCAAGATGGCCTGGCGAATCTTAAAGAAACAGTCTTAATCCAGTCAGAAGAAATGAAAAAGTTACGAGATAAACTTGAGATCACAAGTATCACCACTTCTTTGCCCGAGTCCGAGAATTCGAGTAAAGATTCGGGCTCAGGTGGTAAGTGGACTTCTAAAATTACTCTTTGAAGGAAATAAAAATACGAAATGTATGTTTTAATGGAAATTTTATTGACAAAATATTAAATTACATGTAGATTAGAAACAAGTTCGGAATATTGAGGTTAGAATCCTAATGCATGATAATATAACAAACGCATTTATGATTAGTAATATCAAAATCGGACAATAATTTGAATTTTCTTCTTTAAAATTTGCATTTATAAATCTAAATAATGAAACATTTACATTTTTTTTTTTACATAAATAAGGTTATTTAAAATAAACGTCCAAATTAACATGTTATAATCTTGGTGGTAACTTTTGAGTGGGAGGAGATGAGTGTATTCTTATTTTGATGTGTGCGCTCTCTGATACAAGGTCTTTCCAAATTCAAATTGAATGAATATTTAAAAGTTTTTTTAATCTCGTGGCCTTGAAGTTTAATCTGCACAGCAATTTACAATTTTTAACGTTCATCTTTTATATTTTTTTTAAGGAGGAAATATTTGACTTTCGTATCATCATCATTTTCTTCAGGACCTTAAATTCTATCTAAAAATAGACAGGGCTTTTGGTACGATTCTCAGTTAACCTTGGACTTTCAGTGGGAAGTGACTTTCTCGACACTGCCTAATTAACGTCTCTCAAATGCCGAATAGATTCTCATTGGTTAAAAAATCAGCACTTTGAAGTGGATCATTCATACACTCGTTGACATTCGTCGGAATGTATATTTTAATAGTGAATAATAGCCTGTGTAAATTTCAGACACTGATCGTGCAACGTCATGAATACCACGCCTTACTGAAAGTCCAAGGTTAACTGAGAATTATAATATTTTTTGCGAGAATTACATATTATATGTAAGATACCGAAAGCGAGAGATCACATTTTTTTTAAAATTTGCTTGTTTTGCTTTCTCATTCAAATCTCTGGATTTCTTCAAATCATATACAATGTATACCATGGTTTTAAGAAAGCTTTTAGTTTCCAACTTAGCAGTGTATATGTACAAATTTATATTAAACATAAAGATCTCACACCTGTATGTCGTTTCTTATCACCAGTATAAATGAATAAATTTAAAACAATTTTATCTATTGTATTGATAGATTCCACAGACACCTAGAGCTTTTACGGCTCACGATTGGTGGCAGTTTTAAATATGACGCTGGTGACACGGTCATCTACAACGTTATCAAAGTCATCTGCAACGTAGGAAATCATTATAACAGCAGCACTGAGATTTTTACTGCCCCGACTGCTGGTGTGTATTCCTTCACTTGGAGTACCTTACCTCGCCAGGTGTAGGACTGAATACAGCAATCATGAAAAACCAGTCAACGGGTTACATGTATATTGCGTTTTGCTATTGTTCTGCATTTCAAAACACATACACTACCTGTTCCCAATCAACAACTGTGGAATTGGTGCCTGGGACAGGATATGGATTGTCGCATGCAAAACGTCCGCGCAGAAACTTCATGGAGGAACCTGGCCTGCGTTTTCGGGATCTAAATTGTAGACTATTTTTCACTATTTGAACAAATATTCAAATAAATTCACAATTTTAACTTAATTGTATTAAATCTATTGTGTATATTTCTTTAATTAAGTAGTTCTCTGTTCAGTAAATTCGAGAATATTACTTGAGAATACTTATTTTTCTAATATAAAAGAAGAAGTATTTGTGAAACACTGATGCCTCTGTATGGCAGCTCATGACGAAGATTGAAGATTTTCAAATGCAAATCATAATCCAAGGTCAAAGTTGTTGGCGTAGAGAGACAGGTCTTATCACAAGGTATAAACCTGTTAAATATGAAAGCCCTAGTCCTGCATGTATATGTGACTGTTAAATAGTTATGATCAAGGTTAAAGTTTTTAAAAGGTGGGTCAAACTCTAAGGTCAAAAATAGTTATACCTATTGAAAGCTTTGGCACAATGAATACCCATGCGAGTATCAAAACCTTCGCAGAAATTGTTAAAAAGTTATGGCCAATGTTAAAGTTTGATATTTTTTGTAAAAGTCACACTCCCAAGTTTAAGGTCAATATGTTAATTTTTTAAATCATAAGCAAGGACTTGTCAAAAGAAAAACACGTGTGAAATATGAAACCCATAACCCAAACTCATTCAAAAGTTTAAAGTTTTGAGGACATACACTCTAAATACTACAGCATTTTGAAGACCGAGAGTGATTCAGAAGATGGTCCCGTTTTGCGGCACTGTGGTAAAGGTGGCGTCGCTATCCTTATCAATAAAAATCTACGATTCTCTGTAAGGGAAATTCCTTGTGACGCTACTAACAACATTGTTGGTATTCAAGTAACATTATCCGATACTGTGCCTCTTTTCAGTTTTAGTGTATATATCTACCATCTGATAGTGTACTTGACGACTATTAGGCTAACACTGACATTATGCAAGGTTTATATGATTAATATTGTCAGTGCGGCGAAGTCTTATTTGCTGGTGACTCCAATGCTAGTCTCCTACGCGAGTTCCACGTTAACAATGCAAAATCCGAAATCTTTGTTGAATTTTGTTGAACGATGTGCTCAATGCACTCCTATGATAAACTTCTGCGTTGAGGGAGAGCAATTTACCTTCACACCGATAGAAACAACGATCGATTACATTCTGTTTGACTGGAGGATTGCAAGTAATCTGGATCTCTACTCAGTCTTTAAGGAAGGATCAATTTCAATTACATCTGACCACTTAACGGTTTTTGTATCTTTCAGTCTCAAGGCAAAACTACATTTTCCTGGAAAATTCTCACTGTAAACTCACGGCATGGCATTAGGCCAGTCCTGAAGCCATCACTAACTATAGACAACACACTGAATAGGTGTTGCACAAGATACTTAATGTTCAAATACGTACAAGTGAAAACATTGAAAACTACTATAAATCAATTGTAGGTATCCTAACTACATCTGCAAACTGTTTCTTCCCAAAGTCCCAAATGAATCTATTCACAAAGCCTGGTTGGACTAAAAACGTAAAGGAGCTCCATGCAAAAGAAAGGTCATTGCGTCGCGTATGGGTTTCCGAGGACAGGCCCAGAGGTATGGGTTTTCAATCATACAGTGACTACAAACAAACGCAACTTTCGAAATGCCCAAAACGTAGAGTATGAAGATTATTTAAAATCTGTTTACCGAGATTTGGATGAAGCAGTGGAAATGGGCATACGTCTATTTTGGCGACTTGTAAAACAATGGGGAACACGCTCTTCTAGAATATATCCAGAAATTTGCGACGCCAATGGTAAAACCCACACCGATCCGGACGGCGTAGCAAATTTTTACGAGGAGATTTATCGTTCACTGGAAGACGATCATTTTGACAAACACTTTCAACATGTCATCGAGGGTCATTATACACGCATCAAAACAAGTGCTTCTGAGTCTTCCAATTGAAGATCATATAATTGAGTAACACAAAATGATGTTATTTGTGCAATCTCAGCACTCAAAACGCGCAAAGCCCCAGGCATGGAGGGTGTAACAAATGAACATATCAAATTTGGTAGCGATCTTGTCACAAGATGTCTCTGCAAGCTGTACAATGCGATAATGACGTTAGGATATGTTCCCTCTACATGGAAACAAGGACTGATTGTTCCCATATTCAAAGGCAGTAATAAACCCAAAAATTCTTGCAACAGTTATAGACCTGTCGCTCTTCTGCCTTGTATGTACAAACTTTTCGAGAAAATTCTGTCTAACAGAATATCACGATCCACCTTAGAAACAAATACATTCCCCAATGTACAACAACAAGGTTTCAAAAACAGCTAGGATGTTTAACTGCTTCATTCAATCTCCATGAAACATTGAACCATAATCTTGAACAACGCAGCAATACATATATCAGCTTCTTGGACACATGGACAATTGTGAGCGACATTGTACATGTTGTTGACATTATCTTCCTTTATTTGTATGAACGAAATATATCTAATTTAATGCTCTATTTTGTTCTACCTAAAATCTCTTTATAGAGGAAATAAAAGATGAATGAATGAATAAGTCACAACAACAAATGAATTTTCATCTGAAACTCCCTACTTCCATATTCATATTAAGGTCAATCTTCTCGAGCTCTCAACATACTTGCAAATAGTCAACTACTTTCTTCAAAATCGATCCATTGCTTTGACAATATTCGAAAAATCGCTAAAAAAGATTTCAGTTCTTTTGTCTACTGGGAATTACCATTGTTTTCGACGTTCCATCTCTTATTATTTAGAAACAACATTTAAAGGATGTATACTAAATATAAACAAATTTGACAATTTGAACCCAAAATTTATTTTCGCATGCAGTTTTTCAATTTTAACCTCCAAAGTTGGCAAAACAGCATTTACTCCGATAAAGTAGTGCAAATGGATTCTGGTCTAGAACTTTTTCAGGGCCTGGTCCTGAATAAAAAGGAACAATACTGCCCTAGGGATGAAATTCACAAATAATTAAAATCAAGCAAACCTGTTTTTGACAATCTGGTTGATATTGAAGCCATTTATAGTCAGAGGAAGGATATGGAGATAACGAACAGTATTTAACATCAAAGTCCATAAAACAATATAAAATAGGAGCAGAGAACCCGGACCTCCAGAATATCAAAGGTGGGATCAGGTGCCATGGAGGAGTGAGCATCCTTTGCCAACAGGTCACACTTGCTAAGTGCTCCCTGTCATGATCGGGAAATAACGGATAAAATTTGGATTTTGCATGGTTTTCTCGTAAATAATAATAATTCAGTACAATGAAAAACGAAAGCCTAGGCTTTTCCAACATTCTATAAATCTATACTAGTTTTTCACAAGTTGAAACATTATTGGCCAATATTTAAAAAAAAAAAATGTATGTTTTTACACTCGAGATTTAATTGAAAATAAAATGAAGATGTGTCTACGCAAAAATGGGGGATATTTGTGGTTTAAAAACGGAACACTTGTGCCACATCACATGAGTAATTTAATGTGAATTTTGGTCAACTACTCTTAGTCAAATTTATGATAATCATTCAAAATGTTCAGCCACATCCTAAACAAAACAAATGTTTTTTTTTGTTTTTTTTTTTTTTTTTTTTTTTTTTTTTTTGTTTTTTTTTTAGAAGGGCGAAGGTTCGGCATCACCAATTTGTAACTTTGTAACAATCCCCCGTCTGACGTTATTTAATGGATCAACAGGAATTTGAAAAATATCACACATTGCAGTTTCTAAAAACTGTTAAAAACTTTAAGAAGCCCCTGCTAAAATAAATTTGAAATATAATTCCCATGTTCTAAATTAAGATATATGTTACGTTACCGTGGTTCTTTGTCATTTGAAAATAATGTACATATAAGTAAAAGCAGGGAAATATATATGCTAAGTATACTATATATAAGTTTATAGTATGTAGGAGTCTCTGGTAAAAGTTGATAATAAAATGAAATGCTCCCTGTCATGATCGGGAAATAACGGAAAAAATCCGTCGTCAATTCAGTGTTTAAATAACGGACTAACAATTAGTATGTAAAACGTCAGTCAGCTTTTGATGAATTGTGTTTGCCGACAAGGTCATTGAATAGACCATAGAACTTACGAAATGATGACTTTAAACGAGACTGATGATATTCTTGTTTCATCAACTTGCTTGTCAATAATTTGCATAGTTTTAGAAATTGTTCATTGCTCTTGCGTATCGAATCAACTGAGATATATACACTCCGTATGCAGGTGATGAAGGTATATTGCTGCATATGTACATGTAAGGGAAGTTGACGATAGAAAAGTTAAAGTCGTTAGACTTGGTTGTTTGATTACCATTAACGTCTTTTTTCAAGTAAAATATCCGAGTATGAAACAGATTTGTCAGACTCTGTGGTATCTTTTATCTCAAGCTCACCTGGATATATCGTATCCTTACCTTACCTTATGTTACCTTTTGTTGATTCTGCCCGCAGCTCCTCTTGGTGCTCTATAGGCATCTCTACTTTCTCTTGCTAAAATATAACTGGTCTTTTTCCGGTATGCGGTCCATATTCTTGGGTATAATCATACTTTAGAGGGTGGTGTTCCCAATATTTATCCAGTCTATTTTCAAATTGGTGTACATTTTTTGCTACCACTACATTGTCTGGCAGGCTATTCCACAGTTCCACGACTCTGTTGGTGAAGCTGTATTTTCGAACGTCTCTATTGCATCTGTGTTTCACTAGTTTAAAGCTGTTCCCTCTAGTAATATGCGTTTCACTCATTTGAAATAATGTAGATGTAACTCTTTTATCATAAACTCTACGGATGATTTTAAATGTTTCAATCATGTCTCCTCTCATGATACGCCGGTATTTCAATGTTGGTAATTTAAGAGTCTTTAGTCGTTCTTCATAATTTTGATCTTTGCCTTTATCGACGTAGGAATGGAAATTACTATTCATAATGTCTTAAAAGAATAGTAATTTCCATTTGAAAATAATGTACATATAAGTAAAAGCAGGGAAATATATAGGCTAAGTATATAAGTTTATAGCGAGCGCAGCGAGCGTCGCGAAGCGACGCTCGCGAAGCGAGCTCAATAGACTAACGTGTATGAACAGAGGAAATTCGGATTGAAATCTGTACATACGTCAGCCAAATTTCTCTGTGCAACATTCCCAGAATTCCTGCACTACCCAATGTCCTTTGCGCGAATAAATCAAAAATAGTAAAAAAATTAAAGGAACATTGTTTCTTACCGAAATCTTAACGAAATGATTTTGCCTTACCTTATTCAAAAAAACAACCCCATGCCACAACACCGGCCTTCACCTTGCCCTTCGGAAATGATACAAATGACGTCACCGGAAACTTACGAATTTTTACGAAGTTATGTCGGTTGCTTCCGTGAAACTCGGAAAACATGTTGCGGTGCATAGCAACATGATTGCTAAAACATAGCAACAACTTACTTGAAAAGAACGATTTAATGCAATCTCTTTTCCATAAAACTAGCGTTTGCGTCCTAAGTCAACAGAACTTTCGTCACTTCAACGGTTCGGGTATTTCCGATTTTGTCGGAAACTTCCGAGAAGTTTGGAATCTCGATCCCGATGCTTGGGAAATGATTTGTTTTATTCTTTTTGCTTTCTTTTTCTTCAATGATAGACAGAACATGTGTAGGTTTATGATAGTAAATAAACTGCGCTCGCCCCAACGGTCACACCGTAAAACATATTAGTATGTAGGAGTCTCTGTTATAAGTTGATAATAAAATGAAATTCGAGTTGATAATAAAATGAAATTTTAAATCGGGTTCGGGGTTTGCTCATTTAAAAGTTTGACCAGAGTAAAAGATTTTTAAATATACAAATACGTCTACCAATACTTAAAATAATACTTTGCTGCTATTGAATTGATAATAAATAACTTATGATTAATTTATTATACCTAGTATAAATCCATTTGCATTTGATTTGTCCTATTTATTTTGAATCGAGTATTTATTCTCTTCATATCCTGCCTTTCGTCAATTATACTTCCAGCATGGATTTATGATTTCTTTGGCATTAAAAAGCCCCATTAGGTCATAGATGTAGACATATATGATAAATTAAGAATTTCTTAGTTTAAGGCCTATTTATTTAGTTTAATTATTTTCCTCTCGGCTTACCGGAAAATGACGGATAGTACCGAAGTGAGATACTGAAAACAATATGGCGGGATGAGATGAACCGAATAGAATGGAATAATTTTTGACATGGAGTTTTAAGTATCTTAAGTGTTAAAAATGACATGACATGTTTGTAGTAGTTAATGTTTGATCTTATTTAACCTATTCATCAGAAGCCATGTGTGACCACTGCGCAGAAGTTCTTCAGCTAATAGATAGTTGTAAGTTTGCATCTCTTCATCTGTTCATTGTCTCAATATTTCTTGTTCATGGAAATAAGTTACGTTGACACATAACAGATATCTAGATATTCTTTTTTACGGTTATTCAGTTGATGATGATTTTTTAAATAATTTGGGTATCGGATTTGGCTTATTCAGCTGTTATTTTCTGTTTTTTTAATGTTATACAGACGAAGAACGATGCCTTGGTGGTTTCCATATGAACAAAAGAGAAGTTCTCTCTTTTGTGAGCTATGCCAACACGTGGCCCCAAAGGTGTGTACAACACATTTAGAAAAATTTAGCAATGAAAAATGATTTTTTTTTTTAAAAATCAAAAGCAATAAAATACATATTCAGGCCTGGCACGATTCTCACGATTTAGCTATATAACTTGAATTAGCTATATAGCTTTATACACAGGGGCTTGCTCCTAGAGTGTAATAATTATTTATTTTAAAAAAATCATTTTGGACCCCTTTCTCGCTTTAACCTCTGTTTTCATTATATTTTGCCGTATTTTACTGACTCACCTGACCTCAGATCTATCAAGTAATGATTCTTCTAAGACCCTATGCTTAAATTTTCCCCTTGGAGCCTCTAGAATACACATACACAGACTAAAAATAATCCACTGCGCTTTTTAGGACAGTTGATGTTGACAGAAAGCGAAAGTAACCTTGGCGTTTTTCATTCGAATACAGAATTACTCAATTAGAACACTTTTTTTCTTCAAATTTATAATTAGCAGTTGTTTTAAATAGTGGAAAAACCTCAAGGTTTTCAATTGTGTTTTTGCTTTCTGTCCTTATCAACAAGCAAGGAAGGGGTCCAAAATGGCATTCTACCTTGTGTAGTTTTATTATTAGCGTATTTCTGTCAATATGATTTAAAAAATAAATAATTATTACGCGCCAGGAGCAAGTTGTGACTAGATGTGGCAAGATGCCTGTTTTAGACATTATAGATGACAATCATTACATTGTAACATCTCTGAAAAAAATTTGAAGGAAAAAATATTAACAATAGTTATATTCCAAACCTTTCAGGCAGTGCATGTGCTGTTTCAAGAACTTGAAAAATTTTGAGAAGCTGAACAACATGGTTCAGGTAATATGCAGTGTGGCTATCCGAGTGATCCAAACCATGCCAGAGGACTTTGATAAGGAACAACAGAAGGAGCAAGAAATTAAAAAGGAAGAAAAAAAGGAGAAAATTTTAGAGGCTAAAGATGTAGAATCTACAATACAAGGTAAGCATTTCATTATAATTATGTTCCCCAAACGGAGTTGGGAACATAATGTTTTTTTTTTGTTTTTGGCAAATTAAGACATTACTATAATTTGTGTATTTTATCACAAATAAACAAGTTTTTTCCCTCTGTTTTCTTATTGTATGTGTGGATAATGCTAAAACAGGAGAAAAGGAGATTGCCATGGATACAGATGATGAATCAGAAGATCCAGAGCGATGGAGCATGGAGGAGAAGGAAAAACTGCTCCACTTTGTGACCAAAATCTTTCTCCTAAACTTTCCTTCCTATATGGCATACAAACACATGTACCATTCCTCACTTGAGGTTAGTTTGGGATTATAAAGATGCATGATATATTCTTGTGCTTATAGGCTGAAAGAGGAATAAAGACAGGGGTTCAAAATTCCTCAAGCCCGACGTCCCGGACTAACAAATTCCGGATCCGGACTCGGCATTTAGAATTTGCCAAAGTCCTGGGACTTGGCTATGTTTTTTGTTTATCTTTTTTTTTAAGTTAAAAAAATGATCGTAAAGCTAAAAATAAAGCAAATTCTCAAATGTATTACGTAAAAATATGGGTTTGTGGTCGTTAAAATACCCATAAAACATTACGAACGTTTCGAAGATTCTTGCTTTTACGCAATTCCTCATGTTTCCTCCTATATGACAAACAGCGATTAGTCTATTAGTTTTTTAAATTTCGGTTTTAGCTTTGACTTACAGCACATTCTACCTGCTATTTATTGTAACAGATGGTTTATTCAGTAGTGAGTATTTGTAAAAGTTATTTTAATGTACCAATAATCTATCAGTCTGGTACTTTTGAAATACTCATGTATGACTATATGACAGTTTAGGAAAAATAAAACATATATTAATTCATAAAGTCTTTATTCATTCAATGCAACAAATGAAAATAAATTATAAGTAACATAAATTTAATGATGTATAGGTTAATATGGACTTTCAAATTTCTTCCTTGGACTTGCCTAAAATTTACTCTTTAAGTCCTGGACTTGAACATGACAAAAAAAATTTTGAACCCCTGTAAAGATTGAAAATTTCAGTTCATATACAGGATGGTTCTGGCATTGTGTGTTATCTGTTTACATGTATATATTTAAATATACACTGTGATGATTGCAATTATGATCATATTTAAGAAATTTCATTTTTTTTTTAAAATTCTAATATCCAATTATCTCTTTAATAGGAGCTTTCACAGCAAGAGACAAGTGCTTTGAATAACTATTGTGAAGTGTCGGTATGTTTGATTTACCATTATTCAGTTTATTATTCAGTTTGAACATTCTAAATATCCTCAAGGTAGATTCGATAATCATATAGGGAAAATACATGTAAGAGTTCTGTAACATTTCATTCCTTATGTTTTCTCCATTGGCAGGATCCAGAAGTGCCATTATTTCTTCTCCGAAATGTGTGCTTTTTCTGCGACAGTAATGGAATTGGAGCTTTGAAACAGTGCTTTGAGAAAGCCACACCAGATTCACTGCCGTTCACATTTGCCCACATCCTCATCACACTTATTGCAAATGTATGTACATCGAGGATCTAATGTAAAAAAAATGTGCCTTGATAATCAATGTTTTCTTTTAGCTATAGTACAGTAGCAAATATTGTACAAATAATTGTTTTTTTTCTTTAAAATTGGCATCAGAAATATACAATGTAAATGTATACAATAATGAAGTGGTAATTGATTTTGTTTTTTAAGATACTGTAGTAGATACGTATAAACATGTATTTTGATTTTATATTTTTCAGCTACGACTATGGATGAATATTCCAACAGTGATGCAATATATTGTTCCACTCAGAACAGTTGTAATAAGGTTCGTTTTTTAATGCCAATCATCAGTCTGATACACCTTACATGTCTCATATTATTTTTAAGTCTTTAATGTTGTAATATGTTCATTTTAACTTTGAGGAAAATAAAATGCAAACATTGATGAAGTAACAGTGAGGCTTGATTCAATATTGATTTTAATATACTGACACGCAAAAGAAATGCAACACCCCACTTTAGGGGGAAATAATTATGTAAAGTAAATAATTTTGTATCTAAAAATTATGAATATCTTCAATTTGGTAAACATCGCAGGGGTTCAAAATTTTTTTTGTCATGGTCAAGTCCAGGACTTGAGGAGTAAATTTTAGGCAAGTCCGAGGAAGAAATTTCAGAGTCCATATTTACCTATACATCATTAAATTTATGTAACTTATAATTTATTTTCATTTGTTGCATTGAATGAATAAAGACTATATGTATTAATATATGTTTTATTTTTCCTCCATAAACTGTCATGTAGTCATACATGAGTATTTCAACACAATACCAGACTGATAGATTACTTGTACATTACAATAACTTTTACAAATACTCACTACTGAATAAACCATCTGTTACAATAAATAGAAATTAGAATGTGCTGTAAGTCACAGCTAAAAAAATTTAACAAACTCATTGCCGTTTGTCATATAGGAGGAAACACGTAAAACAAGAGTCTAACCGCAACGGAAAATAAAAAGACGGATTGTATTTTCGAAACGTTCGTAATGTTTTATGGGTATTTTAACGCCCACAAACCCACATTTTTACTTAATACATTTGAGAATTTGCTTTATTTTTAGCTTTACGATCATTTTTTTAACTTATTATAAAAGATAAACAAGAAACATAGCCAAGTCCCAGGACTTTGGCGAATTCTAAATGCCGAGTCCGGATCCGGAATTTGTTAGTCCGGGACGTCGGGCTTGAGGATTTTTGAACCCCTGCATCGGTAATTTAACGGTTGAATGATTTCCAAACCATAACCGGAAGTCAAGTTTTAGTCTGCTTAACAGAAATCAAAAATTGCATGTTTAACAAAATATTTGGCAATTTTATGGAGTCTTAAGGGTTTTTTACTGTTCATCAGATGTAATGCAGCAATATTTAAAAAAATAAACTCTCCTTTCGTTTCCCGTAACGATGCTAAGGCTACTTGAAAATGGCTTATGTACGCATTTCCATTGCTCTGGCTGGAAAATTTCAATGTAAAGGTGATGGAGAATTGCTGATGCGAAATTTCACTACATTACGCCTCAACAGGGTCTTGCGTATCATATGCAGTAAGGACAGTCCTTGTACCGGAAGTCCAAGGGTGGCTACACTGCTGTAAGAGAAAATTTGACCTAATCATCTGAATAACGGGCATTTAAAAATGCCAAAGAATAATTCCTTTGCTCAGATCTCAATATTAATGAACATATTGTATCGTAGAAATTAAGCTGCAATTGTTGTTTAGGGCAGTCTTGCACGTTTTACTTGAATGGCTGAGAGGGGGGTGTTTTAACAGTCATATTTTACTTAGTAAAGTAAACAGATAAACATTTAACATTTTTATCAAATCTCTGATGTTCTGAAAAGTGAGTTTAGCCTTACTTTATTTGCTTTTGATAATCATCAGATAAAAAAACAAACATTTGTAGATTACTACTTGTTGCGTTTCTTTTGCGTGTCAGTATATTAAATCACTACAGAGCTGGGTTCACAAAGTGTAAACGCATTCCTGTACATTTTTATGATGCATTTAAAAAATAGAAAACACAAAGCTAGAGAAAAGTAAAATATAGAGTTACATGTACCATAACTCAAAAATATGTATACACATGTATTGTAAATGATTTGTCTATTTTCTGAGAAAGTTTTTAAAGTTTTTGACACAAATAACAACTCAGGCATTTTACAGATATATGTGTAAGTTGTCCGATAAAGATCTGCGAATGGCAGGAAACAGAAACATGACAGAGTTAATGTGGGCTGCCGTCAAGGAACCACTGGAGACTCACTTTCAGTTTGACAAGGAGGGGTTAGATCTTGCCTTCAAGTACTTCACCTGCTCCACTCTCACCATAAGACTGGCTGGAATCGCTCAAATCAATGTAAGCAGGGGTCTTGTTGTGTAAAAAGGACATCTTGTTTTGTTTAAAAAATTATGTCTTTGTTTTTCACATCCTTTCTTAGCCTTAAAAAAAAGACTTTGGGTGTTTTGGAAATTATTAATATATTTCTTTAGTGATCTTGAGAGATTTTAAGTTTTTAGCTCCTATGAACTACAACCTGTCAGAAAGTAAAACATTGTATGCTTGTGTTTGTGTATTTACTGATGATTTTATTTTTCAATAGAACCAAATCAACCTTTACAATGAAAGTTGTAACAATGAAACACTAATGGACACTGAAAGGTTTGCTTTTGTCCTTTCTGTTTAAAAACTTAAGAAATAATTAAAGTTGTAATTAAACAAGTTATATTTCATCTGAAGCACAATTAACAATGGTGTATTGTAATCTAAGTGAACTGAAGTAAAAAAAAAATAATATAGAAAGAAAAACTTGTTATCAGTATTAAAATAAGACGTGTGATCTTCATTATAGCTATGTAGAGAGAGTTGGATACCAGTTATCACAATGGCTCCTGGACAACAAAATAATTGAACACATATTTGGACCTAATCTTCATATTGAGGTACTGGGTTATTACAGTTTTTAATGCAATTATAAAAATTACACTTGATACCCTGATAAAAGTGATGTTTTCAGTTCTCAAGTGCAGCTGTTAAGCATTTCAATTTGAATGGGATGAGGAAAACATATTACTGTGAAATCACAAATTTTTTGGGGGGTTTCATTTTCGTTGTTTTTTCGAGGTAAGAAGAGACCCACAAATTCACAACCACCATGAAATGTAAAATATAACACACTTCTATTCCACGATACTTCACCCAGGAAATCAAATCCCAACGAACCGAAAATTTTTCTTCAAACCATGAAAATTTGACCCCATGAAAATATGTGATTTTACAGTATTTTAAAGTTGGCTTAATATTAAGTGTTAGAACTATTTTTTGCTGTGATGCTGCATTCAACTGTAAATTGAATAAGAAACTGGGGTACTTTAAACATTGATATCTAAAATATTATTTATATGGATCTGATGAAGTGAGTTGGAAGACATCACTTCCTTGATTTTTCGGAAAAGTTTTTTCCACCAGGACAATCGAATTGGAGATTACAATTAGACTGTTTATGTTTCTTTTGTAGCTTATAAAACAAAGCCAGTTGATTCTGAATTTGTTAGCTGTGGAAGGAAAGATTACCAATGATCATATTGACTGTATATGGGCATCAAGTCAGGTAAGCCAATTTAATAACATGATCATTATACTATGTAATTGACTGCATCTTTTATAGAAGTACTGAATAAAGGAAAGAAAGAAGTAAGAAAAATGATGAAAAAGCGTAAGGGGATAGGGAGATTGAATACGTTATACATGTACTTGAAAATAGCATGTTTTTTTTCTATTAGTTGAAGCACTGCAGTAAACAAGTGTATGATATCCTGATACCTTTGATAAAAAACTTGGAACTCCAGCCTGTGCAACACCTGTTAAAGCTAGTGTCAGTGCTGGAACCCACAGCTCATAATGAATCGGTTAGTGTCAATAGTATTATCAGCCGGAGACTAAATACTTAATGCTTGTATTTCACTAAATATATCAAAACCTATTACTGTAATTGTATTATTCATGTATTTAGAGTGTACAATGTTTGGCAGAAATATAACTTTGAACAAATTAGTATAGATATGATTTAGCACAATTTTTAATGTTTTTTTTTATGCTTATATGTGCAAAACATTTAGCTTTGTACTTGAATTAGCAGAAGTTTCTTTCCATCAAAAGGGCTAAAAAGTTTTCAGTATTATATTAATTCATTAATGCAGTTCGAGACTTTTTTAATTTTTAAATTGAGAATAATAAATATTTCTAATAAAACTTCTTGTGAGAAAGTAGTGATGATATTAATTTGGTGTTTTTGACTGATTGGTCTGCTGTATGTATTTAGACCCTCTACCTGGCGTCAGCCCTGGTGAAGTGTGTCTGGAACACCTGTGCTATCAGTCAGTCCGCCCACCACCACGGCCCCCTCCCAGCCACCCTGGCTTCACTTCAGCAAGAGGAGGATGAACTTCATCATGGTACTATTAAACCCTGAGATAATGATTGATTAATCCATGTGTTCAAGAAATTTTAGTATTTTTCTTTCAAATTTTCACATACATAGTATTGCGTAGAAGGTACATGACTGTGAATTGCATTTACTACATATATTCACATGTATCTGTAACTCCCTCCTGATATTTGAAACAAGATATATCTGTTTCCAATAGAATTATTTCAGTGTACTCTATTAATAGGGAAGGTAGGAAAACATGAGATGAGTAGTAGTGACAGCATACAGGTGTCAGATGATGAAGGCCATTTACAGGTGGGTTGTGTTTTCTAAGTACATTTATTTCAATTTATTGTAACCATATATATTTTCATGAAATAAGTACAATTCTTGAAGTAATTGTTTTTAATTGAACATTTGATGAAATCAAAATCTAAAAACTCTTAGTTACATTAAAATTACATCTGTATGTTTTTCAGAATTGATTTTTTTGAAAATAAAGTCTGTTGTCTTTCAGCTGGTTGATGTTCAGGTCCGATCCCCAAAAAAGGTCCAGAAATTAATCATCCGACATGGACGGATACACAAACATCACCATGGACACTGTTGTCATGGTGACCATGAAGATGATTCTGATGAGGAATGTCATGTCCACAGTGATGGAAGTGAGGCTGATTCAGAATGTGAAAGGTATGTATAAGTATTTCTCCTCCCCCTTCCCTCTAAATGATTTTTTGAATAACATCAGGCACAAGGGCTGTAAAATTTAGTTAAGCTCACTTGATTTCTTCTATTGATTCGTTTGGTAAGTAAAAGTAAGTTTTATGGCCCCAAAGCCTGGTGTGAATTTTGTTTAAGACTAGATACTTTTTTATGAATGCTTATAAAACTAATGAAGAAAATTTTTGCATTAAATTTTCTAATTAGACATGTTCCTCATCCAAGAAGGGTCCCCCGAGTGGCTCATGACACAGACGGGAGTGAAAGTGAAGTGGATGAGGAATCCAGCGAGGAAGAGGAAGAACTGGAAGAGGGAGAAATATTACAAAATCGGCTCAATCAGCAAAGGATGATGGGAGTTCAAAGACAGGGAAGATTTGTAAAAGGTCAGCCTCGCTTTCATCCTCAGAGGACTCAAGCTTCCTCCGAGGAAGAGGAGGAGGAAGATGATTCTGAGTATATAGACTCAGAGGAAGAAGAACATCTAAAAGAGGCCAGAATTGTCCAGATGAAGCACATGCACCAGCAGCAAGGGCAGGAAAGTGAGGAAAGCTCAGAGTTTGAAGAAGCATTGCATGATGGGAAAATGAGTCATCAGATGGCCCAGAAGATTTTGCAGAAGCATCATTTACAGGAGCAGCGCAGACAGATAGAGCTTCAACACAGTCAGCAAAGGCAGCGCCGTAGAAGAATGGCAGGGGATTTGAAAGGTGGTCCAGTTAAAAAAGAAGGGAAAGAAGGAGGGGGACAAGGGGAGAATGAGGAGGTACTGAAGCCTACAGTGGGAGGAGCAGCTGATAAAAGTGGGGAGCAGTTGACAATAGGGGAAGCTAGTACAAAACAGGTGGGTGATTTTGTTACTAATTTTGATAGTGGGAAGATAGTCTTGTTTGTGTTCGAGCAGTCACTTTTTATTTTGCATCATGATGCATGTATTTAAGAATGCTTTGATTTAAAAAAAAATATATAGGTGATTTGGCAAGACTGACATAGCTTCCACTAATTTTGATTATAAAGAATTGGTCCATCTGATATACTATAAAAAATTACTTTTTTAATGAAATTCAATTTTTGCAGAAGACAGAAGAGACTGAATATGAACCCCTGACTGCTACTATGGAGCAGGGACTTAACAAGGACCAGGAAACTGAAATATTTGATTGTACCCAGTTTATACAATCAGCTCAAAAGAAAAAGAGACGGACTGTAGATGGGTGAGAAATATGTACATTTACTTTACACTGAACTGACCAGTATCAATGGTCTTAGTCACAGACTTTTACAAAGGGAATGAAGGATGCAATAAAATGATTTTACTATACAATAGCAGAAAAAATGAACCATTAGGCTATCTAAATTTAATTCTTTGGTTCTCAGGCCAAATTTCTCCAAAACAGATGCGGGAGGGCGGCATTTTATTTTTCATTTTATTGGCAATAAAGTAGATGAGGGAGGAATTTTTTAAATTTTAATTTCAGAATTTTCTTTAACATAAAGATAATTTTTTTAATCACAGATATACTTTCCATTTCTGGTCAAAATTTCTGCTTTATCCATTGCTTAACAGCGTGTAAACATCGTAGGTAATGTCCTCGAATGTATTTTCAAACGAAGTAGCCAAAATCTCATTGTAAATGGCTACCGGAAGTGATATTTGAATACTAAACTACAAAACAAATGAGGTCGGAATTTTTTTTCCGGATTGGTCTCCGCAATACCAACTTTTTATTTTATCAAAAATACAATAAAATCGGCAATGCGGCTACCTCAAAACGGATGCGCGCGGGCCTGAGAACCAAGATTTCAATTTTATATGGCCTTATGTTCCAATTATAAAAATAATGTCTTGAGTATTTTTGTTCTTTTTTACAGTGAGGAAGTTGATGATATAATGTCTCCTGACGATGGTGAAGGTAGTTGCCATAGCTCTCGAATGAGCACCAAGTCGGAGAAAAACATGGCAGACTTTGAAGGAGAGGATTTTATCAGTGATGAGGAACTGGCACGAATTAATGGACCATATAATCAACATCAAATGCAGCATCTAGCCTCCATGTTCCAGACTCACCTACCACATGGCAAAGGTCAGTTAGAGATTTTTTAGGGGTCTGTTTTTATGCTGTTGATGTTTGAAAGGTACTGTCACGAGGACCATAAAACTTTTAAGAGCTCTCTTTAGATCTCAGTCTTACTTTTCTCAAAGGAAGTTAATTAGTCGAAAAGTGAGACTGAGATCAAAAGTGGGCTCATCTAAATGAAAAGCCAGGAGGCTTTGGTAAAAAAGTACCAGATATGTTATTGAAGAAAAAAAAATTATGGAATTTTTTTTTTTGAGACGTCGTAATTTTTCTATGAGGCGCCGTTTTGGTATTTACTGGCAAAAAGTGATATCACTTATTCGAAAAGGTGATATCACCTATTCAAATTGGTGATATCACATATTCATTTTCAATATGTGATATTTACTATTTGAAAAGGTGATATCACTTATTCGAATAGGTGATATCACCTATTGGAATTGGTGATATTACCTATTGGAAAGGAATAGGTGATATCACCTATTTGAATTAGTGATATCACTTATTCGAATAAGTGATATCACCTATTTGAATAGGTGATATCACCAATTCAAATCAAATAAGTGATATCACCTATTTGAATAGGATATCACTTATTCGAATAGGTGATATCACTTTTTGGCAGTAAATACCAAAAAGGCGCCCCATATTTTTCATTTTCAATACAAGGCCACTGGTTGTAATAGCCTAGTGGTGGGGCATTCTCTTCAAGAAGCACCAGATCAAAAGACATAAAAATAGAAAGTGTCTTGTCTTTACTTTAATACATTATCCATTTTTTATGTGTAAAACATTGCTTTTTTCATCAGATGTACTGCATCACCGTACTCCTGCAAAAGAAACCAGCCTGAAGAGCTGTTCTGAATTCTCCATTGATAATGTTTGTAAGAAAGGCAACACACTTCTATGGGACCTAGTACAGGAGGATACCTGTGTAAGTGTCCATTTTTGTGAGCATTTTCAATTACTCAATGCCTGATTTTCAGAACCCGAAGATTGGACTACCTTAAACGTGGTGCCAGTATGTTTATGCATGCAATTTTTGCAAAGGAATGCAAATATGAACTTAGTATCTAAGATCTTACATATATACCCTTTAGTGTACATGTTCTTTGTAGCAGTGAAATGATTTTATATTTTCATATCTTTTATTCAACAAAATTATTTTATGTTTGACTTTGATTATGTATGTCTATTTTTGAAAATATTTATTTGGTGGAATATTTTTCTTTTTTGACAGAATTTACTGCCAGAGGGTCTGGCTAATGAAGCAGAAAAGGCCCTGTGTACCTTAGTGTGTTATTCCACAGATCGCAGAATTCGAAGGAAGTTCATAGAAGCTTGTATAGAAAACTTAGCTCATAACAGGTACTGTATAAATACATATATCTCTTAATTTCTTACGAGATACATATATTTCATTTAGGCTTAAAGCAGGCTATTGCATTGTAGATAATTTGTTAGAAACTGAACTGAACCAATTGCATAAAAAATTCCATTTTATTAAGAAATTTAATCAGTGTCTGTAAATTATGGTACATTTTCATGGTGCTACTGCAAATTAAAACTGCTTTGAAGGTACATGTATATTACAGATTTCAGATGTTGTTGTAGTCAAAACTTTCAGAGAAGATGTTACAATTTTACTAGCATACACTAGACATTTCAGTATGTTGTGTTTGTTTATTAGGTCGGTTGTTGTGTCACTGAGACTTTTGCCAAAGGTGTTCAGCTCTTTCCAGCAGTTCAGGGGCGGGGCAGATACTCATCATGTTACTCTGTAAGTACTTCTGTGTGTTATATAGTCATTTTGTGTAATGTTTTTTATGAAGAATTAAAATTGAAGTGTAAGTTTATAACCATTTATGTAGAAGTAGAGTAAAATTCATTTATAGAAAACTTGGTTTTGATGAAATCTTGGTAGCTCTGTTCCTTTTATGGATAAGAAATTTTGTTATATGGTAGTAAAATTAAAGGTTCAATTGACTTCATTACAGTATATATTGGAGTTTTACTTTATGTATATTTGTACACACTCTAAGAAAAAAAATTGAAGCAAAAATGAGATTTTTTTTACCTATTTTTACCACTTTTCATTTCTTGTAGATGGGCAGAGAAAGATCTGAACATGATGTCACACTTCTTCATTAATCTAGTCCACTACACAGAAAAGGTCCAAGCTGGGGAGAAAAACCCAATGTTAGTACAATACTTAGGCTGTCTTAGTCTTAATGATATGAAATGCATACATGTTAACCTATTGTGATGAAAAAGAGGGAGATTCAGACTTCAAAAGCGGTAGCATTGCGCGCGTGTTGTTTAACACTTGGATTATCGATATTGTTCATGTAATATACATGTATATTATAAGCCTTGAATGAAATCAGGTACCTACACTAATTAATCTTAAATATCAACAGCAAAGAAGAAGACAGAAACACCTTAAGTTTGACATAAATTGTACAAATTCAAATATTTTTCATGCTCATCATTTTGCTTGGATTGGCTGCTTTACTTAGCCTTTTGAAGAGTGATCTTTGCTGAAATAGCCTAGAAGCAATAATTCTGAATGTTCATTCAGTTTTTAAACAAAACAAATGATGGCATGGTTTAATCTAGATCTAACACAAGTTCGTATCTTTCGTTATACAAATCAGATTTCCCGCGATGATCGAAAACGAAAGTAGAGATGTGCCACATGGCTTGGTCAATCGAGTGATTTCTATTGACTTTATTGATAAAGTTGTGAGCTTCTGTGCTTTTAAAGACGATGTCAAATGTTTTCATCTAATTCTTAAAAGCTGTATCTCCTTTTTCATGGCAGGGATGTTGATTAATTTATCGTAACCAATGTAATCACTGGTAGTCTTATGTTGTTGTCGTTGTCAAATCCGTGCTTGAAATCTATGTACAAAAAAAGCGTTTGTATGATTCCGAGTCAAATCACGCGATATCTAGCGAGATTTTATGAGAGTGGCTTCAAAAATGGATACCCAAGCGAACCAAAAATACTTTAGACGCAGCTTTTGTAGAAAAGCGGTAGATTTCTGAATTAAATCGGTAGGCGGGAGATGGAGTGAAAAAGCGGTAGACTCCCGCCTAAATCGGGAGAGTTAACATGTATGTGAAATGTATTAGCTTTCAATTGATGCATACACACAGCATGTATATTACAAAGTTGTAAATAGTTTTATTTTGTGCATCATTGTGTATTTTAGTATTTTCATTTTCACGCTGTCATTCCTATCTTAGGTACAGTCACAAGGAGGAAATTCAAGTGAGGCTACTGTTTTTAACCTGTGTCTTTTCTTCAGTTGTGTCCCCTGATGGATTTCGTAAGTTTCATATTATCTGACCATGTGAATGAATTGGTGAAATTGAGTTATAACTAATGTAAAAATAAAGGCATCTGAAGCTGATTGACAATGAGCTGTACTGTTGTAGGGCTGAACTTAGAACAGGTGGACACTCTATGGCGGTGTGTGGCCCTGGATGAGGAATGTTCTGATGACTGCCTCAACTGGTTCCTCAATCAGGCCAAGAGCAAGGACCATCATGCACTCTGTCTAGAAACATTTAAACATATATTCTTGGAAAAGGTAGGAAAATGATCTCTTCAGAATGTGCAAAGTTTGATATTATTTGTATTTATGACTATGTTACAAAGAGTTATTAATTTTTTGTTTATTTACTTGTAGATGCCTCAGCTAAAGGCAGAAACAATGAGTATGGTAGGTCTAAACTTGTTCCAGCAGCTGTCACACCTGACACGAATGGCAAACTCCTCCTTTGATGAGCAACTGTCTGAAAATCAGGTAAACATCCATTTTTCTTGACATACATGTACTTCTTAAAGTTTGTGAAATACACGTTGGAACATGTGTACTTAGAAGAAGAAAGATGGAGCTTGAAATATGGCAAGATATCAAAAAATATCTTTAACATTTCTTTTTTTTTTATCTCTTTTTCAATAATTTTGTACACTGCTGGTGCTATTCTGTAGGTGTGTGGTATGGACCAGCTGTGGAGTATTGCCTTGAGGGCCAATAACACGGATGTTAGTATGACAGCCATTCAGATCCTTAACAATTATTACATCAACTACGGTAATGGACACCTGGAAAAGGAGGCTGAATTCATACAGCGATGTATGGATAATCTGACTAGTGCTCTTACTGATATAGAATCTGTAAGTATTATATTCGTATGCATTTATCATTGTTCCTTCGTTGATGAATTGAGATTGTTTTGCCTGGATTTTGCCGAGGTATCTTTTAAAGCAAACAAATTTATATGTAACTATTGTATGCAAAACATACTGTTCCTCAAATTTTGCATATTGTTTTCTCTTGACATAACTTCATGGACTGCATTACAACATCATTCCATTATCTGTATTTTAGAATCCAGAGACCCATTTACTGGTAATCCAAAGAGGCCTGGTTCTCCTGAAAAACCACTTGGAGGCCTTCAGGAAGCGGTATGCCTACCACTTAAGGAATTGGCAGATTGAGGGGAAGGGGATAAGAAGTCATCAGAGGAACATACAGGAGAAACAGTCCAGTCCTCTACGCCTTGTGTTACAGCCAGCAGGGATGGCGGACAAGGTATGTTAAGGCGTGATGTCAAGAGGTAGACAAGCAATACATAACATGTACACGGGGATGTGAAGGAATATTTATTGAAAACATGGAAATAATTACCAAGTGGAACAATTTCACAATTGACAAATGACACAGTCATAAGTATTTTTGAAAGATTAAAAAAAGGAATTTGCTGTTTCTGAAGTGTGTTTATTATTAAGAATTTATGCTTCTAACAGACTCAGCTTGAGATGGTGTCTACAGACTTAGTGGCTGAGTTGAGAGCAGAAGTAGCTCGCTGGTGGGACGGACTCCATAAACAGCAGATGGCCCGACACCAGGCCGAGAGTGGTAGTCATGGAAACGCCATGTTGTCTCCTATCCTGGGAGCCATGTTAGGGGATGGACCAATCAGAATGATAACACTGGGACAAGAGCTGACCGTGGACATGGATGAAAAGTCGTTAGGAGAGTTACAGTTCAAAGACAACCAGGTAGATGCCTTATTTTATATACTGAATACAGTTTGAATGAGAAATAACCTAAAAATTAAAATGCATAAATCAAACTTAAGGTAAAGGAAAAAAACACTAATACTTGTTTTTTATTGCACTTCAGTTGGTGTTTGTGTCGGTGGGAGCCAGTCGACCCCCCAGGAAGACGGACGGCAGTTTGTCGTCCTCCAGCCTTCCCTGTCCAGTTCCTGAGAGACTGCCCGTCATGTTACTGATCACTGAACCACACTTCAACAAGCTCTTCCTTCTGCTGGAGCAACTTGGCAAGCTACAGTTCACAATTCCCACTATGGTGAGGAAAAACTTTATGTTATAAATATGCAGTTACTGTAAACACTTACTTAATATGCAGTTACTGTAAACACTTATTATCGTGGGGATTTGATTTTGTAGTTATAGTTTAAGTGTGGCATTGTCTTGATTACAATTTTTAATCTTCATGGAGGACATGAATTTGTGGGTGTCCTCATACCTCGAAAACTAAGAAAATTAAACCCCCATAAAATTATTGATTTTACAGAATATATGTTGCACTGATCGGCACATTTTGTTCTGTTAGAAAAGTTTTACTTTCATGTAGATTTATACAATAGCATGTAATTTCTTGAGGGATTTGAAAATAAGCAATAGTACCATTACATGCTACAATGCATCAGCCATACAGATTTTGATCAAGTATTTAAAAACGATTGCATGAAATTTAAAAGATTATTGCAAGTGTTTACAATAGTTTACATAGAAGGTCTCAATTTTTTTTTCACAGGAAAGCCAGGAGAGATGGGGTCTACAGACAAAAGCCAGGGTGTTGTCTAGGAAGGTGTGGGAGTTACTGATGTTACTCCCCACCAACCAGAACATGTGGGACGGATTTAAGAGTCTCATGTCTGAGGAGGTAGGTGTCAGATACAGGTAGTTATGTTATTGGCATTGACCAATGCTCAACAAGCCCAATAAATTTAACTTTTGATTTAATTTAGTTATGTAATTAATTATGACTTTTCTTTCATTCATAAGTTAAAGATTACTTTAAGCACATTTTACAGCAGCTACCTGTTGACACAGAGAGGTAAACTATATGAGTGTATTTATTTACAGTGTAATGAGCAGACAGTGATATGGGATAAACTGCTAGATTCCCAGAGCCCACACAAGTTAATGTACTCCCTACAGATCGTAGAAGCTCTCTCCCGTGGAACAAAACATCGCAGAAGGTCCATCGTAAGTATCAGGATCATGTTTGTTTTAATTAACTGGATCATTGAATATGTTGATATATTTTAAGTCAAGATATTATAATTGCCAGGATGAATATGTTTCATGGAGATCAAATCTTTTTATGAGTAGTCAAAGATTGGTACTTATTGAGTAGGGTTTCATGTTGTACCTATAGAGAACTGGTTGAGTAGGGTTTCCTGTTGTACCTATAGAGAACTGGTTGAGTAGGGTTTCATATTGTACCTATAGAGAACTGGTTGAGTAGGGTTTCATATTGTACCTAACCAGTTGGGTTTCATGTTGTACCTATAGAGAACTGGTTGAGTAGGGTTTCATATTGTACCTATAGAGAACTGGTTGAGTAGGGTTTCATATTGTACCTATAGAGTACAGTTGTGATAGGACCTCTACATAGGGACTTTTTTTATATCATTACCTTTATACTGTATTTGTTTTGACAGATGAGGATGGGAGGGGGAGACTCGAGGACCACCAGTACAGACTCAGAGTTCGACACACAGGACGAGGAGATCTGGAGCATGAAGGTTTGTCATTTATAGTCATAACTACTCTGTTCTTGTGAGTCACCAAGTCATACAACATTATGTAATCATTAATATACAAGTGTGCAAATGCCAATTTGTTTCCAAAGAAGATACATGCATTTGCAGTTGAATACCGGTATATACATGTACTTGTAGAATGTTTTTAAGTTCAAGGAAGCATTCTTATGATAAGATAGTTAGGAAAAGGGTCAAACTACATAAGAGAAAAAATTATGATGATTCCTTTAACATATGATTTCAGTTTATCTCCAAAGGTGGCTTGAAGCACTTGTTGAACATCTTTAAATCTGGGAGTCTACAGGCACAGGAGGATGAGGCCTGGAGTCAGGTATAGAGTATCACTGATCTTAGCTGGCTGTTGTTTTATATATAGGCCCTGAAGTTTATAATGTTGCTCTTGTATTTGAATGTACCCCAGAATTATGATTTATGGAAACTGTTTAGTACAAAAATGCTTGCAATTAATGTTGCGATTGTACATTATTTGTGTAATATTGACAGTCAGATGAAATAAGATTTACCTGTATTTTGAAAAGTCTTCATTCAATAAAACTTCAACATAATTAAATATAAAGCTACAATCAACCTTCATTATCTCAAACAGACCAACATAAAATGTAAAGATAATGGAGAGTTCAAGATATTGTAGTTCAGATGCATAAAGAATAAGTGGTTGGGACTTTCAAATTGCTTTTAAATATCCATGATCTTTGAGATACAACATGTACTAATATTAGAGGAACTAAAGTTCAACTGTGCAATAAGCTTTAATGCACTTAGAATGCTCGTTTGATAAACCTGATGTATTATGTTTTAGTGGAACCAGGAATGCCTGGCCTACCTGCTGCGGTTAATCAGCCAGTTTTCTGTGGAGCTCTCAGATGCGGAGGCCGGACATGATGATGTGTTTGAATCCTACGAGAGCCCCAGGAAGAAGATGAAAAGACACAAAGGAGGAAGTGAGCGGATCATTATCCCCAGGCTTAATCAGGTACAGTCCCCTCCCCCCTCCACAGAGTCAAACAGGCTACTGAAAAGGGAGGGTCTGTTTTATATTTGAAATTCAAGCTTTTTAGTGCAAAGTACATTTACATGTACAAAATATTTTTTCTTAGTTCTTAATTTGAAAAAAATGACAATATATTCATGTATATACATATCAATGCAATGTTAGTGACCTTTTTTCTTGCTCTGAATTTCCAGTCCACTCTTGCCATGTTGAACATTGATTCAGTCCTGAAAATCTTGATGCAGATCCTGTATGATGCAGCAGTGCCCAGGTAAGGACATTTTCATGCTTAAGCTTAATTCTGAGTTTTTTTTATTTTTGTGAATATTAGATAAAACTGGAATTTCTTTTTAACAGTGACACAAATCAAGTCCACACTGGCACCTGGGGAAGAGCAGAAGGTGAGACATCTACACACTTATTTCAGTTGCATGTTTAACAGAGTAAAAACACAGCACATGTTTTGTTGTTCTTTGGCACTATTCACTAGATTGTAAATATTAATTTATTTGTGAATTGTCTTTTGCACTACCCTTTTTTTCACCTCATGAAGTTAGTATAATTCATCTTTCAAATAATACACTGTAGTAAAGGAATGGTAATAACATGTACTTTCTGTTTTGTACAGTGGTGCATTATTCCTTGTCTTTCCTGGTATCCTGGGCCTACTCCTGTGATGACGTCAAACAAGCTTTGTGTACATCCTCCAATTTTGTTCCCTGGTTAAAGAGACTTACTCTTCAGGCTCCAGAGGTGAGTGTTCTCTGGTTATAGGTACTATACAGACCCCACATGTGGTGATGTTTATAAGAGAGTTTGAGAACTTCTGATGTTCTGATATTCCGATACCTTTCAGCCATTTGTCAGACGAGAAGCCTGTATGGGTCTGTACCGTCTATGCCTTGGTAAGACAGCGGATGGGAAGACAGGATACACTCTGTTGTTACCAACCTTAGCCAGTCTTCTGAGCTTCCTGGAGGATGCATTGTCCATAAAACCAGTGAAGAATCTGGAGGTTTGTCATGTCTTTATCAGTTAACGTCATCAGCAGAATTTAAGAACAGTGTTCTATTATTAAATATAAGATGGTTGTAGTATAAATGATCTGTCATGAAGTTTTATCACATGACATCACATCAATAACTAGCTACGTGTATTTGTATATAGACATCTATTTACCTTTGTGTTTTTTAACATGCATAGAATGAGGGTAATTGTTTTGTAGGTTGAGGGATTAAAGGAGAAAGAAAAGGAGCCCCCAGGCCCTGGTTGTAGGGACTATTTCTGGCTAGTGTGCAGATTTGTGGATAGCATATCTAAGGATGATGCAAAGTCGGACTCGGTAAGTAAAGAATATACATATTTTAACTTTTTTTTTCAAAGACTTCATGTTAATTTAAGTATTCATTCTTGTTATTCTAAAAATGATTTTGACATAACTTGTACTGTCAGTTTGTGTGCCTGTACATTGCATACAGGTGTATTTGTGCACAGAATGGCTGTGTGTCAAATAAGAAAGGGAAGCAGACAACATGCATTAATTGTCATTAGATCCAGTGCTGGTTCTGATTTACGGTGTTGGCTGTAATCATTATCTGTATCTATCTCTTGTTTAGCAGGACAGCATCGTTAACCTGAATCAGCTGGCCAAACAAGTGTCCCAGCACGTACTGGACCGGCCATTTTACGAGACTCGACATGGATTTGAAGAAGACGATGGCTTGATTGGTATTCTGAATCTCTGTACAGCTGTGATCAAACACAAACCCCCATTTAAGACCTCTCCAGAGGGCCAGGTAATAAATAATACATACAAAAGAGAAATAAAATCATATTTTATTTCTGTTTCTTTACTGTAAGATTTAAGGTAACACCTAATACGAAAGCAATATATTAATGTAGAATGATACCTGCATATGAAGTTTCTGTTAAAACATGAGAGTAGTAAATTTAATGTATAAATTTCATATGAAATTTGCATAATTATAAAAATATGTTTTTCAAACTATAATATAATGATATGACATATCTGTTAGAAATTTCTGGATGAGGTTTTCTGGCTCTTGTTTGCTCTTCCCTCCCCAACCAAGCGTTACCTCCCAAAGTGTAAGAGTCAGACCTCGCGGTCCTCTGCCTATGATTTACTGGTGGAGTTTGTCAAAGGCTCTGTGGAGAACTACCTGATTCTGCATAAGAGGATGATGCAACAGCACACAAAAGGTTGGCAACAGAAATAATTCATTTTTAAATACACAGCATATACTGTACAGCAGGAAATTAACTCGCGGAGTTAATTTTCGCTATATTCGCGGAAAAAGAAATTCCGCAAATTCAACATACGGTGAATAATTCTTTTAAAGATTTATAACGATAAATTGAAAATTTATTATTTTTCTGTGATTAAATGTAGACTGTTTTTATAATTACGCGAGAGTATGGATAAATTACAAAAGCGTGGTTGTTGGTGTTTTTAAAGCTTATTAATTATTGTTAAATTAATTTTATAGGTAACGATTAATTTTGCCATCTAGAAGAAGTGCGATGTGATTATTATTTAATAAAACATGCTTGTTTAATTTCACCCGTGCGTATCACTCAGTCATTACCTTCAATCAAGGCACTTACAAAGTAAACAGCTGGGTAACGACAATTAATTAATTTTAATTATATGATTAAAAGTTCAACATTATCTAATGAAAATGCATTTTTTTTCAAATTTGGACCTGGAAATAAGAAAATCTGTGTGCATAACATTATTTTAACTTCAAATCGGGATCAGTCCGGTGCATGTTTCGTTATTATTCATCAGGATCGATCAACATCGACACAATATATAGACTTGACTTCCTGTCTGATATGCGGGATATACATTTACAGACTTTCGTAAGATAGAGACAGGAAATCTCAGGTCACACAATGAATACCTAAAGAAAAATGCTTGCAAGTAGTGTTGAAGAAATGTATGATTTTCTCTTCCGCGAATTTAAATGTCCGCGATTTGCTAAAAACTGATCAGATCGCGATTTTTTCCGACCGCGATTTCAACCTGCTATACAGTATACATACAGTGTATATTTACTTAAGCCTTGAATAATTATTTTTTACACTGTGCCCAGCAGGAAATCAAAAAATTTAATAAATCAATAGATCAGTAAATCAAAATATACGTTAATAATTTCAGATTCCCATGCCCCCTACCTGTGGGATTACTGGCCACATGATGATGGGCGTTCTAAATGTGGTTATGTGGGGCTGACGAACTTGGGAGCCACCTGCTACATGGCCACCTGTATGCAACACCTGTACATGATTCCTCAGGCCCGGCAGTCTGTCCTACAGGCCAAGTGTCCTAAGACAAACCTGTACGAGGGCACATTAACAGAGCTACAGAAAATGTTTGCCTATCTACAGGTTAGGGCAGTCCTGTCCTGTCCAAAAATATCTATGTTGTGTATTCTTGCACTCTAAATTTGTTAAAAAATAATGTGAAGACATGAACATGTATTTTTTTTTCCAAAACAGGAAAGTGAGAGGAAGGCGTACAACCCGAGGAGTTTTTGTAAGACTTACACAATGGACAAGCAGCCACTGAACACTGGAGAACAGAAAGACATGACAGAATTCTTCACCGATCTCATCAGCAAGCTGGAGGAAATGTCTCCTGATATGGTATGTGGAGACTACCTGCTTGATTAAATAAAGTAACTGGTTAAGACTTTACCAGGAATACAGATAGATGATCCATAAATTGTAGTACTTTGACCAACTTCTATATTAACAGACTCTGGTTTATATCTGCTGATTTTCAAAATTTATTGATGTTTTCGTGGTCAAGAAACAAATCTGAAAATAGCTTATATTAGTAAAGTTTGCTAAAGCATGTAACAAGTTAATATGGATGTAATGAATACTGAATATTATCTCACATCTCCCTTTATTTCAGCATACACTAGTGAAGAATCTGTTTGGAGGAGTTCTCACCAACAATGTAGTGTCCTTGGTAAGATTTTATAGGAATAAGGGGGAAACCAATATCTGTTAAAAGCTGAAAGAAGTTGGTTGAAAAACAGCATCTTACACTAGATTTTATTTCTACTTGATGAGATCTTTAGAGACTCACGCTCATACACACAACAGAATAAAAATTTAAATGCATTTTTTGAGTAGTTAATAACAGAACAATTTTTTTTTCTTGTTAGAATGAAGAGATTTTGATATCTGTACAGTCATTTATAAATTTCTACTCTACCTACATGTATTACTTGCAATTTTTTTGTTTCAGGACTGTCCCCATGTTAGCAGAACTCTGGAGGAATTCTATACAGTCCGGTGTCAGGTCACAGACATGAAGAACCTCTATGTAAGACTTTGGAAATTGCATCATTATTTTTTCATACATGTATTTTATACTAAAATCTGATTGGTTTAGGTGCATTTAACAAATGTTTTCCTCAGCATAAGCAACACACTGAGCAAAAGGGAACTCAGAGATAATATATGTGTATGCATGTAACAGTTGCAATTAACACCCTTAGAGAAAAACATTCTTAACCTGACCAAAACATTGACATTGCTTTTTTTGCATACAGTTTACTTAACTCGGTGCTTACAATGTAGTATACATGTATGTAAGAAAGATCTTTATTCTGTCTCTAACTTTTAACAGGAATCTCTAGATGAGGTGACGGTGAAGGATATGTTAGAGGGCGACAATATGTACACTTGTTCAAAGTGCCAGAAGAAAGTTCGAGCTGAGAAGAGGTAAATTATCAACATAGTAATACTTTATACATGATATATTTTCTGAAGGCCCTTCAAGGAATGAACTATAAAATGTATCCATATTGGGAAGTAAAGTTTTGTTTTTTCATGTTACAGAGCCTGTTTTAAGAAATTACCAAGGATCCTTTGCTTTAACACAATGCGGTACACATTTAACATGGTGACCATGATGAAAGAGAAAGTGAACACTCATTTCTCCTTCCCTCTCTGTTTGGACATGTCACAGTATATGGAGAAAAACCTGATGGGGCCAGACAAACTCAGGGGTGAGGTTTTGGATATTTTAGAAATTGAAAATGTAGCAGATAAATATTTCATATACATGTACTATTAAAAGATTGAAATTTTACATCAGACAAGTGATTCTTAATGCTCTTGATACATGCAGATGTTTGGTAAAGAAAATATTATTGAGGCACTACTTTTCATAATATTTTTTTTTTTCAAAATTTGCAATGTATGTAAGGATGCATTATAATTTTGCAAATGATGGTCAAAGCATTATATAACATATCATGTGAAAACCTGGAAATTTTAAAGAAAAAAATGTATTGAATTTTATTAATGCTAAATGTACATGTGCTGTCCTAGGCTCCTCATATATAAAACTGGTAAAGTCATGTAAGTCACATGTATCTGTTATTTTAAAGTTATAAGTTACAAAGCCTAACCCTGTATTTTTGTGTACCCTTTGTTCAGATGATGATGAAGATGACAAGTTTCTGGTTCAGAGTGAAGAAGACGACATCTTCGAGTATGAGTTGATCGGGGTGACTGTTCACACGGGGACAGCTGATGGCGGCCATTATTACAGTTTTATACGGGACAAACTTCACAAGGCAGAAAGTGGGCAGGATAAGTGGTAAATAATATTCATGTATAAACTTAAGAAATAAGGCATTAAATAGAACATCCATGTATTTGATATTGAGGGCCTGCAAGGATTTGCCCCAATCTGTATTCCAATGTGTAGATAAACAAAGCAGTAGTTTGTTATTCTAACATTTCTATATCATCTTTCAAAATAATTGTAGCTTTTTTCTTAAGCTTCCAGTCCATAATTAATGATAAGTCGTTGTACTGACAAGTTTACTCATTCCTACAGCATCTTGCAAAAAAAAATGTGTGAAAGTAAGGCATTCTTAGTTTCTGTTTTCATTATTGTAGGTATTTATTCAATGATGCTGAGGTGAAACCGTTTGATCCAAGTCAAATTGCATCAGAATGTTTTGGAGGAGAGGTCACAGTATGTATAGTTTTAGATTTTATTTTATTGATGTGGATGATAAATGAATTAATAATTTTAAAATAATAATGCTATTAAAAACTTGTGTCTATTTCAGAGTAAAACATATGATTCTGTCACAGATAAGTTTATGGACTTCTCATTTGAAAAGGTAATTTTTTTATTTAGAAAGTTTATGTCGAAGACGTTATTTTGAAAATTGTTTATACCTGATTTTTGTATTCTTTTTCCAATATAATCACAAGATATTGCTTCTGCTGTTCTTTGTTCACTTCCTGATGTGGTTCATGTCCTGATAAACTTGTCGATTTTGTTGTCTGTATAAGGACATTTTTGTACCTCATAATTAGGAGGAATATTTTTTGTCCTGTATGACCATCAGTCTTCTGTTATTCTGCATTTTTTGACTAAGTCCTTTAATGATTTTTCAGACAAATAGTGCCTACATGTTATTTTATGAGAGAAAGCCCCTTGGCAGTAGAGCTGAAGAAGAAATCCGAATCATAGAGCAGGAACAGCCAACTAAATTTAATTTTGAGTTGACCAAGGAACTAGGGGAGGTAAATTTCACTTTGTAGGATAACATATTTTTGTTAATTAAGTATTTCATATGATAAATTACAGTATTAATCATTGTTTAATGTTTTTTTTATTTTGCAGTGGATATGGCAGGATAACACACAATTTCTACAAGACAACAACATCTTTGAGCACACATATTTTGGGTAAGATTCTATATAGAAATACATGTGTCTCTGGTAGAGTTGAAGATACAGTGTTTGTGCCAGCATGTTTTGGATGTGTATTAAAACTGATTTTTTTTTTAAATGAGTACATTATAATTAGCTAATAGCAATGTGCTTTTCAATTCTTGAGTAATGAAATTCTATAAGCATCAATTCATTATTATTGTGTTGGCTATAAGCATGTTTTACTGTATACATTCTTCAATACCTTGAAAATAGACTGGAAGAATTGCAGCTGTTCTGTCATTTTGGGATTTTTTTATGGCTTACGAAGCCATATAGCTCCCGGTGTATCTTTACGGCAAAGAGTTCCGTGTGTATTCTAGTAAACATGAGCAAGATAAAATAGTCCTTTTCTTTAATTCTATTCACCTTTGTTGTGAAATTTACTTACCAAGTTCTTAATCAAAAACCTTGTTATTTTCATTTAATTTTCGCTACTGAAAAAGATGAAATAAAAAAACTTTAAATAAACTCTTGTGAGGACACGTTTTGCAGGTTTATGTGGCGATCTAAATTAAAGATGTGTCTGTGCACCAGATAGTTCGTAGGAATACAGATTAAATGTATTTTACCTTACAAACTGTTTAAGCAGCTGCTAAAAGCAGTGATTTCCTAAGGCCGTTTTTGCATGGCGGTAACGCGATCACGATCTCCCGCCAACTCAATGTTGTGAACTCAATGCTTATCGCGGTACGGGGTATGATGCAATAGCCTAGCTGTCAATTTTTCTTCATTGCAATTTAATTACTGGTATATTACGAAGTATCAAGCTTGTAGTTGATGAAAATATTAATTAATAACCATAAAAATGTAATTGATGGCTGTCAAATAGTACGAACGGTAAAAGCAATACACTTGTTGATGCACATGTGGGGTTTTCCAACATTCACTTGTCGTTCTATAAATAACATTGATGCTCCACTTAAAAAAGATTCATTATTTAAACACATAATATTTAAGACATTATTTTTTTGCATTAATGTACTGAAAATGAAACGTGTGATTAACATTATCAATGTTTATGAATTTACTTGAACTCTGGAAAGCACTTAGTTCAAACGCATATATGTGTGGAAGCGCTCCAAGTGACAATATCTACATGCAGTTAGCATTACATTGGTGCTACATAATGAGAACAAAAGTTTCAAGATGACTACAAGAGTAGATACATAAAAAAAAATAAGGAGGATCATTAGGGGCCTATTTAATTGTAGATAGCAAAAATAGCACAATACATAAACAGTAAAAAGACAGTGGCTTAATAGAAAATTTTAATAGAACAATTTTTCGTGATTAGATCTCTTTACATAAAAAAAACTCTATTGTTGAATAATTTTAAGTAAAAAATGACAATTTGTTCAATATATATATTTACCCCTTTTTTTTAAAAAAAAAAAAAAAAGAATTTATTAGTGAATTTTTATTTTTCATTTAAATATGAATTTAGATAAAATAAACTCAACTGCCAAGAAACGCCTTTGTCAATTCAGCAACCCCCAGCCCCCCTTTGCATTAAATGCTGGGAAAACAATTTTGTAGTATATTACATTTCCTTACATTTTACATCCATGTCAAGCACGTAGGCCATTATGGCTCTTCAGGCCTTTGATTTTCAAATATTAGATGGGTAATTCTTTGTCAGGATTATCAGAAGTGAAAATGAAGTTTACGTTTTGCAGGTTTATGTGGCAGATCTGTGGCTACATTCCGACCACTCTACCCAAGGACCCAGAAACCCAGGTATCACTCAAAGCGGCCCAGCTCAGCACTTCCTTTGTTCTAGAAACATTGATCCACTCCAAAGAAAAGGTAAGTACTGCTTCGTATCTGTTGATATATATGTGTGGGAGAGATGTTGTCATATTATACTAGGTATTTTTGACATTATCAGTTTAATTACTGCATTGATTACTGCATTGGAAGTTAATTCACTGTAATTAATCTACTTTGTTGTTTCAGCCCACAATGCTGCAGTGGATTGAGCTTCTAACAAAGCAGTTTAATTCCTGTCCAGCTGCATGTGAGGTATGGGCATTATTGTCCCCCGCTTTCGCGAAAGCGTGGGGACATTAAATCTCATTCGTCTGTCCGTCTGTCAGTCTGTCCGTCACAAAAACTTTAACCTTGCCCATAACTTTTGATTTAGTAGAAACTTTCATATTTCACATGTGTAATCCTTGTGAAAGACCTTTCTTTGGGTATCACCAAATTTAACCTTTTGACCTTGACCTTGGAGTTTGACCCACTTTTACACAGAAATTTCAAACTTTTACTTTGGCCATAACTTTTGAATGGAAGGTACTAGGACTTTCATATTTCACAAATGTATTGTTTGTGGCAAGACCTTTCATTGGATACCAACAACCTTGACCTTTTGACCTTGACCTTGGAGATTTACGTACTTATGAAAAAAGGTTAACCTTGACCATAAGTTTTGAACAGTGAGGTCTAAGGCTTTCGTTTTTCACATAAGTAATCCTTGTGAGAAGACCTTTTATTGGATACCAAGAAGTTAGAACTTTTACCCTTTGACCTTGGAGATTTAACTACTTTTTAAAAACTTTAACCTTGGTCACAACTTTTAAACAGTAGATACTAGGACTTTTATATTTAATATATGTATTCCTTGTTGCAAGACATTTCATTGGATACCAACAACCTTGACCTTTTGACCTTGACCTTAGAGATTTATATACTTATGAAAAAACTTTAACCTTGACCATAACTTTTGAACGGTGAGGGCTAGGGCTTTCGTACTTCACATATGTAATCTTTTTGAGAAGACCTTTCATTGAATACAACAACTTTTACCCTTTGACCTTGTTGGAGTTTTAACTACTTTAAAAAAACTTTAGGTCACAACTTTTGAAGGGTAGATACTAGGACTTTTATATTTCACATATGTATTCCTTGTTGCAAGACATTTTATTGGATATCAACAACTTTGATCTTTTGACCTTGACCTTAAAGATTTAGGTACTTATGTGAAAACTTTACCTTGACCACAACTTTTGAACCTTAAGGGCTAGGACTTTCATACTTCACATATGTAATCCTTGTGAGAAAACCTTTCATCAACAACTTTGACCCTTTGAGGAGTTGACCTACTTTTAAAAAAACATTAATTTTGGCCGTAACTTTTTAACGGTCAGGAAAAGGGTTTTCATCCTTCAATGATAATTTCTATGAAATGACATATGATAGGATGTTCATATTAGACACAATATGTCATAAAAAATAACATCTCACCAACAAATACACCGAAAGCGGGGGACCACAATTCTTTGAATTTGCTTGTTTCTTTTTGAATCTCATGGAATGGAATTATCTTAGAGCAATATAGACAGCAGTTAAAATTTTATGTGACTATATATGCTTGAAAAGGGTAATTTAAGGGTTTAATTGGAATATTAAAAAAGAAATAGAGAAAAAAAAATATCTATAAGGTAATGTGTGTATAGAAGTATTTGTCTCTTTTGTTTTAATAATGAGTTTTTCCCTTTATTTAAGTGGTTCCTGGACCACATGGCAGAAAGTGACTGGTGGCCACAACAAATCCTCATCAAGTGTCCCAATCAGATGGTCCGACAGGTCAGTGCAGTGCACAAAGGTCACCAGAAAGTGGCTAAATAGCTGAAAAAAACTTGAATTTGTTATTTAACTTTGTATGCTTGTATTTGTGCATTTTAATACTTGTTAAATAATTTTAGTTTTCAGATTTCAGTATTTCTAATAATACCATACAATAAAAACTAAATGAGTATTTGTTTTCAGATGTTCCAACGCTTACTTATACATGTCATATCACAACTCAAACCTGCCCATGTTGATTTGTATCTTCAACCATTAATTGAAAGGTATGTAGTACATGGAATTTTATTTCATTGTTTAAAAATAAGTTTGAACTACAAATACTGATTAGATCTCATTTATTAGACATTTACATGTATTTACTGTATTGATATTTTTTCAGTGATGATGGTGAAATAGATGTATCAGAGCTGGGAACTAAATCCTGTGTGACGAGGTTCATAAAAAAGATGCTCTCTATTGTAAGTCAAGCAACATAAAAAATTCCTTAAACATGAACATCATCGTAGAAACATTTACATGTTCCCTTAGCTAATGAAATTAAAGTTTGTTTGCAGGTAATTATATTATGGTAATATGATATAAAGGCTATGATAAATTTTGCTTGTTTGAATTTCAACAAGGATTCACCATTTTAAAAGAAGAAAAGTTAAAAAGGGCCCCAATAAAAAAAAAAAGAATAAGCATCTCTTGAATTTGTCATAATCTCAGTCAGACTTGATTATAACTTATCTTGTCCAGCTGGATCACGGTGTGAGGCCTCACAGTAAATTCCTGACAGAGTACTTCGCCTTCCTGCTGGAGTTTGCTAAGATGGGAGATGAGGAGAGTTTCTTTTTGATCAATGTGAATGCTATATCTACAATGGTTAACTTCTATCTGGGCCAGAAGCAAGCCGAGACCTATGTAATTATCAGTCTTATTTGAAATAAGAAACCATAAAATATATAATGGAATCAGTTTTGACTCAATTCAAATAAATTTTTATTTGTCAATGTCTTATTTACCCTTAAAAATTTGGTAGTACATGTTCATGTAAAGCTTAAAACTACATGCTGAGTACACATGTTGACAGGTGGAAATTCCATCAGACGATGAAGAAGAGGAAGTCATTACAATCACCGAGGAAACTTACAAACCAATGTCCCTGGAGAAAATGGTGACGCTAATCGCCATACTGGTAGAGAAATCCAGGGGAGAGAACAACCAGCTGCATATATCAGACAAGGATTACACGGCCATCATCGGGGGGAAGGGCTTCCCCTTCCTGTTTAACCAGATTCGGGACAGCATTAATGTCAGACAGACCTGTAACCTCTTGTTCAGCCTCAGTCGATGGAACGAACAATTAGCCATTGCTGTTTGTATTTTTTCCATAATTTTTTATAATAGATAGTAAAGCACAGTTCTAATTGGTTAATAATCAAATTCACAAGCAGTATTAGATATGGAAGTTAGGTGCTTCTGAATGATTCAGGGTGGGAAGTATCACTTTGTATATTAATAGTTAGCACAAGTTATATACTAGTATTGGAAATGATTAGGATGCCATTGTTTTGTTAAAGTGGCGTGAAATGTGAAATAGTTGTGAAATAATGAAAGTTGTCCTGCTGTTCCTAACTTGATTCATGTACATATTTTCAGTTGGTGCAGATGGTTTTTAATGCTATTAAGAAGTTAAATTTTGAGGTAAGGAACTCAGTTTTATGCCATAACTTTTCATCTTTATAAAGTGTTAAGTAATATTTAATAATCAAAGTCAATCAAGTTACTAGCTGTAGAGAAAGATGAACCAATCCATAAAAGTAAACATGTCTTATATTTACATGTAAATTCAAATTACTGATTTCAGTTCATCTTTGAGTGTTAAAACATGAAAGATTTTTCAAATTTCAGCACTCGCAGCCATTTTTCAAGCTGATGTCGATGTTGGTGGAATTTGGAGCTGGTCCCCCAGGCCTTCCTCCATTCACTCAATATGTCCTACAGAAATTCTGGGAGGTATGCATCAAAAATTAGGGAATATTGTGTAAAATCACATATTTCTCATAGGGTCAAGGTGTGAGAAAAAGTTATTTGTATGTTGAGATTTGATTCTTGTGGTTGGAGAAGTGTTGAGTAGTAATGCATATGAAATTTTACATTTCATAACCGTGACCGTGGTGGTCATAAATACGTGGGTCTCTCCATACCTCTAAAACAACAAAAATTAGCGATTTTGAAGTAGATGGTATTTTGTTATGACAGATAGTATGGGTGTTACCCTTGTATATTATAACAGCTGACATAAAATTTTATACTGTAACATGACATTAAATACCTTGATTGTTTAACAGCTAACATGAATATATACTGTAACAGCTGAGAAAAAGCTCAACTCAGCTGACAAATTCATGAGGAAGCTTACCCTTGATACTGTACACTTAACAGCTGACATTTAATACTGTATTAACAGCTGACATATAAAGTCAGTCATGAGCTTTAACTTGATACTATTTAACAGCTGACAAAGTGTTGCCCTCAGCCCTGTCTGGAGTGGATGGCCGCACAAGTGACCAGAAACCGACTGGCCAGTCAGTGGGTCCTGAGTCAGATGGACATCTGGGTAGAGCCATACCTCCTGGCCAATAACAACGCCCGGGTCAGGAGTGCCGCGGCCTGCCTTCTGACCTCTCTGGTACCCAGTACTCACTTCAGAAACACCTTCAGGCAGACTAGGAACCTCCTCAGTCCTCACAAAGAAATGACGGTACATGTCTTTTTTTTCTTTTTTTTAGATTTGAGTGATATTTTTTTCTGTTGTCAATTTTTTTTCTTGTTAATTATTATTTCCTTTAATTTCAGATGTCAACTGAAGCCATTATTGTGCTCCATCAGGTAATGTTAAAGTCTCCAGATTTACATACAGATGTCTTATAGACAAATGATACTTCCATGTACATAAAACCATATATTCTGTTGCAAGAAGTTCACAGATCAAGTTTAATATGTGCAATGTTTTTGCAAGAACAGTTAATTTAAGTTATGTTTGTATATTCTTTGAAAGGATTTTAAAGTCGCAGTTAAGAAATTATTTAATATGCCCTAGCTTACTCTAAATTATTAATGTATTTTATTGTTTTTTCTCAGATATATGAACATCTGTTGAGTCTTTTGGTGAGAGCGAGGCTTTACGCTGGTAATTTTCTTTAAATATTATTATTAAGCAACATACATGTACATTTTAGAAAACGTGTAGAAATTAATATCTTCAAGAGTTGAAGTGGGGATTTTAATATAAATATGTACCGTATCTGTTTATGAATATGTGGGTATATTCCTGTATTTTATGCCATTTCAGATGCTCAGAATCATGGAACGACAAAACTGATCAGTTATTTTGCTGTACTTACATTTTGTTTGATCTCAAAAACAGAAAAACTAATGGTAAGTGATACACAAGCCTATCTACATGTAATTTCTGATGGGTATATTGGCAAATTCATATAAACATATATATTGTATATCATTTACTAGCATGTACATTGTAAATATAAATTTTTTTTTATTACATGTAAGTTCCAAAATCACATAGGTAACCCATTACTATCCATATTTTGTTCATAGCAACTCACTGTAACTTAAAGTATTTTGTTAAATTTTTTTTTAATCAGTTTAACAAGTACTTCCTGGATCTCTGGAACTTATTTCAACCTAAGCTGTGTGAACCTCAGATTTCCATGCATCACAACAAACAGGTTAGAAAAAAAAATTATTTAGATATTGATCATTTACTTTTATCATCATGCAAGTATCCTAATTATTTATTTATAGATCTATGTATCATTATAATTACCTAAAATCTGATGGAACTGATTGTCTCTTAAGTCTAAGAACTTTTTTTCTTGCAGGCACTTTTATTTTTCTGGTACCAAGTGTGTTTGGATTGTTCGGAAAATATTAAATCCATTGTGAGCAATGCTAGTGTGTGCAAACAAATAGCATACAACTACATTCTGTAAGTAAATTTGATATGCTCTCTTGTGAATTTTCAGGGGGGGATTAAATTAATCCATTGAATAGTAATAGTAGAAATTAAAACAACATGGAAATGATGTACTTGTGTGAGCGTTTCAAATTTCAAACACAGAGCGGACCATGATGACCAAGATGTGGTGATGTTTAATCGTATCATGCTGCCATCGTATTATGGTTTGTTGAGGATGTGTTGTCAGCAGTCCCGTACGTTTACACGACAGCTAGCTCAGCATCAAAACATCCAATGGGCTTTCAAAAACATTTCCTGTCACCCTGCACAATATACTGCGGTAAGATGGAGTTCATATATGTTATTGTAAAAATCCAAACCTTCCAGTATTCATTTGGTCCTTCAATATGTGGAAGAAATATAGAAGCTATCCTTGCATAGATAATGAGGCTAACTAAAAATCATGTGTGATACATAAATTTATCATTTTTAAAAGTAAAAGCTTTAATAAGATTTGTGATAGTTAATTTTGAGATTGATCGTTATAGGCAGTGGAGGAGCTGTTTAAGATGATGAGGCTAATGGCCACAAAGTACCCCGATAGCTCAGAGGAGGAGGTTCAGGCTGTCAACCATTTTAAGCGGACCACGATTCGCCTATACCTAGATTTCCTGGATGCTCGCTCAGGCTGGCAGACTCTGATCAGGTTCTTATGTGCTACTTTTATTATGTCCCCTGAAAGCTAAGTTTGAGGAAGGAAGGGTTGTGAATCAAAAAAATCTTATTCAAATTTATCCAGTTGTCTATCTTTCTGCAGTCTTGTTTGACTATTATTTAGCAGTGGGAAAACATTGTAGGCTCATAGTAAAGAGTGCCTTTGGTTTATGGGTTTGACTTTTACATAAACCAAGGTCATTTGTGCAAGGTCAGCAGTGAAAAGGGTATAATCAGTGTACAGTGTCACTTTCTAATGGAGAAGCATCGGAAGTTCATACTTCACACTGAGGTCATTTGGACAAGTTCAAGGACAATGACAGAAAAATAGAATCTTGTGCAAATCAACTTTACTTTTCTCTCTAACTTATTAAAAAAAAATCCTGCCAACAACAATTAAAAAAAATTATAGTTAAGGCTATCTAAATTTAATTCCCTGGTTCTCAGGCCTATTTTCTCCAAAACAGATGCGGGAGGGCGGCATTTTATTTTTCATTTTTTGTGATGAGGGAGGTTTTTTTTATTTTAATTTCCGAATTTTCTTTAACATAAAGATATTTTTTAATCACAGATATACTTTGTTAAAAGATTTATTGTGCTTAACAGCGTGTAAACATCGTAGGTAATGTCCTCGAATGTATTTTCAAACGAAGTAGCCAAAATCTCATTGTAAATGGCTACCGGAAGTGATATTTGAATACTAAACTACGAAACAAATGAGGTCGGAATTTTTTTTCCCGGATTGGTCTCCGCAATACCAACTTTTTATTTTAAAAATTCAATAAAATCGGCAATGCGGCTACCTCAAAACGGATGCGCGCGGGCCTGAGAACCAAGATTTCAATTTTATATGGCCTAAAGGGTTAAGTTTTTGTGCTTGCTTACTGTCCTATTTGTTAAAAGATTTTGTTAAGGCCATAATAAATAAATTGCTCGATTCTCATCCGAATTTTTTTAAAAAATGTAGGTGGGCGGGCGGCTTTTATTTTGTATTTTTTCAATTTTGCAGATTTTTTATTGACCTGGTCAATCAGTGTTATTTTATTTACAATACCTGAATTAAAGTTATAGTAAAGGTTCAATTATCTCTTACTTCACATCATCACCAATGTTTTTCAACCAATGACCCTTGTTTAAAATATATACGCATGTATTACAGCAATTACCATCTTTTCAGCTGTCAAAATCATGTCAACTTTCGCGGGATTCAAAACGAAAGTAGAATGGTAGATGAATACCGATCTCGATCAGAATTAAGACGAAGAAAAACAGAAATAAAAAAAATCAAGGCGGGGGTATTAAATTGGGGCGGGCGGGGATGAGAATCTAGGAATATTTTTATTATGGCCTAAATATATCTTTTATGAGATTTTGTCAGTTAAGTTGAAATTCGAATTTAATTTAACTTTTTTTAAAAGAGTGGAATGAGTAGTTAGTATTTGCTATTTTCAGAGGGAACATTCCTCTAACAGATCTTTTTAAAGATAAATAGAGATTTTTTGTTTGCCACTGTTCACTTAATTGTGTAGATTTTGTAGTGCATGTACATGTATATTATTCTTTTTTTATGGTGTATAAATATTCTGAAAAAATTAATTTCTTGATGAATTTTGAAAATAGATTCATATTTAAAGTATTTCTAAAAATTTTGCACATTAATATAATGAGAATAAAATATGAGCCGTTCCAAGCAAAAACCCCCCTTATGTCAAAAATTTTCGAAAATGATGTAGAACCTTAGGTAAATACAACCTGTAATTATTACAGGTGTATCTTGCTCCGTTACGGATTTATAGGTATTCAAAGTATGCATCATTTATACGGCCGACGTCATATTTTAAAAATTTTCTATTGTAGCGACGTCGACGTTATAGCGACGTAATAAAATCATGAATTACTTATACGCAATAACTTGGTATTGTATTGCCGTTCTGCTTAATATATATATGCTTAATTTGTTGTAAACATTTTTTTTTCCTTTTTTATGAAACAGTTCCGTTCATCCTTTTCTGATATTAATTAAAAATATGCCGATGGAGTTCAGATAGTCCTATGATTCGCTGACTTAGAGAAAACATCACAAATAATTGATAGGTCTTTTATTAAGTAAAATTCACTTTCATTTTTTTCCGGTTTTGCCCAAATCTTTCAAAACCAGCAACAACAAAAATATTTTAGTTCCCATCAATTTATTCTTTTATAATTGATTTTACTTGTCCAACCTTTGCCTTCAAAACACTGACCAAGAGACAGCATTAAAGGGCAGGGGCTTGCGCTTTTATTAATGAACACGACATAAAGATTTTGTAAAGTATGGTATATCAATGTAAATGATGAGTACCATTTCTCCTTTTTTCTAAATGCTCAACTGCATATGCATTTTCTTTGCTTAATTATGCCCTCATTTGTTAAAAGATATTAGAAGGAAAGGGGGGGGCTGCAATGAAAGATTAAATTAGTACTAGCATAAAGGAAATTTTGACTAGATATATACATGTTAAATCTGTCATTTATGAATAGTTAAAGTGTACTTTTCAGATTTCAAATTATGAAAAAAATAATAAAAACAAGACCTGAAAAACTGAGAAAATGAGCAAGGCAATTAATTCAGCTTTTTTTTTTTGAAAAACAGTACAATCACGTACATGTAATTAATATATAGAAGATTGCTAAACATACAGCCCCATTTATATCTAACAACAAAATGATGAGAATCGATCCTCTTGTGCTTTCTCAATATTTCGTATGAAGTTTAAAAAAACATACAGGTCACCGTTTTTTGTTGTTTTTTAAAAACAACAGGTTGTTATGAGGCACGTTTCACAGGTCAACACTTATAATATATCATGAAGGTCCTCTGATTATGTACCAGTTAGTCAAAAGCTGAAAAAAATATTTTAGAGACTAAGAAAAACGTGTAAGTCAGGGGCCTATTCAGAGCATGCAACTTAAATTTTAAAGTCATCGACACAAATGTACAATATTTGATTACCGTCTTCAATATTATTAATAATACTATTATTATCGTATTCTATGTCTTCATAGAATAAAAACATTTCATAGAAAAGAGAACATGTTTTACGTGCGAAATCTGCATATTAGACTGTCTTTCGAATAAAATTCTTCTTATATACTAGTGTTGGCAACGAGTACCCGGTTAACCGGTTAACCGTCGAACGATGTGAGTATCGGTTAGTAAAACTGCTATTCGGTTACTCGGATAAAAATACATTTTTCATATTAAATACGTATAAAATAATTTTTATGGTATTTGTAAATGTATATCGACAAATTTCTCTAATTTAATTACCGTTAGGCTTGCTCTAGTGGTTCACAAATTGGATCGATTTGTTATGATTAGTTTAATTGATGGCTTTAATTACCAGGGGTACGTGTTTTGAAAACCTGAGCTATAATTACCTGATTTAAACAGACCTGTGTTAGAGGTACATACTTTAACTAGATGCCGCCGCAAACATCGAGAGCGTGAAAATATTGTTAAAGAACTCAAAATCTGTCAAATTCAAATTATGTGATTCGGAGTTGTCGTATAAGGGTGCTAAGTTACTTTAGATTGAAACATACCGTACTTTGTATTTCGATAATTAGCGACTTGCAGGAGACTCAACAAAAAAACCAGCATTTACAGGGTATGTTAGTTCTCCCCGATCGCGACATATAATTATATATTCTTCATATGTTGATATATTTATTTTCTTGAACAAAAACAAACTCCCCGTTTCAAGTGACATTTAAAATCAAAATTCTTCGAAGATTTTTTTTTTTTTTGTTTTTTGTCTTTTGTTTTTTTTTTTTTTTTTGTCTGTATTTGTAAATTAAGTTCATATATCTTACATTTGTTGTTTATTTCTACCAATAAGTAAAAGGATGAATTTAATAATAAATACGGAAACTATAACATAAAATCATCCGAGTAACCGGGTACTCGATCGGAAGATTAAGCGAGTAACCGGTTACTAAAAATCGTCCGATTTGCCAACACTATTATATACTAGTAAAATATATTCTATCTAAGTCTACCCAACATTTTACACACATACAAAGAAGTTCCATTGTGTGCAGAAGGGGGAGGAATGGTGGCCATTCTCTGTCTCTTCATTAACATCAAATATTCGAACATCTGACCATCCTTACCAACTTACAAGGAGTCCACGTGTTCTGAAAGTGCGGGGAGGAGTTGAGTAGGTTACTTTTGTGTTAGTCTTCTAATTAAATTTACATGGAGACCGGTCCTTCGGATGACTCTGTATAAACCGCGGTCCCGTGTCGCAGGAAGTGCTGGCACAAACAAGATTCCTCACTGCTCAAAGGCCCTAAGTGCCGGTTATATTTGCAGCTCTCCACTGGCAAGTGGTGGCGTCTCCATATGAGCTAAAAATTCTCAAGATGGACGTTTAACAACACACAAACAATCTATTTAAATTTAAACATTGAAGTTTCACAAGTTATCTAGAACCTTTGTTTATACAAGATATTTCCAAAGTTATCTAGAAACCTTTTTTATACAAGATGTATCCGACTTTTGTGATTGACATCTGCAGGGACAGTATATAGGGAACTTATACTGCCTCGCTATTGAGCTATCTTTTCTAGTGATGCGGTAGAGTCTCTCTCTAATACAGGCAAGTTAAGCAACGGCGAGCCTGTTTATCCATTGGATGGGTGACCGCTCAAAAACATGGATAGCCATGGAAAGTAATGAGATATAGGCCTATCTAAAAGACATGCAAAAATTTAGGAACTTTTCAGACAAACATAATTATGAATACTTTTTTGTTGTCAACATCATTCATTTAATGATTTGTTTGTATCTTTCATTAAGCACTTTAAACTGAAATTCTGTATCATTTTGCAAACGTTGTTTAAGGATAATTATTTGAACAGCAAATTAAAAATTGCATTTTTATACAACGATTTCCATCATTTTATTGTCTCCTGATGGAATCTCAATATATTGATAAAATAAACTTCACTATTATTTCTCATTTTATTTTTTCCACATTTGCATCTACAATGTCAAAGAGTTGTCTTGGTACAGGTCCACTAAAAATGATCACGCTTAAATATTTTCCCATGAACATGGGTTTAAAAAACATGTCAGATCGTTTTTCAAATCATTTGACAAAAGTGTTTATAATATGATAAATACTCCTAGCTCTCTGATTTTCCAAGATCTGGCATTGTGTGGAAAATAATCAGGTTATGTTCACCTGCATGTGATCTTCCTGGTGAAAATTACGAACATTTACTTCTTGCTACGTTAGACAAAAAGTAGATCGGGAAAGTCCAAACTGATTAAAATATTTTGGAAATGTATTTTTTTTTTTGCACTCGATTTACATTCAGGTGAAATGTGCTTACAATCATGCACATAAAAAAACAAATCCGTGGGGTTGCATGGAAGCCCCTCTCCGTAATTTTTTCTGAATGTAAATTTTCACTGTTAACTTCAGCATGCAATGATGCCTTGGGGGGGGGGGGGGGGGGGGGGGGAATAACGTGACAAGCGATAAATAATGTAGGTGTGCATTTCAAATACAGTACTTTTCAGAACTTCCAAAAATTTGTGAAAAGATGTATACATGTATTTATTTCTATATATGCTTTATCACATATATTCTTATAATTTTTTTTGGTGGTGGGAGGGGGGATGTTACAACAGTATTAACGAGTTATCGATCTTTTCAACACGTAACAAAAAAGGAGAATGTCGGATATATGTCTTTTCAATTAATGTAGCTTTCTTAATTGAACTAACTGTCATTTTTCTTCCAAGAGGTCCTGGGTCTACAATAAATGAAAAATACCCCGAATTTAAATCTGGCATTGGTGTGTTGTAACAATTCTGTCATTCAGATTTGATTCGTGTTAATTCCTGTACAGTTTTCTTGACATGTGATTAAGTCCAATCAATTTTCGCCAAGACTTCAGATTAAAAAAAACTCATTTCAAACTACTCTTCCTTCTACGGAACCTTCCTTTTTAAAAATATATTTACACAGCTGTTAATCAATATCATCATTGCATGTAATTATTTTTTTTCATTGTTGAATACAAAAGAGTCGTAAATCTGTATTTTAAACAACAGTTGCATGTTTTATTTAGTTTAACTGAATATTGTACATGGAACAAAATAATTGTTGAAGTGTTGACAAATCTTATGTATTTAATCAGAACACTCTTAGGTCGTTTAATGTGTAATGCACATGTAGTTTGACAACAATCAGAGTCAGATATGTTATGAAATAGACAAAAGTGTTGAAAGAAAATATGCAGAAAGCACAACGGAGAAAATTTTGTGACGTAAAACAAAGCATGTAGTTGGAACGCAGTCAGTGCGCAATATATTTTGAACGCAGTTTTTGTTGCAAAACAATGACGTCGCTTTTTCTATTGTGACGTAAAATTCTGTCAGATTACATAAGGGGGGTTTTTGCTTGGAACGGCTCATATAATACATGTACATGTACACTTGTATAATTATGCATGTACTATGAGGAGATTTACTTGCAGTGCTCTGAAGATTTTGATTGACAATCAAGATGACAGGTTGCTGCTACTCTATCACAAGGGGCTGCAGATGATAACTGAAGTAAGAAAAACTAAACCACATCAAGTTTGTGTTATTATGGTTATGTTGTTGCTAAATACTTTTTCAATGTGTAATTTTAAAAATATTTAAAAAAGTAAAAAAAAAATTAATATGACGTAATATACATGGATTGAATTTAGTAATTTCTGTACTCTCTGGCATTTGTAGTTTAGACAAAACTGCAAGAAGGAAAGCTGTTCATTGTATTTCATCCATCAGACATTGACCAGAACTTGCCATGAATTGTGTGATATAGATGGTTATTGCTTCTAACTGAATGTATAAAACTTGATTGTAGGCCTTTAACACACTGCACGCCATGTACCACGAGGCCACGGCTTGTCATGTGACAGGAGACATAGTGGAACTGCTAGGGATTCTCCTTCCTGTTCTAAAAGTAGCCCGATATTTCCACGAACGCAAAGGTAAGACAAGAAAACAGAATAAAACAAGCACAAGCATGTACCCATTGTTGTAGGTTATAAAGAAAAAGGAAAACGTATTGTCTAGAAATGTAGGTCTCTCTGATTTGATTTAAGAAGGCTCAATTTTCAAAGGCAAACATGGTCTAAATAACTGTAAAGGATTTGTTTATAGGAGGCTATATGTCCTGTACAATGAGTGTTGATTTATCAGGATTTTACATGCGACAGATTCAGGCAAAATGTAGTACAAATATTTAATACCTGTATATATAAATATTATGTGGTTCACATACCTGTATTTATCATACAATGGTTGGATTGTTATAATTCTACCAGGTTCAGCCTCTAACGACATGAACACTGTCCTGCAGAACTGGAAAGAGAGAATGGACTTCACAAAGAAGTTACTGACCTTACTGAATTCTTACACACCCCCAGAAATCAGAACCAGTGCTATAGGTAAATACATATACGTAGACTCTTAACCATTAGCTTAAAACAGGACTTAATTTTATTAATAATTACCTATAAAGCTATGATTTTTATCCTTAAAAATTGGGAAACTACATTAAAAGAGGGTTAACAGTATCCTGCTTATCATATTTTATAGTCCCTCTATTCATATAAAGTTTGTATTTGAGAATGGTATTTAAAAAGTAAGATGTACTGGTAATATGATTATCCATGTTACTTGTAGATGTTTTGCGTGATTTGGTGCTTACTTATCAGAGTGAATGTGTTCACACAATAGTTCCTGTTCTTACACAAGTTCATCTAGCTTTCCAAGAAAGCAACATCCCAGGTAAGTAATTTAAACAGTATTTATATTTAATAATTTTGTTTTAATTGGAGTGTAAATCAAATCCCAGTGGGCATTTGTCTTAGGATTTTTAAGTAACATAAACATAAGCAATATCTTCTTTCATACATGTATGTAAAAGTTATTAAAGTTACAAAAGATCAGTTATATTTTTTTAAACTTACTTTTCAATTTATTTACAATGTATTTAGTTGGTTAAATAGTGGAAAAAGCAATTTACACTGTATGTAAGAACAGATAGGGCAATATTCTGAGAAAGCATTGTAGATACTGTGTCTATAGGGACTTGTACATTTCCACTGTGTATTTAGCTTGCCATGTCTATATAATTTTTTGAATGTGAATTTTTATGAATTTTCAGTTTCTTCTCCTGGGCCTTATTTTCCCAGAAGAGGTCAGAAGCCGATAGGTCCCAAATCTAACATCCGTCCCCCGCGCCCGCAGTTCAACATGATGTTACATTCTAGTCAGATAGAGGCTACCAAGGTACACTATTCTTAACAGTTATCTTATTTACAAATCTAACATCCGTCCCCCGCACCCCCTGTTCAATATGATGTTACATTCTAGTCAGATAGGGGCTACCAAGGTACACTATTCCCAGCATTTATCTTATTTACAAGTACAGGTGACTCTCGATGGCTTGAATCCTAAAACTCAGTGAAGAACCTCATGAAGCAAATTTACTCCTGATCTCTCGAACTTCTATCTCTCAAAGTTCTCTATCTCTCGAACCAAAACCTGGGTCCCGTTACACATATTTCATTGAATTTTACTCTCTATATCTCGAAGTTTTGATAGCGCGTGTATACACGGCGATCAAGTGTGAAATTGAGCCAGTACTTACCTGGAAAAACAGTTAACGCCTGGGGGCTAGCATGGAGGTGTTAATTGGGTGTTTACGTAGATGACACTACACCTGTGGGTCGTCCGTGTATCAATATAATTTATTGGTTATTATTGGTAAATTATAAACGAATTCAGAACTTATTTTGACTTGAAACCGGGATGATAATTTCTAGAAAATAAATTTGTGGACGTTCGTTTCAATTAAGTTCCCATAGATTATGAACTTTTATTAGAGTCTACATAATCCCAGTATGGCAAATATTGCAAAAGAAATTCCTTTCTCAAGGACTGAATACCGATTAAGAAAAATCTTTTTACACTGTATGGTGAATGGGTGCTTGTATTCGGGTTTCATGTTATCATGAAATAAGAACAAATAAATATTGAAACTTCAGGAATTCGTTTTATTTATTCGAAATACGATCATTGTTGTTGATATCAAGTATATTACCTGTAAAATACGATTGAAAACGTGCAATAACTTTATTTACATATACTTCCGGTATCTATAATAGTAGAACATCGATGATCGGAACGGAAAATTCCGGATTTTATTAACTTTCTATCTCTCGAACCCCTCGATCTCTCGAACTTTTCTTGCGGTCCCTTGAACTTCGAGAGATCGAGAGTCACCTGTATATATACATGTAGGTGAATCCTCAAACCAGCAGATCATGAATATTCAATATGTACATGTACATTAAGTTTTGGTTCTCATGATATGTGTTTGTCAATGCAATCCAAGATCCTTCATTAGTTTGATTTATGATAACAGTATTTAGAACATGTTTGATCAGTTTGTTAGATTTGAAATGTTACACTTAAGTAATACTACATACATGTAATGTAATTTATATTATAGTTACACTTATTTTACAGGGTGTTGATGAGTCTTGTTACATTTATTTTACAGGGTGTTGATGAGATGTATGATGCTGCTTTAGCGGAGTTTTTCACCCCGTATCACATGTTGGTGGATCTTATCTGCCGAGTAGCTGTTAATCACCAAAGTCTTTCAGAACCTATAATAAACCTAAGTATGTACCGGTAATTTAGTGGATTCAATAAAATCAATTTTTTGAAAGAGAGGTTCAAAAGAGGTACTCAGTGATAAATTTTATGTATTGTTTCACAGTTTTGTAACAGTACATGGTCTTACACTGGCTTTCCTTTTGGACTATCATTAGTGTTTTAAACAGATGAGAAATTGCATATATTATATAATTATGTAGAGTAAATGTTTTCAGAGGTTGTCAAGCCCATTATTTGGTATGACTCTATATAAAATTATTGTAGGTGCTATGGTTGCCATTGAGGGGGTTCCACTACACTCCCCATATTTTGCAAAGTTATGGTTTGAAATCTATCATTCTGAGGTAAGTTACACAAGAATAAAGAAAAACAACATTCTTCTCAAGCGAATTAATAAGAAAGAAAATAGATTACGACAAAGGTTTCTTTTTTCGCTATTTGCATTGCTGACGAAAAAAAAGTTGATTGTATCCTTAATTAATGCTGTTTGACCTGCGTCTACTGTGAGTCTTTTTTCTGTTGCAGGTTGACAGGTCCTGTATCAGGACTTTATGTAATTGTAGCTACTTTATTGAATATGTGGACTCAGTATTACTTGACGAGAGGTTGTCCCTTAACAACCATAATATCTACCAGTTCTTCTGTAACTTTTTTCCTAAGGTAAACTTATTTTATGTCTTTAAATTTAAAAAGTACTCCTTAAGATATAAAGTTCAACAGGCAGAAATCAGAATATTATCTATTCATCTTAAGTGTGACTGATGTATTTACGCCCTGCTTCAAAAAAGGGAGGGCATATTGCTTTGATGCTGTCTGTTGGTCCACCATCAGTTTCCATTCATTTTCTGCGTATAGGTTGCACATATTCAAATGAAATTTGATATACAATTTTATCATAAGAATATCTAGGTCAGGTTTTGTTTTGGGTACAATTGAGCCATTATGGGCAAAGTTATTCCCCTTGGACTTCGAAAAATTCCTTTTATAACTCAATGGATGCTAAAAAAAAGTAATGATTGATGCATATCCTTCAAAAAAAGCTCAGACCAATGGTGAATCAAAAACCTGGCCAAAACATTTAGTTAAATCTTTGATCTCTTACTCCAGGTTCATCAGCAAGTTTTGAGTGATCAAGGGAGATCCTTACTGGACAGCCTTGTAGCATCTGTTACAGCCGAGAAAGCAGCCATCGAAAATGTCCGTTATGAGAAAGAACTGACAAGCATTTGTCAGAGGGTAAATGGGGTAGGTAGTCTTACTGTGTATGAGCTGTATTGTTAACATAATATGCAATTTTTTATTTGTCATAAAATGATTTGGCAATTATACAGTGGAATGATGCTAGGACATTTTTATTTCCTTGCAAGTATTTACTAGCATAAAAACAAGTAAATCATTGCATTTGAAAGCTTCTAAACTTTCTTATATTGTTGAATTTGACAGGACTTGAGAGCTATGCTATTAATATTTTCTGTCCAACCACCCAAAAATCTAAATCCCTTGCTGGAGGACAGCCTTCATTACATTCTACAAGTTTGTCGGGACCACCAAAAGCAACAGGAGAATGCTCATCAATCCCAGAATTCCCTAAAAAGGTCAACTTCTGACCAAAGTCAGAGTGAAAAGGAGGAGGTTAAAGACCAAGGTATGTCCATTTACATCTGATTTAGGCTAAATGTTTCAATCCTTTAGTGCTGTGCGATATTACCGGTTAACCGATGTATCCCGATTTTCTTCCTCACAATACGTATCGCGGTATTTTTTTGTGAATACCGGTTCGGGATCGATGTGCTATAAAATTGTTATAAAAAGAGTTATTTGCCCTTTTCAAGGTAAAATATGGTGGCAAGCTACGTGAAGTGTTATCAGAAACCAGAGACATGTCTCTATCAGAAACGAAAAGACGACAACTGTCATGTTAAAGCCAAATCTGAATATTACAACTCGATTCTTCAAGTTGTGCCACAAAAAACTTAGCTTGCCATTTGCGCCGACAAAACGCGATCAGGCAATTGCAATATCAACTCAAGAATACATGTAATTTGAATTTGTGTTTTCATTTAAGATTGATGAAAAGCAAAATCTATTAAAAATTTTATATTGTGATATATTGCAATACAAAATGTAATATTGCAATATATTGCGCTTTTTCAGTTGCGATACCCAGCACTACAATCCTTCTCATTACACAGAAAATTTTCTTAATTAGATTGAAATACAGTCAGACTTTGTTATCTTGAACTGAAATGGGCTGAGATAAAACTTTGAGATAGCCATGGATTCGAGATGTGTTACATTTTTGCACAACTAGTGGAGTATCAATAATCAAATAAAACAAATTAAGTCAAAAATTTTAATTTTCCAATAAATTTGGAAAGATATGAAAAGCAAATTAATGCCATTTGATGGAACATTTTATTTTCATTTGAATGTTAATAGGACATTTAATGCAGATCTAGATTTGATAAAACAGAGCTTTGGAAAACACAGAACAGTGAAAACTCGCTTTACACTTTCAGAAACACCTTCTAAGAAGCGACGAATAAGTAAGGATGAAGAAGGTGATGAAAAAGAGACGAAAGTTTCAAAGTCTGAGGATCAGTCTAAAGACCCAAAAGCAGAAAAGTCCCAAGGAGAAGTTTCTGAGACCAACAAGAGTGGTAGTGACACTAGTCAAAACAAAGCAGAACCTAGCCAAGAACAGACAGACAAACCAGAGGTCAAAGAGGCCAAAGAGGAAGAACCTTGCACCTCGGGTCAAAGTCAGAAGGCTGAGTCTGCTGTGTGTGAAGAAACTCCACGAAGGAAAAATGCCACAATGGTGGATATTGTTGCCAAACATATCGAAAGCTTGTTTGCATTGATTGAAAAGAAACAATGAGGAAACATAATCTTTAGATATCACTGCCTGAAAATTACTGTAAAGAAGTGAAAGCTGTTGTTTTTGAGGATTGTAGTATTTTAAATCATGAATTAATTGATTGCAAATTCCATGAAAGAGAGACATGTTTTAAGGACTTTATATGTATGTTCAAATACATGAATGTTACTGGTATATGTATCGGACATAAATTCAATTTGCAATCAAATCTACACAGATCGTTCAGTTAAAAAATGCATCTGCACCATACTTGTTAAACAGCGACCCTGCATAAATTTCTCTCTTACATTATATGAATTGTTCTAAGACATCTGTCCTGTCTATAAATTGTGACTTGTGCATTTACTGAGGTGTTCTTGACATATTATACAGGTATAAATGATTGTTGATTAGAGAATACAATGTTGAATGAGAAAACTTGTTACAATTTTTTTGGTATTATTTAACCAAGTTCTAATACTATAAAACAAATAATTATCTTGTTTATATAGAAATGGAGACAGGAGTTGGGGTCAATGCTGATTTTAGTATGTGCAATGTGATATCACTGCCAGATACTCAACAATAATATACATTATATTTTGCTTGGATTATTTCATATCAGCCCAAGACAAATCTGAATTATAAATTAAAAACCACAAAGCTCAAATATCTGGGTTATTCACTTTAGAAAAATAAGAAAATAAGATTTATGTTTTAAAAATAAGTCTGTCAAAACTTCTAAAATTGGTGGAAATTGAAGTCAGTAGAAGTACATGTAGTAGAGAAGTCAGTAGAGAAGTTCTTACCCACACACTTAGATGCACATGTACTACAGGCAGTTTGTGACAGAAAATTTAAAATCTGTTGCTCTGAGCTATTTATACATGTACAGTGTATTTATGAATTCTCCTGAAAAAAAAGAGGGAAAAGGCATAAATTTAGATCAGACAGTAAAAGAGCTGCCTAAAGCAAGTCTACAATCAGGATTTATTGAAAGTGATTCGTTTCTCTTTTTTTTTTTTTTAAAAATCTGCAAGAAAATTTAATATTTTTTATGTGTACACTACATGATGTTTTCTGTAATTCACTTTCTTGTGTGATTCATTGTCCAGTTGAATAGAGTGGTCACATATGGATCAGTTTAATGTTTATAATTTTATGAGCATTAGGACCACCAATGCATATCTTGAGATTGACACAGAATTATGCAGATCACCTGAAAATTGCAGAATAAGCTAAATCTAGCTAATTCAGAGAATCTGGGTCCACCCCGAAAGGAAAAGAGAAGAGCATGCATGGATCTAGATTAGAGGATTGGGGTACCTTAAGAGGGTTGCCATTGGGCAGTGCCATAGGGAGTTATTTAATAAATTTGTAAATCCTCAAAGTTAAGCCTCTTGACATAACACCCGGAAATGAGAGTTTTATACAGAAAATATGAATTTACAACCTTGACCTCAAATGAGTATAGGGGTCTTTTTTAGACCATAGGGAGTTATGTTGTAAAATTTCATTGCAAAAGCTTCTCGAGATACCTCACAGAAACAAAGTGTGTTCAGACAGAGAGAATTTAAGTGTATGACCTTGATCTTTTGAGCTCAAAATCAATAAGGGGTCTTCTTGAAGCCATTGAAAGTATATATACTAAAATAAATTCAGTTTCATATAGCGCCTTATCTTTTGTAAACTCGAAAGCGCTTTACAAAGATATATATGACACGCCAAATTCACAAAAATGAGCTAAACCTAGGGCGAATTTGTTTCTCAAAAACTTGGTTCAGTTTTGAACCAGTTTTTTAAACTGTTCATTTGTTCCACAAACTGGTTTTAAACTAGTTTAAACCCAGAACCGGTTTTCCATTTGTTTTGGCTGTAACTGAAACCAGTGCGTTAAACCAACCAAACCACCTTCGATGGTGGTTTATTCGGTTTACGAAAGAGTGGGAAGTATTTCAATATGGCGGTGGTGAAAGATGGTGACTATTCTAATAAAGAAAAAAAGTTATAAATAATTGTTTTTTAAGGACAAACAACCCTTTTGACTAAAATGCCACATTTTGATATTTGATGTTTTATGTATAAGGCTTCAGAGAATAGATAAATGCTGCATAATAATTGAAAATAATGGTGTTTGTTCAATAATAATGAACAAAATATGTTAAATTTTCCTTTTCAAAAATAAGTTTTGAATCATTTGGACAAACTTCAACATGTACGGTAAATTGTAGAACATACTGTGAAGACAGTTTAAATAATGAAATCTAAAGTGTCATTATAAATACCCGAGTGTCTATCTTTCCATGTGTTAAAAATGTGGAAATTGTTCATTTGATTAATCTTTGAGGCATTAAAAATATAAATACTATACTTTAACTATAAGTAAGATAATCAAGGAATATAGATACGTTATAATTTCTTGGATTCTTTTATTAAGAAAAAGATTTAAACAAATTTATTTGCATGTGTAATTTGGTTAATACATGCATGTTGTTCTGCATCTTTTTGACGCCATCTTGTATAAACTGTTCATTTGTTTTACTGAGGTAAACATGATTGAAATTTAAACCAGTTTAAAAAACTAGTTTTAAACCTTAAACCAAAACCTGAACCAGTTTATGAGCAACAAATTCACCCATAGTTTCACAGTTGATAAACTAGGTTTGTCGACTGTAAACTATAGTTTACAAATAGTTTTCATCTGTAAAACTATATTTAACAGTTGCTAACTATAGTTTACGAATGCTAATCTAAGTTTATAATATCTGTCTGTAAAAAACGTTAACAATAGATTTTTTTGATAAACATATGGGCGAATATGTTTCTCAAAAACTGGGTTTAGTTTTGAACCAGTTTTGTAAGCTGTTCATTTGTTCCACAAACTGGTTTTAAACTAGTTTAAACCCAGAACCCGTTTTCTATTTGTTTTGGCTGTAACTGAAACCAGTTCGTTAAACCAACCAAACCACACCTCCGATGGTGGTTTATTCGGTTTACGAAAGAGTGGGAAGTATTCCAGTATGGCGGTGATGAAAGATGGTGACTATTCTAATAAAGAAAAAAAGTTGTAAATAATAATATTGTTTTTTCGAGGACAAACAACTCTTTTGACTAAAATGCCACATTTTGATATTTGATGTTTTATATATAAGGCTTCAGAGAATAGATAAATGCTGCATATTGAAAATAGTGGTGTTTGTTCAATAATAATGAGCAGATTGAATTAGAATATGTTAAATTTTTCTTTTCTAAAATAAGTTTTGATTCATTGGACAAACTTCAACATGTATGGTAAATTGTAGAAATACTGTAAAGACAGCTTAAATATTGGAAATCTAAAGAGTCATTATAAATATAAATACCCGAGTGTTTATCTTTCCATGTGTTAAAAATGTGGAAAATGTTCATTTGATGAATCTTTGAAGCATTAAAAATATAAATACTGCACTTTAACTTAGTAAGATAATCAAGGAATATAAAATACGTTATAATTTCTTGGATTCTTTTATTAAGAAGCAGATTTTAACAAATTTATTTGCATGTGTAATTTGGTTAACACATGTATGTTGTTCTGCATCTTTTTGACGCCATCTTGTATAAACTGTTCATTTGTTTTACCGAGGTAAAACCGGATTGAAATTAAACCAGTTTAAAAAACTAGTTTTAAACCTTAAACCAAAACCTGAAACAGTTTATGTTCAACAAATTCGCTCATAGATTCACGTCTGTAAACTGTAATTTACATTTGTTACATTAGAAAAATTAAACATTTTAAATGGTTTTGGGACAACTCTTTTGCCAGAATTTAAGAAAAAATTGACCTGATGATTTGAATGACCTGATGATTTCCTACCAATGACCTGATATTTTTTAATGACCTGATATTTTGAAATGATGTGATGGGTTTTAAGGACCTGATATATTCTTATAATATATTTTAAGGAAAATAAAACAGATTTGTATGGTTAACTTTGTTAAATTTGAACATTTGCTGCAATTCCATTTTAAAATATCAGGTCTGTAAAGTAAAAATATCAGGTGATTCAAAATTATCCGGTCATCAAGTTTTGTGAATATATCTTAATATACAGCAAAAAATATACTTATTATCCACTAAAAGTGTATTTTAGTATAGGTTTAGTTATTATCATTAATACTTTTGCCCCAGAAACATGATATATATCATGTTTAAATTGATAATTTATATGATATATCATTTATCAGGAGGTCTTTAGTATGTTCCCAGATTTCGTGATCAGTGGCTGTTCCACTAAGTTACATTTAGAGTGCGAGTTTCCTACTGTATCAGAGATACAGGGCGGGGCTTGAGGCCAGAGCGATAGCTTGAGCCGGGCCCCGCCCTGTATCTCTGATACAGTAGGAAACGAGTATTCTAAATGACTTGTGACATGACCTTTCTAATGACCTCACCAATTTACATTCATATTTGGGTACATATCTCTCAACCAATCAGATGATTTTAGCAGAAAGTTGATTTAGTATCCCATTTTAAGCATTCGCAACTGAAATGCCGAGAGAGGTGGACGTGCAGGTATTTATCATTTTAAAATAATTATTTAGGGGATGCATTATATAATTGGGTTTCCAAAAAAAAAAAAATTAATTTGATTGCGTATGTTCTTTTCTTTATTCAGCTGTTGTCGACTCCTTCTTTTTTTTTTTTTTTTTTAATTTAAGCTACGATCAAATGCAAAACATTTTAATATATAAGAATCATGTGGGAATGTTCTTGAAACAAAAATACTTCGGGGAAAACGTATTCTGAAAAAAATGTCCCACAATGTCCTACACCTGTCGTAATATAAAAAAATGAAATAAACAGATGAAATGAAAGCGGGGGGGGGGGGGTTGTATATTACCTTCATGTTTTAATAAAATGTAGAGTAACCAAAGGGGATCCCAGCACTCACTCAGGTGCCCCCCACTCAACCCTCCTGTGAGTTTTTTTTTTCTTTTTCGCTTTCGTAAATGATTTTTGCTAAACTTGTATGCATACGCTTTTTAATTTATCAACAATAAACAATAGCACCACACAGTGTCTTGGTTGGCTGTAAATCTACCCCCTCCCCAAGTATAATATACGAGTTTCCACTTATTTTTTTTCGGGGGGGGGGGGCATAGTGATAATTTGTGAACTGTTCCACTACTCCTTACCTTTCTAAAATTTTTGAATTCGACACTAATAACTTTACGTTGTAAAATTTTACTCTTAATTCACCTCAAATTTTGAGTAAATACTAACAGTGCTTTCATGGGAATTGAACGATCTTGTTCTGCCCGTAACAGCACACAGATATCGTTGATATTTTGCAGATACAGTACAGTTTCTGCTCATTTGCATAAGAAACGCACACAAAAAGTGTTCTGTATCGCTTAACTTCAAAGGAAAACTCCCCGGGTCATGTCACAATAAAACGTAGTTAGAATAATCTAACTGTGTCTCGGTACAGGCCCTCACCACATTCCGTAGGACAATATCATTTTAACGATAGAACATTCCATCTAGTATTTATGTAACCATGCAGTCAATTAGATGGTATTACGCATTGCTGATGAGATGTTTTTAACTCGATAGCTTTAACGGTTCAATATTGTGAATAACCTCCACTAATTTATACGAGTACTTTCTGATCAGTTTTATTTCTGTTGAACACGTTAAATTGGGGTATAGGCAAAAAAGGTTACTTCATAAGGGGCGTATAGATACTGTTACTTTCATTTTTGTTTCCATTTCTACTTAAAACAATATCGACCAATCCCTTTGTATGATAATTAAATCAACCACCTCAGGACCACAGGCACTTGTTTCTGTAATAAATTTTTGACCCAATAGTATAATAATAACACCCTTGTGTTACTATTATACCATGGGTCAAAAAATTATTACAGAAACAAGTGCCTGTGCTCAGGACGCTAAAAACTTTTCAGAGCGTTGTAGATCGATCCTGATGATATTTTTCTGAAATTGCGTTGTCTACTTTCGTTTCTTTTTCTTGAAATTAATTTTTGAATGTTTTTTTCTTGTTAGTTTAACGCATCCTCCTTCTCCCTGGTAAAATTCCTGGATCGGCACATGTTGAGGATCAAAAATTTGAAAATTATCCTGAATATTTCAAGTTTTTCCCATCTAGACCAAAAAAAAAATAAAGCCACTCGATTACTAAGTAACTGATATAAAAAAAAAACTGTAGGCACATACTCTTTTTTTTTTGTGTTAAAGAACTATATATAACTTTCTTGTTTGCAGTAAAGGCCACATTTATATCCAGTCTCTCTCTATATACGAGGCATGCATGCAGTGTATTATTATACATGTACAGGGTATTTCACAATATATGCCACACATCTGCAGACAAATATTTAAATGACAACAAAAGCTACATATACATTTTATATATCATTTTAATCAGCATATATTCAAAATTATTATTATTTTTTTTTTTTTGAGTCAGAAGTATCCAGCATTCTCCACTTCGGTTACTATGGCAACAAATCCTAAAATGTTATTCTCCAAGTGTTTTCACAACATTGTCTTAAATAACTTAAAGAGACTATAAGGCTTATAAATTTCTGACCACTGTTTTGTAAGCTTCACAGGATAATTGAAACATTTCTTGTTTATATTTGGCTTTTTAGACCCCCCAAAGTTCATATCTATTTTTATTGAAAGTTGCATTTAAATAATTCAGAACTACTGGTTTGTGTTAATTAGTGTCCACTTCTTTCGCTCTTCCTTTCAGTCAATCTTGCAAACTTTAGCAGGATCTGAACGTCAATTGGCTTTAGATGCTGAAATCTTGTATGCAGACACACTTAACTCAAATTTTGATTTCTACATACATAAGATATTACGATGGCCGATATCAGCCTGTACATATTTCGACTGCTATTGAAATTTGTACATCTAAAATGTACATTGACATGTACATTTTGCAATGACAGTGCACACTTCGTTTTCTTAACTTTTTTCTGTACATGTACACTTTGCAATGACAGTGCACACTTTATGCTCTTAACTTTTGTCTGTACATGTACAAAATGACAAAAAGGCAAATGTCAAAACGTGAACGGTTGAAACACATTTGCTTCTGATTACAATTCCTGGTCGGCGAAAAACGATTAAATATGAATTAAATTGGACAAGGCACTGAGAAGATTAATTTTGCGATAAAAAGGATGAGAAATATTAAAAGAAAATGTAAACATTCTTGTAAACATTAAAACTAATGATAAAATTTGTCTTCTTTTACTGAAAAGAATTAAATTCCCATAGATTAAAATCACCTTCCACAAACATTTCCTGTACACTGAATTGCCCCCATCCAACCCAGAAAATGATGACTATATATACTTTACACTTCTTTTTGATCAAAAGTAAAGGGAAGTTGTAAAGGACATTTTATGATCGAGTAAGAGTCTAACCATAATATAACGTAAGATTAAATTGTGACCTCAACTGTAACCTTTGACCATCATTTTAAAAACTGTAACATTGCGTTTCATAAAGTATTTAGTAATTAACCATAACACAATACTTTTTTTAAAAACAAAAGGTCTTAAGTGTTTTCGACTTTGCATCTTACAGGTGTATACCACGTCTATGTCCCACCACCGAATTGTGTTATCATTGCTGGCATAGTGTTTTACAAAACAAATCTTGTTTTGATATTAATTGTTCAACTTTTCCCCGTTGTACACTTTTATTCATATTTAATGGTTTTTCGCCGACCAGGAATTGTAATTAAGAGCATATGTACGGAAGCCCAATAGTGCAAACCAAAAATATATAAAGAAAAACGAAATTAATATATAAAGAAAAACGAAATTATTAAATAAAGAAAAACGAAATTAATATATAAAGAAAAACGAAATTATTAAATAAAGAAAAACGAAATTAATATGTAAAGAAAAACGAAATTATTAAATAAAGAAAAACGAAATAAATATATAAAGAAAAACGAATTTATTATATAAAGAAAAACGAAATTATTAAAAAAAGAAAAACGAAATTATTATATAAAGAAAAACGAAATTATTAAAAAAGAAAAACGAAATTATTAAATAAAAAGGAGAGTGAGGGAGAAAGAGAAAATATCAACTGAAACAAATACTTCAATCTAATGTTTGAAGTAAATTGTCAATAATTGTTTAACGGTATACGTAATTTGTTAATGTGTGGCATTATGCATAGAGGATCATGAGGGTGGCTGTTTCTGCTTGATTAAAATTAATGACATCCAATTCAAAAGAGCACTTGAATCGCAAAAGGTCAGGACCTTGCGTATCGTATTACTGGATTCCCACGAACTTAACCTAGCGTCCGATCTGTGTACCCATAAATCTTAAATTGTTTAAACTATAAAAAGAAAAATGATTTGATTACTTTGTGGGATTTGTTATTTACAAGAGTGTGCATTGTTTGTTCACAAATATCACCGACTTATGAATACACAAATTGAGAGTTTGGCATTTAAAATATCTGAGAACAAGAACTATAGTACCACTGACTTATAAATAGTACAGATTGAGAGTTTGACATTTATAATATGTGAGAACAAGTACTAGTAGCCAGTACATCACCTCTAATTATGCGTTGATAAGACCAAGGAATCAGCTGAAGGTGATTTGCTTTACTTCTAATATAGTAAGCAATCATTAAAATCTACTTCTTGTAACCTCTTTGACTTGTTTTACTTTTTGCATCTGTTCTCTTTAAACAATTTTTTATAATGTCAAACAAACCCAAGTCCGATCGATAACGTATTATTTTACAGCATTTTCTAATGAATGTATTCTGCGATAGTTGAATAATGGATAAGGGAATTTCCTTAATGTTAAAAATTCAACAATTACGAGTTGTAAACAACGGAATCTTAACGTTCATGTTTTCTTAAATAGTTGTGAAATTAGATATCAAAGGTTAGATTCTCCCCATCCATGAATTGTAATGGATATGTTTTCGATGGAGGAAAAGGTTAATGTAAAGGCAAACATCTCGCTCGTTATTGTCGAAACAAAATCAGGTCCATGAGACGTGGTGCACTAATGATTTATGGGTTCAGACCCTTACCGTGCATCTCTATAAATTCCGTATTTTAGTTTCAGTTTTTCTACTTTTAATAATTTCGTTTTTCTTTATATATTAATTTCGTTTTTCTTTATATATTAATTTTGTTTTTCTTTATATATTAATTTCGTTTTCCTTTATTTAATAATTTCGTTTTCCTTTATTTAATAATTTCGTTTTTCTTTATATATTAATTTCGTTTTTTCTTTATTTAATAATTTCGTTTTTCTTTATATATTAATTTCGTTTTTCTTTATTTGATAATTTCGTTTGCCATTATATAATAATTTCGTTTTTCTTTATTTAATAATTTCGTTTTTCTTTATATATTAATTTCGTTTTTCTTTATTTAATAATTTCGTTTTTTTTATATATTAATTTCGTTTTCCTTTATTTAATAATTTCGTTTTTCTTTATATATTAATTTCGTTTTCCTTTATTGAATAATTTAGTTTTTCTTTATATATTAATTTCGTTTTTCTTTACTTAATAATTTCGCTTTTCTTTATATATTAATTTCGTTTTTCTTTATTTAATAATTTCGTTTGCACTATTGGGCTTCCCGTTTTGACATTTGTCTTTTTGCCATTTTGTACATGTACAGACAAAAGTTAAGAGCACAAAGTGTGCACTGTCATTGCAAAATGTACATGTACAGAAAAAAGTTAAGAACACGAAGTGTGCTCTGTCATTGCAAAATGTACATGTCAATGTACATTTTAGATGTACAAATTTTAAAAAAGCAGTCGGAATTTGTACAGGCTGATATCGGCCATCGTAAGATATACACTTACCGGCATTGTCACAATCCATTTCCCAAAAATCGTATTTAACTTTAATGTATTTATGTAATCCTTTGACTAAGAGGAATCTCAAATCATCTTTACATTATAATTTAGTTCAAACTCTCTAATTATTCTTTATTAATATATGAAAACTAGACAGCAATTTCTGGTCTGGATATTTTTCATCATCACACCCTGTACAATATTTAGGGTATCGTTATTATAATAAAAGTTTACAACAAATTTTTGCTTCATTAAGTTGTACCCAATTGGAGAACAGCTGAAATTATGACATCATTGATTTAATCGTCAGTTACTTAATGGTATATACATGTATCACAATTTTCCCGAAACTTTCCAATATCATAATTTTAGATCAATATGCTTATCTATAATGTTTTGGTATTTTTGGTATCATGCTCGATATTCAGATTATGCCCATTTAGATGTATGACATATATTGTGAAACACCCTGTACATATCAAGGCATCAGGAAAAATCGATGCAGTTAATTTTCTGAAACTGTTATTTCTACTTTCGTTTCTTTTTCTCGACATGGTGTTAGTAACGTTATATATTAGCGTTACGTGTTTTGTTTGAATAGTCGACTATACCTAAGCAAGGTAAGACGAACGAGAATTTTATTCTAATATACGAATAATTATAATATAATTATATAGAGACTATAAATCAACTTGTTAGATGACAAGATTTCGAATTCAACCTAACATATCTAAGAGATCGGACATTTAGTTTTTGCATCCAAAATTGACAAGGGGTCATTATTTTACGGAGTCATTTTTAGCTCAACTGGTCAGAGACCAGAATAGCTTATGCGATAGTAATGCGTAATATCTATATAGAAAAATGACCCTTGGTCAATATTCTACGGGGGTCACTTTTCGTCGTTACACCGGAAATAACAGTTTTACACACAGACAGAAAATATGAATTACGGCCTTGAAATTTGACCTTTTGAAATCGAAATAGATATAGGGGGTTATCTTCCATAGCCATCTTGACTTAAGAGTTGTCAGTTGTGGTATAAAATTTCATTGCAAAAGCTCATAGGAATCTCGAGATATTGTGCGTAAAACATCAAAATAATTTTAAAAAGCTTGGAAGAAGTCAAGATATTTCGGACTAATACAATCCGTAGTTAAATTAAAACTTTAACAAAAATGTTTTTGTTTTTCTTTTTAAAGATATTTTTAGCTATCATCAAGAAATAAAACAGATGGTTTTGCAGGCGATTGCCTCAGGGCATGTATTTATGAACCATGCAGTCAATAAGATGGTATTACGCATTGCTGATGAGATATGTTTTAAACTCGATTGCTTTAACGGTTCAATACTGTAAATAACCTCTACTACTTTTATACAAGTACTTTCAGTTTTATTTCTGTTGAACACGTTAAATTGGGGTGTAGGCAAAAAAGGTCACTCCACAAAAACAATTATAAGGGGCGTAAAAATACCGTTATTTTACTTTCATTTTTGTTTCCATTTCTTCTTAAAACAATTTCGACCAATCCCTTTGTAGGATAAATTAACCACCTCAGGACGCTAAAAACTTTTAAGAGCGTTGTAGATCGATCCTGATGATATTTTTCTGAAACTGCGTTTATGGCACGCCAAATTCACAAAAATGAGATAAACATAATTTCAAAGTCGATAAACTAGGTTTATCGGTTGTAAACTATAGTTTACGGACTGTAAACTATAGTTAACAACGTTAATCTATTTTACATCCGTAAACCATAGTTAACGCCGTAATCTATGTTTCACAACCGTAAACTATACTTAACACTAAAAACAATCATTTGCGATTGCAAAACATAGATTATCTGATAAATACAGTTTCACGATTTGTAAACTATGATTAACAACTCTTAACTATAGTTTACGATTGTAAGCTATAGGTTACAAACGTGAATCTATGTTTATCAACAAAATCTATTGTTAACGCTTATTACAGACAGATAAACGTAGATTGACATTCGTAAACTATAGTTAACAACCGATTAATATAGTTTTACAGATGAAAACTATACTGAACTATTCTTTAACTATAGTTTACGGTTTGTAAACTATAGTTTACAGTCGATAAACCTAGTTTATCAAATGTGAAACTAGGTTAATCTCATTTTGTGAATTTGGCGTGCCATACATAGTTTCAAAGTCGATAAACTAGGTTTATCCGTTTTAAACTATAGTTTACGGACTGTAAACTATAGATAACAACGTTCATCTATATTTTACATCTGTAAATGATAGTTAACGCGATAATCTATGTTTCACAACCGAAAGCGATACTTGACACCAAAAACAATCATTTGCGATTGCAGAACATAGATTATCTGATAAATACAGTTTAACGATTGTAAACTATGGTTTACAACTCTTAACTATAGTTAACGATCGTAAATTATAGTTCACAGACGTGAATGTATGTTTATCAACAAAATCTATTGTTAACGTTTTTTTACAGACAGATAAACTTAGATTAGCATTCGTAAACCCTAGATAACAAATTAACAACCATTAAGTAAAGGAGAAAGGCCAAAAACTGTCCATTCTGAGAGAGAAAGAACTAATCGAGGGCCGTGGGCCCGAGATTAGTTCTTTCTCTCACAGAATGGATAGTTTGAGGCCTTTCTCCTACTTAAAACATGATTCTCTTTGTTCAGAAAATTTAACAAAGAAAATGTGCAAAACAGGTAGCAAACACACTGTAAATTCATTGTTTACAGAATGGACAGTTACAGGTAAGCTTGGGGTGCACAGCAATTCGTTGAAAAACCATTGTGTTTCCAGATGCAAATAACAAAAGGTCTTTGTCTAAAGAATGGACAGTTACAGGTGGATTTCGGGAAATGCTAATTTTTATAAAAGAATGTAACTCCTCAAAATCAGTTTATATTTTGCGTTGTAAGGGCAAACATGTTTGCCCTCCGATGGAGAGAATATATGACAGAATCGAAATCGAATTGAAACCAAAAGATGTACACAACTAGTGTTACTTTGACCTGGAAACAGAGAATAGTAAGCGTAATAGAAAATATTATCCAAAGTTTGACCCCCCAAACTTCGACGACAGAGATATTTCGAATTTAAACCGTAAATGTGTGTGGTTCTTTTGAATTCGAATTCAGTTTTTGAGGATATATTAATGCAGCAGTGTAATGGTGAAATGCAAATTGTGTTCCGAGTGTTGGATAACCATAGGCCAAACTTCGACCTGAAAATGTATATCAACTCAAATCTGGAAAGGTTTGAATTCAAATTATTTGCCACCGAAATATTCACTGCAGCAGTGTAGTTTTCATGGTGCAAACTGTTTTCTGGGTGATGAATTTAATATAAGCCAACTTCAAGCTTAAAATAATGCTTCCAAAATCTTAATCAAATGTGAAATTGTTTCATTTAAATTCAAGTTTTGTGAATTGAAATAATGTGCATTACTTATGGATTTAAATGTGAAAAATCGAACAGATCTGATGCAGACACTGCGTTCTGGATTAACTTACATCTCCAAGTTCTTTTTGTTATTCACATATACATTAAATCGTATTTAATGTATTAATTTGATTTTGTTTCCCTCTTTTGCACATGCCAAGAATTACCTGTAACTCTCCATTCTGTTTGTTTAAACTGTCCATTCTGTTTGTTTTTAAATGTCCATTCTTACTGATAAAACTGTCCATTCTTTAAAAGAATGGACAGTTTTCCAAAAAGAATGGACACTTACAGGTGACTTAATGGATTGTAAGGGGAGTTAGCTCAACACTAAGCTATAGAATGGACAACACAAACAAAAGGTTTACGTCACAATCATGTTTTAATTCTGTTGAACACCTTAAATTGGGGGATAGGCAAAAAAGGTCACTCCACAAAAACAATTATAAGGGCGTATAGATACCGTTATTTTACTTTCATTTTTGTTTCTATTTCTACAATATCGACCAATCCCTTTGTAAGATAATTAAATTAACCACCTCAGGGCGCTAAAAACTTTTCAGAGCGATGTAGATTAATCCTGATGATATTTTTATGAAATAACGTTGTCTACTTTCGTTTCTTTTTCTTGACATTAATTTTTGAATGTTATTTCTCCTCCTTCTCCCATGTAAAATTCCTGCAAATAATTCAAGTTTTTCTTTTCCCATCTAGGCCAAAAAAAAAAAAATAAAACCACTCGATTAATAAGTAACTGATATAAAAAAAATTGTATGGACATACTCTTTTCTTTTTTTTTTTTTTAAAGAACTATGTATAACTTTCTTGTTTGCAGTAAATGCCACATTTATCCAGTCTCTCTCTATACGAGGCATATATTATACATGTACAGGGTGTTTCACAATATATGCCACACATTTACAGACAAATATTTAAATGACAACAAAAGCTACATATACATTTTATATATCATTTTAATCAGCATATATTCAAAATTTTTTTTTTTTTTTTTGAGTCAGAAGTATCCTGCATTCTTCACTTCGGTTACTATGGCAACAAATCCTAAAATGTTATTCTCCAAGTGTTTTCACAACATTGTCTTAAATAACTTAAAGAGACTATAAGGCTTATAAATTTCTGACCACTGTTTTGTAAGCTTCACAGGATACTTGAAACATTTCTTGTTTATATTTGGCTTTTTAGACCCCCCAAAGTTCATATCTATTTTTATTGAAAGTTGCATTTAAATAATTCAGAACTACTGGTTTGTGTTAATTAGTGTCCACTTCTTTCGCTCTTCCTTTCAGTCAATCTTGCAAACTTTAACAGGATCTGAACGTCAACTGGCTTTAGATGCTGAAATCTTGTATGCGACACACTTAACTCAAATTTGATTTCTAAATACATAAGATATACACTTACCGGCATTGTCACATTCCATTTCCCTAAAATCGTGTTTAACTTTAATGTATTTATGTAATCCTTTGACTAAGAGGAATCTCGGATCATCTTTACATTATAATTTAGTTCAAAATCTCTAATTATTCTTTATTAATATATGAAAACTAGACAGCAATTTCTGGTCTGGATATTTTTCATCATCACACCCTGTACAATATTTAGGGTATCGTTATTTTAGTAAAAGTTTACAACAATTTTTGCTTCATTAAGTTAGCTGAAATTATGACATCATTGATTTAATCGTCAGTTACTTAATGGTATATACATGTATCACAATTTTCCCGAAACTTTGCAATATCATAATTTTAGATCAATATGCTTACCAGATTATGCCCATTTAGAGGCGTGACATATATTGTGAAACACCCTGTACATATCAAGGCATCAGGAAAAATCGATGCAGTTAATTTTCTGAAACTGTTATTTCTACTTTCGCTTCTTTTTCTCGACATGGTGTTAGTAACGTTATATATTAGCGTTACATGTTTTGTTCTACACTTGCGAATAGTCAACTATACCTAAGCAAGGTAAGACGAACGAGAATTTTATTCTAATATACGAATAATTATAATATAATTATATAGACACTATAAATGAAAATATTAAATCTCTAATAAAATAACAAAATTCACTTGATTAGGTAATAAATCAACTTGTTAGATGAAAAGATTTCGAATTCAACCTAACATATCTAAGAGATCGG